AATACCCACTTTCCACTAGTTATCGCTGTTTTTAGGAAAATTACAAATTGCCAACCTATACTTTGCGCTTAGTTTAGACGGAGATATGTCAGTGGGCAAAATTGCTTCTTCTTGAGAGCAGAGAGACAGGGATACGTACAGAAGCTGTGCATGTGTCACCCACTAAACCGCCATTATAAACCATTGGTAAAGAGAGTGGAACTATCCCACTCAGAACCATTACAGCACAGACTATACAATCTCTTAATTATCCAAGTGCTCCCCTTAACAAAATAGTATATCCAACTATCTTCATACCAGTGTCATAGATGCGTGAAGATCCGGGGTAGAATAGGTCTTCAGCAACCCATGCTTGCCGTAAAAGGCGACTATGCTTGTCGTAAAAGGCGACTAACGGGATCGGGTAGTCAGCTCGCCGATTTGGTTGATGCATGTCATCGTATCCAAATTGCATGGATCGATGCTCAACCACTGGATTGTCTGGCCCCCACTCGATTATTTACAGACCGCTGTCATATAACTGTAATAATGCTGAGCGCGGCGTTAAACAACAAACAAACAACAAAACCAATGTCATAGTCTGGAATCAGCTGTGATTGTATGAAGTGATTCTTCAAGTTCACTATTTTATGTTTGTGGGGCTACGGGTGGCGATTCGCTGTGCAGTGTTGCGTCTCCTGGACACGCCAGAAACCTATGATTGTGGGTTCGAATCCCGGTTCACCCCGATTATGTTTCTAGGTTTGTCAGCACCATACCCGTGCTCGTGGGTTTCACCAAAGTGGTAAACGTATGAGACCTGTATCACTTCGGGCTTTCCTCCCACATTAAGACGACACGCCGTGATATAATTAGAATAATGTTAAAAGCGGCGTTAAACACAACTCACTCACTCACTATTTTATGTTTGTGCCGCGACACACACACAGTTTTATCCCTTTCATCTTCAGGTAATAAACAAACATTAAGACTATAAGTTAATGTACTAGGGCGCCAGCCTTTGACGTAGAATTAAGTAGAATGGTCGCAGTCACTGCGAGAGATGTTCTCACCCAGTCTTGACATCATTGAGATGGAAGTGGAAGTCCATGTGCCCCCCAGATATAGTAGCACATACATGAAGTACATCTAACCCAGAGAGGAGTGTAGTACACATTGCTGGACAGAGTGACTTACTGCACTATTGAGGTAACAAGACGTGACAACGCAAAACTCTATCTGTTGTCTCAGATGATGTGTGTGACCTTTGATCTCGCCCCCAAACATGACAAAACTAGTTATTGACGACAACAGTTGAAGACCAACACGTGACCTGCTTCCGATATATTATCTTATGTCGACAGGCTTCATGTAACCTTGATCTATGGAGAAACATTCTTGAGTTTGCAATTCTGAATTGTTATTATACCTACATCACATTGTTGTCATGCTTGACAAATAGTATGTACATGTTTGTCATTAGTCAATGAATACGTTACTGAATAACTACGTTGAACGTAACATCGCAGTGGGATTGGATCTGTACTGTAATTTACTATCCTTAACTTTCGTTTGAGTTCATGGTCAAAACGTTCAGTATCTGCGACGTCGTAGCACAATAGCAGGAAAACTGCTACTATTCAACAATGGCGATTTCAACTTGAATGACAATTGACATATAGCGACATCTAATGTAGAAGCATTGTCCCATCTCAGAATGCAATTTTGACTGATCCACGTGACATAAATTGCCAAACCCAAATAGGACCTTATTTGTTCTTCATTACAAGTGCAGATACAACGCAACTAACAGCACATACATATACGCACGCACACACGCACGAATATAAAACTCTATGACATTGACCTTGTTATCTCCAGCTGAATCTTCCCTAACTTGCTATCGGAGGTGTTTGTTAATAATTAGACAGAACGCCCGGGCAAAGGAAAGTATACACCCATGTTTGGTGAAGGCTGAAAATGAACCAATTGGTTATTCGAGGTGATGTATTTGATAAGGCTACCATATAGTGTGTTTTGCACCTTATGTTCCAGTGTTTCGGCCACTGTTGTCAGTTTTGATGACGTTTGCAATCTTACGGTCCAATGTGGAAGTGTGAACTTTCTCTTTCCCGGCAATATATAATCCTTAAGGGCCTGCCTTTGTCAAGGGGTGGCAATATAATCACATATGCCAAGCTTGTACTGTTTGGATAAACGTAATTAATTGCTCTTGTCATCACCAGGATACCGTTTGTGACAAAATTCCAATACTCTGGACCTTTATCTATATATCTGTATACATATTTGACGATAAAACATACGTGTATATAGTAATTAAACAAACCAGGTCACACAATGTTCATGATATCTACTCTGACATCGTTGAATCGAACACAATCAAGGTTTCAGGAAAGTTTGTGATTAAAAGAACATATGTCACGGAATGTGTAGGGCGATTTATCAAATCATGGGACTAATTATTTCTGTCATTATATTAATTTTCCACTTTATGATTATATTTAAGTTTATATTTCAACTGTTCATACTTCTCTTGCTTCAGAACAAAATCCTTATGACAATGTGTTAATGAAGAAATCATTTATTGTCCACGTTACTAAAACAAGGTGATCAGAGAAATAGCCCTGGGTGCTTTGTGTGAACTGATCAGGACTCCCTGTCCTTTTGAGATTTACAGCTAATAAGCAAAGCACAACTGTGTCAACACGCACCCTACAGGGCATACATAAATCTCAACTCGCTTAACTACTACCGTTGTTCACATGAGGTCAAACTAACTACTCTGGCAGTTTGGGCACCTACTTTTGGGTGTCTTCATAGATAGCTTGTCGGAAGTGATTGTGTTCCTTCTATCAAGCAACACTTGTCTGTTTCCTTGAGAGGAGATCAGTTAAAAATGAATTGTCCTCAGCCAGTTGATCATGACTGCTCAGAAGCGCTTTGGAGCACTGAATTGTCCTGAGTATGGCTAAAGACAAACGTTAAGGAATCGAGTCTGGCCCAGACATATCAGTGATTGATATTATGAGCCACGTACCAAGCCACCAGGGTAGAATGACACGCAGTAAACCAGGTCACCGAGCCTGACCAGCATTTCATTTAGTCGCCTCTTACGACATTTCTCTTGGACCCGGAATCCCTTCGGGTAAATTGAGAATAACATATATAATAAATATACAAACGACCATCCTGTTTTCATAAAGATAGTGAAACCCCGTTTATCCGGGCACAGTTGCCAGAGCTATCGTCCGGATAAACACGAATCTTGGATGAAGAATAATGTTCTTTATATATAGGCAGACATTCAGTCATCGTCCTGATTTAGGATTGACTTGCCTTTGCATGTGTTTGTGACGGGTGCCACCCGTAAATGAACACCTGGTATTTGATAGTGATTGATAAACGCATGCTCATGATACAAGGGTTTTGTCGCTTTAATCCTGGACTGACAGGGTTTCACTATGTGAGGATGTTGGACAGGCTCTCTCTGTGCAGTGAACTGTTCGTGGTACATCCTCTTCTATGGTTGTCTATGACAACTGTGTCTGAACGAGGCTGCAATGGTCAGCATTTTCAGCCGAAACCGTAGTCGAAAAAACAATAAGGAATCAAGTTCCAATCTCTAAACAGGGATCATTCAACTTATTTTCATGTGAAAGATTGTGTTCACTGTGCTCCCGTTTAAGGATAAGGGTACAAACAGGATGATGCCTTCCTACTCTATTTTGGTCCTGAAGGGTCTTACAATTCGCTCTACAGATACCTATGGTTGTGGGTTTGCATCCCAGTTCGTCCTGGTTATGTTTCTAGGTTTCTCAGCACCATATTCATGCTCGTGGGTTTCACCAAAGTGATAAAAGTCTAAGGCCTGCATTACTTCAGGCTTACTTCCCACATAAAGCTGACACGCCTTGATGTAACTGGAATACTGTTCAAAGCGGCGCTAAAATGCACTCACTCATTCACTCAATCATCCTAAAGTTATTATTAACATATATTTTCTTCAGTATCCATATATGTATATGACTCAACGTCTACATATGTAAATGACTGTTCAGTGTTCATCTATGTAAATGACTGTTCAGTGTTCATATATGTAAATGACTGTTCAGTGTTCATATATGTAAATGACTGTTCAGTGTTCATATAAGTAAATGACTCTCCAGTGTTCATATAAGTAAATGACTCTTCAGTGTTCATATAAGTAAATGACTCTTCAGTGTTCATATATGTAAATGACTGTTCAGTGTTCATATAAGTAAATGACTCTTCAGTGTTCATATAAGTAAATGACTCTTCAGTGTTCATATAAGTAAATGACTCTTCAGTGTTCATATAAGTAAATGACTCTTCAGTGTTCATATAAGTAAATGACTCTTCAGTGTTCTTATATTTAAATGACTCTTCAGTGTTCATATTTAAATGACTCCTCAGTGTTCATATTTAAATAACTATTCAGTGTTAAAACAACAACAACAAACAAACAAAACGAGACATAGTGAAAACATAGGTGAATAAATGACTGACTGGTTTACTGGATTAATGAATAAAGAAGCAAACAGAAACAAATAAATGAAAAAGAAGACTCTATAGGTGTAAAATAAAGTAGTTGCGAGAAACGAATACAGATTCCTATGAACATATTTGACGAACACAGAAGAGACAATGCCGACCATTTCGATTTTACCCCCTAATCTTTGCAGATTACGCCCCATAATCCACTGTAATTACATACAAGCACAGATGCTGTACTGACGTCTCACACTGACAATCAAATGTGTGTGAATGACAGTGCGTGCCAATCCATAAATATAAGAGTCTCATAACGATCGTGCTTATCGTCCTATGCTATAAATCAGAGAGCTGGATTGATTGATGCACTGTGATTTTTTTGTAACGAAATCACTCAAAGAATTTTCTTTGTGGTACATGAAAAACTGACATGTGATAAGCGTCAGATAGCCCATGTATTTATCTATATTGGATACGGACGAAGTACCTATCAATCTGGTGTAGAGTATTCCGTGATAGCCGTCAGGGAGATGATGTCCTCAACGATTACTGCAAAGGTGAGTGTCCATTTCTGAATTACACAACTACATTGTTTTTAAGGTGCAAGCTTGTTTTTTTTCAAATGATTTTTCTGCATGCAGCAAAACAAGGGTATATTTTTTATTTCTTATGGTCATCGTATGGTCATCTGCTGTCGATTGATCCATGCCGCACAACAAGGGTATATTAATAAATATGTAATTGTAGGGTCATACAAACGTTCAGCACAGTCAACTATATGATGATTGTTTTATGCAGCAGTTCTAGATACAAAACCCCTATCCCTTTTTTATTTATAAGAAATATCTGCTAAAGGCAGAAACGATTGTACGATTCCGACTATATCATGAGCATTTGATTATCAGTCACTATTGAATCGTGATGATACGAGTGGCTGGTCTAAACATTCTAAGCCTGACTAACTTTCAACTATGGGCCATAACGAAGTGAACTCGTCAATGTAATACATTGTTTGAATAGTTCATTGCAAGTGTATTTGATCTGTTGAGGCCGTTTATACATAAATGACAACCAGTTGAACGTGATAGGGGTCCAAATGGACACAGAAATGGAAAGGAACGAGTACCCAGCAGTCATCAAGTTTTTGACTTTAGAGAAAAGTACTCCCCAAGAAATTCATGACTGCATGTCACATGTGTATGGGAATAAGTGCCCTAGCTATTCCACTGTTGGGCAGCTATTTTAAGGAGGGGGACAAACCTTGATGATGACTCTAGGTCTGGACGCCCCTCAATTTCCATCAATGAAGATTCAATCAAGGAGATAGAAAAACTTATACTGTCAGATGGACGCATTACCATCGCTGAACTTGTGAAAGACACAGGTCTAAGCCATGGATCTATTAAAACTATTATCCATGAACATTTACAAATGAATAAGATATCTGCTTGTTGGGTGCCAAAGTTTCTAAATACTGATCTTAAGGAAAAAGAACTGACATTACCAGAGCTAATTTAGAGCAAATGAAAACAGAAACTAGTAGCGGGTGATGAAACATGGGTCTGTTTTGTGTTCAACTATACACTAAAAAAACCCGAAGGGGATACTCGGACATAACTTTAACATTTCCAACATTGTAGTGAGTGAGTATGATTTTACGCCGCTTTTAGCAATATTCCAGCAATATCACGGCGGGGGACACCAGAAATGGGCTTCACACATTGTACCCATGTCGGGACTCTAACCCGGGTCTTCGGCGTGACGAGCGAACGCTTTAACCACTAGGCTACCCGACCGCCCCTCCAACATTGTAAGAAATTTTACTTTCTAGTAATAGTTGTATGACAATAATGAAATAATTGGGAACACATTTCAACCGGTAGTGAAGTATGACAGTAGACGTTATGACCGCCAACGATCGTAAAGGACGATTGGGGCAAGATGGGAAATTTCATTGTTGACGGTTTGGGATCAGTAGTGCGAAATACAGCCACGAGTTGTCAAACGTGCATTCACTTGACGAAGCATACAACGTATGCGTCTTCTTATGGAGATTTGAGGGAGCTTGTCCCACTCCCCTTGCAGCCTGGCCAAGCTCATTCAACGTGGCCGGTGGCCTTTTGACGTTGACGCACACGTCTCCCTATCATGTCACAGACGTGTTCAAAGGGGGAAAGGTCTGGGCTCATTGTTCGCCAAGTCAATCTGTGGATGTGCTGCTGGAGGTGACCATTGACGATTTGTGGACGGTGGACACGGGCATTGTCGTCCTGAAAGGCAAAACCTCAAACTACGCCCCCCCCCCACACACACACACACACACACACACACACACACACACACGGAGGTTACCTCACATGCACACTTGAATCCTACCCATTACAGTTATTCCTCGCATCCATCCATGCGATAAAACAATTTCTCTACGTCATCAGTGGTCGCCAACTTTTCATCATTGCCTAATGAGTCGGTTATACTCTTTAGCCTTTGGTTGTTTTATTCTATTTTAAAATGGGAAGCTGTCATTTATGATGAAACGAATCTCGGCCATGCCCCTGCTACAACTTGCGATATCTGATCCTCACAACGATAATGCAAATATTGGGTTCACTGTCCACAAACAGCTTTTCGTTAGACGGGTGCAGTATTTCACACACTGGCTATGCCTATACTGATACAAAATAAATGTTTTACCGGCCTTACATTCTTGACTCTAAACTCACACACAAACACACACAGACACAAACACACACAAACACACACAAACACACACACACACACACACACACACACACACACACACACACACACACAAACACACAAACACATAGACACACTTGTTCATACACAGACAGGATTGAAATCATGTCAATCACAACTGTATGATAAGTAGAATCAATAAGATCTTCAATCGATCTTCCTTGTAAGTATCAAGATCAGGAAGGACACCCTATGCACGTATGTGGCGCTACTGCGTGAGGCTTGTGCAAATATAGGATATGTTTTGGTGTTACGTTTTGCAGACATAAACATTCTTGCAAAGGATGTTTGTCGTCAAAACTTTCATGATCCCCTACTGTTTTAAAGATTCAATAAGCAAAGTAATGAAACAAATGTTTTGGAAATGAATATCAGTTGAACATAAACCTAAGCATCAAACTGATGTAGTCTTGAAAGTAGTATTTAAGGCATTAGAGTTTGAAGTCTACACTCTACGTCCTTATGGTAACTTCCTGTATCTTCTAAGCAATCCCGCCGTGATGTTTCTGGAATATTGCTAAAAGCAGCGTAAAACCAAACTCTCTCTTGTAAGCAAAGGGCACATGTACGTATTTCGTAGGATCTGTTTGAAGCATAGGTTACTTTCTCATACATCTTTAAGATTCACAGACTGACAGTCGATGATGAGACACTGATTCCCGGGTGAAAGTTTAATGAATGTTGTGTTTCAACAAACCGACATTGATGGATCAACGGGTTGAAGGGTAAATCTCCTCATCATATCGTCACGGCAAGAAGGCTGCTGCAGAATTGGCAGATACTCTGTCAATCACAAACAACCACTTATAGCATGCTAAATGATATGTCAACATTTATAATGTTGTATCGTACACAATGTGTCAGTAAGACCCAGTGACATACACCGGGACGTCAATGGAAACAAATGACATTTGGACATTTTCATGATTTTAGCAAAATTTGATTTATCAACACCAAACTTGAAAGATATCTTTAGGACATTTCGATGACAATCAGTCAATGTTCAAGAATATTAACCAATCTGAAACACTGCATTGATTATACAATAGTAAGTAATGAAATACTTGCTGATCGTTTGCAATATGAACATTTAGTTTGAATTTTCTTTTTCAACTTGTCTTATTTCATAAAATGAGTGAGTGATTTGGGCTTAACGTTGCTTTGAACAGTGTTCCAGTTATATCACCTGAATTCAGCCTAGTGTGGGAGGAAAGCCCGAAGCGAAGCAGGTCTCAGACGTTTACCCCATTGATGAAACCTTTAGAGCATGAATATGGTACTGATAAACCTAGAAACATAATCGGGCTAACCGAGATTCGAACCCAAGATCATAGGTTCCCGGTGTGCCCAAGGGACACAACAGGTAAATGCGGTGCCTTAGACGACTGTAATATTTTTATAAAGCAGGTCTTTGGCATCATAGGATAGAAGCGTGAAAAAACTATCTCACCTTTGTGCTAGATATTATTGTCTTGTTTGTGATCTATCCTCCTCTGGAGATTTGTATACAATGCAATAAATGAAATGCAAAAGTGAATTTAGATATATATGTTATATAATCATATAAATAACAACAGATGGTAATCGATTGTTCAAAATTTGCGCACATCATTCTCTTGCACATATGGAACAGTGCAATGTTCACCCACTCTTCCTGCAGTACTTGTGCCAAATGTCGGATGTTCTGTGGTTGTTGCTGACGTGCTCGCAGTCGTTGGTCAAGTGCATCCCCTAAATGTTTGATTGTGTTTAAATCTGGAGACCCGGAGGGCCATGGCAGGACCTGGATGTTGTGATTCCTCGAAAGGCTGTTGTCAGTCTTGCCGTGTTAGGTCGGGCGTTGTCTTGTTGGAAAATGACGTTCCCTTGTTGCATAATTGGAAGGACGTGCTGCCGAAGATTCTCATCCGTATAACGTTATGCGGTTATCGCCCTTGAATTTGAACCAATTATGTTCTACCAGTGTAGGAGATTTCCGACCACATCATTACACTACCACCGACAAATCTGCCCACTTCCTGTATGCAGAGTATGGATGAGAAGCATACTTCATACTTGTATATATGCTTTTCATCTGTACCTCACTTGCTTGATAACTGTGTTAGAACCTACACTGAAACGTCACTCCTAATTGTAATAAAAGAAGTTGTAAATGCACATATCTTATCCTTAGTGCTCACACTTTTAAATGCTTCTCAAAAAGGTAAGGTTTTTTTACATGTTGAAATATTCATCCTAATTGAAATGATGTCCCAAGTATTAATCAGATTTGATAGCATATATTTCATCGAAATAGTTACAATCTTTCTCTGGTGACTTTCTTTGATCATATACAGAGGTATCATTAATCATGAGAAATCACTGAAACATTCCTTATAGTGATTGATATACATTGTATGGCGCCAGAAGCAGTCAGTGTGAATGACACAGCCACTCACGCAAGATAGGTGGGAAAATATAATTAGTGCTCTCTTTGCCATACCAATGTCTGTTGTAGAAGCCAAGAACATTTGTAGCTTTCTGTAAGTTACACAACTACATTTTGCTTTATGTCAAATATATTCTATATGCCGGATCTCCATTTTTCAGAGAACCTTGGCGCCTAGTGAGCTGTCATAGAACTTCTATTTTGCTAATAATAGTATCTGAGAACAGAGAAAGGCTTTCCTTAATATCTTTTCAATTTGTGAAAGATCATATTTGTGTGACTTCCATATGTGTATGTATACAAAACGTCAACGCAAATATGTCATGATTCATTGTAATGAGGGCGACACAAATTGTCTTAAGAATGCAACACAATTATTTTGTCCATTTATATGGTCCAGCAAATATTAATGCCAGCAACCATTCATTTGAAATCCAGATACATTCATTACCCTGCTACGTGGCTGTCTAGGAATCATGTGTCTTCTGAAGATTTTATCAATAGAACCACTGCATTAATTTTAATGAGAACCCAAACAAAACAAATTTTGGCTCATGATGTCATGCGGAAAATCCAATGTTCTCTCATAATTAACAGGATGAATGACTTCAATACTTGTAGTACTTTCACTTCATGTCGAGCAATATTCCATCAGCTCCAGCCTTTGGTATCGACATGTCAGAACGTTTGAGGTGCAACACAGTACGGTCTTTCTACGAAGATTTCAAAGAGAGTCATGCGAGTTCATGGATCAGGGATGCAGCATTTAATGCCCCAGTGAAGCTTTCGAAACGTGTTATGTTTGTTGTTTTACGCTGCACTCAGCAATGTTCCAACTATATGACGGCGGTCTGTAAATAATCGAGTTTGGACCAGACAATACAATAATTAATATCATCAGTATCGATTCACGCAATTTGGACACGATGACATGCATCAACCAAGTCAGCGAACCTGAGCACAAATCCCGTTAGTCGCCTCTTACGACAAACGCTTTGCTGAAGACCAATTCTAACCAGGGTTTTCAGGGGTCACGTTTTAAGGTAGAAAGGTGGAGGGCATTTGCGTATTTGAAGCCTCAATGACAAAATTATGTCAGACATAATTACCATATACCTTTTACCAGATACTGAGGCGGACACTTAATTAGGGTAAAAGTATAATATATTATGAGCCTTATGCCTTATGAGATTCGCAACCGCATTACCATTTCATCCTGATGAAAGATTGTTGTCGCTTTTATTTAAGAACTGATTTTTCTTACTAATGCCTTGTAGAAAGATAAATGATTCGCTGTGGTTTGATATTTATGACACCATATATATATTTATCAATTAAAACTGGCTCCCACAGGATATATCGCTTGGATGAGATCAAGCGATATCTACACTGTAAATATCGCTGCAATGAAATTACATCACAATGCTTTGCAGACCATTGTGACGTCATTGGTTACCATGACGTCACAATCAAATTATATCACTAATGGCTCTGCTACTGAAGCTGTTAGCAGTACTTTTTACATTGAAGATACTGCTAATTACTGACTACAAATTGAAAAAGTTGGAAGAATGATGTTGGATGATAAATAAAATCTCACCCTCGTGTCTTTTGATATCAAATATATCAACACTCGTTGATAAAAGTGGCAAAAATCCTCGGCAAGGCTCGGACTTTTTCCACTTTCATCAACTCGTGTTGATAACCTTTGATATCAAAAGACACGAGGGTGAGATGATATATATATATATATATATATATATATATATATATATATATATATATATATATACAAAAATGAGGTAAATGTTCACTCGGTGTAATATATAATAAAATAATAAAGTCCACGTATATATATGGAGAAAGATGAGCCTAAGGGGGCAGCGCTTTTTGTGATCATGAATGTATGTATCTGACAAGTGTCAAGAATTGTATTATCCTTCCACTGTCAATCATTGGCATGACTTAACCTAAGATCGACGTGTCCTCTGACGGTTAAGAAATCAACTTAAAGTCTGATGAAGCAGTTCAGTGACATAGACACATTTGTGAGTGAGCGAAGAGAACATTTTTTATGACACAGTATTGGGGGGGGGGGGGGGGGGGGGGGGGGGGGGGGTGTCTAACCAACAGTTCTGAAAGCTTTACGCGAATGAGCTTAATTTTTTTCCTATTAGTTGCACATATTCTGCTACTCAATGGCTTAACACTGAATGGGTTGGGTGTTATACAACTGCTACATGAGTTGTACTCAACATTATTACATTTGGGATAAGAGGATAGCAGTTTTAAAGTTCAGACAACTGCGTCTCAACGCTAATAAGTTGAGGTAACGTTATTACTTTTGAAATACCGCGGTCTCAACAGGATTGCAAGTGAAATATCGCGGTCTCAACAGAATTGCAAGTGAAATATCGCGGTCTCAACATAATTGCAAGTGAAATATCGCGGTCTCAACAGAATTGTAAGTAAAATATCGCGGTCTCAACAGAATTGCAAGTGAAGTATCGCGGTCTCAACAGAAATACAGTTGAGATGACGAGGTCTGAACTGGAATACAATCGAGACAACGCGGTCTCAACAATATTACAATGAGACATTATGGTCTTAATAGATATGAAGTTGAGATGACGAGGTCTTAACATAATTACAGTCGAGATGACAAAGTCTCTTCAGGAATACAGTACAGATGACGAGGTCTCAACAGAATTGCAGTCGCGATGACGAGTTCTAAACAGAGTTACAGCCGTTATGACGAGGTCTCAACAGAATTACAGTCGCGATGACGAGTTTTAAACAGAGTTACAGCCGTTATGACGAGGTCTCAACAGAATTACAGTCGAGATAACGAGGTCTCAACAGAATTACAGTCGAGATGACGAGGTCTGAACAGGAATACAGTTGAGATGACGAGGTCTGAACTGGAATATTGTCGAGGTCTCAACAATATTACATTGAGACATTATGGTCTTAAGAGATTTACAGTCGAGATGACGGGGTCTGAACAGAACTACAGTCTAGATTGCGAGGTCTTAACAGGAATACAGTTGAGATGACGAGGCCTGAACAGGAATACAGTTGACATGACGAGGTCTGAACTGGAATACAGTCGAGATGACGAGGTCTAAACAGGAATACAGTCGAGATGACGAGGTCGGAAGAGGAATACAGTCGAGATGACGAAATCTGAACAGGAATACAGTCGAGATTGCGAGGTCTGGACTGGATTACGGTCGGGATAACGAGGTTTGAACTGGAATACAGTCGAGAGAACGAGGTTTGAACTGGAATACAGTCGAGATGATGAGGTTTGAACTGGAATACAGTCGAGAGAACGAGGTTTGAACTGGAATACAGTCGAGATGATGAGGTTTGAATTGGAATACGGTTGAGATGACGAGGTCTGAACAAGAATACAGTCGAGACCGCGAGGTCTGAACAAGAATACTACTACTACCACTACTACTACTACTACTACTACTACTACTACTACTATTATTATTATTATTATTTCGACCACAAACAACCACTATTACCACTACTACCATTATTTCTTTCCCCACTACAACCAATACCACCATACTACTACTACTACTACTACGACTAATACTACTACTACTTCTCCTCCTCCACCTACTACTACTACTACTACGACGACGACGACGACGACGACGACGACGACGACGACTAATATTACTACGACTAATATTACTACGACTAGTGCTTCTGCTCCTGCTGCTATTACGTCTTCTTCTACTTGGACCCCCAATTACTACAACAGTCAAACATCATTGTGTCGAACTTTGATGTGTCTAACTTACGGTTATCTCGAAGTAAAATCTTGGTTCCTGTGTATTCCTTCTTTATTCATCATTTTTGTTGTGTCGAGCCTCGGATAACTCAACTTCACACAACGGTGTTTGTAATAACAACAACTACAACAACCACTGCAAGTATGTTTCCCATATGGCATTCGCAGTCACGTTACTAGCTTGTCTATATATTTCAGAAGGACGCCATGGCGTATCTCGCTGGGGTCCTTGTGCTGGTAGCGTTGGTCGGATGTAACTCGGACGTTCACGGTGTATTGAAGATAAATGAAGGTACAGACATGTATACTATTAACTTGATTTTAATTAAGTTATTTATACAATCACTTTTTAAAAGGAAATGTTACCTGTCAGTTTTATTAAAGATGTCTTCACGTTTCCAACCTAACAGATAATATCGTAAATATGCAAACATAATTGTTCTGGTCACGTGTTTCCTCCTTTATGCCTGCCAATTAATGACAAAAGTAACAATCAGTCAAGTGTTACCACGGAACGACTTTATTCTTGTCACAATATGCTGCACGTGATTTACAAAATTTACAGGCTAATCCTGCTCGAATCAAATGATGCATCTCGAATCATGGATCTATGACGTCACATCCGATGCGTTCATGAGCATCGGTTAACACAACATACCAGTTTGTGCATCGAACCAATCTAATAGCTCTTGAATATGAGTAAGTCTTTATACATTAACCAATATGTATGGCATTCGCGTTTCTTTTGGCGCTGAGTAAATATGTAAATGATTCAAAGTCAAAGTCAAAGAGGTTTATTGTACAAAAGGCCACCGGCCCATATGCATGAAAGAGTTACGCATGTAGATACAATTAAATTTGTTACACATTGGGATATACACGTTGTTTGATTAATTCATTTCTTTTGGCTAATGCATGCTTAATATAAAGAGAAAGATTTAATATATTTGATCCGTTCTTTGTCGTCAGCATAACTACAAAGGCGTTTATCGGTGACATTGCTATTAAATAATCTTTTATATATTTCTTTCGGAGATCATTGTAAAATGGACAGACAAACACAAAATGAATTTCATTTTCTATCTCTAGCTTACACAATGGACAAATTCTTTTCATTTTTTCAATGGACAGTTTTCTTCCTTCATTTACAAATAGGTCTAGCAAACCAAGTCGATATTTAATTAACTGTTTTCTTAAGTTTTCCGTAGTGAGTACTGATAAATACATTTCTGGTTGAAGTAAAGTCTTGAAAGTTTTGTAATATTCATAACGTGAACTATCCTCTAAAGTGGAGTGCCATTCTTGGTAGAACATATTTATAGACCGATTCCGAAATTCATTAAGAAACATATTTACATTTCCAACTGACTGACATAGCCATATAAAACCAAAACCATGCGAAAATAAAAGATTTCTTATATGCGATGTCCAAGTATTCTTTCCCATGTTATCTAAATGTAGAAGCATGTTATAAGATAATTTGGGGAGACGTTGTTCATGCATATGAAGAATTTTAAACCAGTATTTTAAACATCTGATCTAAGAATTAATATATAATTGGTATCTACCACATTCACCATAAACCATGCAATTTGGTGTAGAAGATCCGACACAAAGAAACTTTTTACATGCTAATAAATGAACCTTCTCTAAACAGTCAAAACGTTGAAATCCCCATACTTCAGAACCATACAATAAAATTGGTTGTATCTGGGTATCGAAAAGCTTAAAGAAGATATTAGGTGACATCGATCCCACTTTATGAGAAATAGACATTACACTTATTAAAGCTTTCTTTGCACGCAAGGACAAGTCAAGGGCACATTTTTTCCAATTCATTGTGTGTGAGAACCAGATTCCTAAATATGAGTAGTGATCTACTATATTGACTAACTGACCATCGAATGACCATCTCTCTTTCGACGCTATTGGACCACCTTTTCTGAAGATCACAATTTTAGTTTTTTCCAAGTTTACTGATAATTTCCATTCTTTGGTGTACGTAATTAAATATTTAATTGCCTTTGAAGACCAACAACAGTATCTGACACTAGAATGACATAATCTGCGAAAAGTAGCATTAATATTTCTATCCAATCTGGGAACATTTGGATACCATGTTTACCACTGGCAGCTATTTCGTAATATAATTCATTAATGAAAAATGAAAATAAGATCGGACTCAAAATATAGCCTTGTCTTAGGCCCAAAGGACAATCAAAGAAATATGTTAAACTATCCCCACAACGAATACATGATCTCACATTAGAATACATTGATTTTAGAATAGTATAGTAAACATTTTCCCACGTAAACCAGATTCTAAGTACCTAAGCAACTGTGGCATGTAGCTGATGGTATATTGCTCACAAGTCACGTTCAGGAAATCAAAATCATCCCTCCTGTCTCACATCTTGGTACACCTTTGCCATCCTTTTGAATTTCTATGAACAGATCAAGACACTGAATACACGTTCTCGGTTGTTTCTTTGATTTCTAGATGAAAATACATTATATTATGGTCATAACGAACTCAAGGGTACTGCTAATTTTAGTTCGTTATAACCGAAGTTCGTTATAAGCATGCACAACGAATATATACTATACAGCAAATGTCCTGGACATAAGAACAGTTCGTTATATGCGTGTTCGTTATAAACGTAGTTTACTGTTTACTTAGTGTACTGTATCTTCATTGGCATTGTTGAGGTTTCACGTTTTGGTAAAGTTTCCTTTCTTTGATGTAACTAAAGTTGTAAAATACCCGATTCGGATACAAAGAGAAACATATTAGATAGGAGAGGGGCACAGTTAGTACCTATGTGAATATGTAATATAAAAGCACTCACATATTTTAATACCTGAATATTGCTTAGTTACCTTCAGCCTCAGCACATTTACCACATCCATTGAATATTATTATTGATAATAACATATTCTGAACCCATTTCTTGAAAAAAGCCCTATTGATTAGATAATGTAATTCTCTTTAAATATATCATAAGAAATAGATGTGTATAAGGTGGAAAAATTTGTAGCTTGTTTTCCTTGTCTCGGATTGTATAACCTCAAGTAAATTATTTGTTCAAGATCCACGTGTGAACTCCCATTTGTAGCATATATCTCGGACAGTATTTAATTACCTGTTTTCGAAAACAAGGACTCGAGAGCCATAATACACCCTCAGTTTTAAGAACCCAGTAATCCATAAAGCGCTCGGCCTCGGATAGTGAGTGAGTGAATGTTGTATAATGCCGCTATGAGTGAAATAAGGCTGTGATGATGGGGAGGTAACAGTCGCAACGCCGACTTATGCTTTGAAGCAGTCATAAAATGGTAGCGCGTGAAAGGTGAATGTGCTTGTTTGACTTCAGGTATTTTCTGTTTGATGTTAATCAGCGTTACACGCGAACTATAACGAAACTGTCATGTTTGCGAGGCTGTGTTCTGATGCATCTATCGCAACTGTTTCATAAGGCACTAATAAAAGTATCGTAAAATATTTTTTTACTTTTGATCACTTTATTATAACTCATAGGCGGATCCAGAGGGGATGTCAAGGGGGTCCGGACCCCGCCCCCCACCCCTTTTAAATCCAAATGTAGTATGTTGTTGTAGGCAGTAAAATTTTAATATTTTGGGCCCCTCCCTTTTAAAAATGCTGTATCCGCCCTTGTGGCCATTCTCTCTTATTCGGATCAACTCGGCTTATTCCGTTACCCATTGGATGAGAGTGGCTGTATGATTTCACTGTGACCGAAGTGACTGCCGATTGACACAGTGGTCGATTATATACCCTGTCCACTATGTACTGCTGAAATCCTTATTGAGTGTGTGAGATTGGTTGGTTGGTTTGTTGTTTAACCCCGCACTCAGCAATATTCCAGCTATATGACGGCGGTCTGTAAATATTCAAGTCTGGATCAGACAATCCAGCGATCGACATCATGAGCAATTGGGATCGATGACAAGCATTAACCAGGTCAGCGAGCCTGATCACCTAATCCCGTTAGTCACCTCTTACGACAATCATAGTCGCCTTTTAAGGCAAGCATGGGTTGCTGAAGATCTATTCTACCCCGGATCTTCACGGGTCCATAGTATTAGAAACATCGTGTATGATGAACCTTTGTTCAAGTTGTACGTGATTTGAAGCAGGGCCCCGTTCCACAAAGCGATCGTAGCGCATGGACAGTCGTAAGTCTTTGTTAAAGTATGGTAGTTACGATAACCTTAGCGCTGCATTAGCCCTGTGGAGCGGACCCGAGAGGTATATATAGTGACCAATCAGTTTGAAAGTACAAGATAGTACGAGCATTAACGTAAGGCTGACAAGACGCCAGTAATGAACAACACATTCAGTATATATTTTGTTTCATTATGCACATATAAACCCGTGGACTTTCTGGGTTAGAATGGCTCACCAGCAACTTTTGTTTGTCGGAAGAGGTTCAGTGGCTTGGCTGATTTTGTGTCATCACTCACATCCCGATGACGTTGTTTATAATGTCAATGACAAGATTGCCTGGGGATGACTCGATTATTGACAGTGAGTGAGTGAGTATGGTTTTACGCCGCTTTTAGCAATATTCCAGCAATATCACGGCGGGGGACACCAGAAATGGGCTTCACATATTGTACCCATGTCGGGAATCGAACCCGGGTCTTCGGCGTGACGAGCGAACGCTTCAACCACTAGGCTACCCGACTATAGATTATTTACAGGCCACCGTCATATAACTATGACACAGTTAAACACTGTTGACTCACTGACACGTAGATAGATCCCTGCAAATACTCTGGCGCTAAACAACAAACAAACAAGGTGTAAAGTCGTGGAAATGATATAAGCACATCAATATTTATCCAGATTCTGTGGATCGTTATTTGTTGAAATAATCACACCAGAAAAATAAATGTTTTAACTTTCAATGCCGTCCGACTTCAGATATGCTTCGTAAAGTTGGATCCCCGAAGGCCCAGAAGGAAGCTATCTGCCGATACCTGTGCGGCCGAGGCCCAGTCAGGACGGATGTATGCTTCTGTCGAGTGAGCATACCCTGCATGGTGAGTCGTCTACATCGCTACAGGGCATCTGCCCCATACAGTTTGTTTCCCTTTATCTTGGCTTCCGTGTGTCTTCCTGGCCTGAGTGGGCAGTCGGGTAGCCTAGTGGTTAAAGCGTTCGCTCGTCACGCCGAAGACCCGGGTTCGAATCCCGACATGGGTACAATGTGTGAAGCCCATTTCTGGTGTTCCCCGCCGTGATATTGCTGGAATATTGCTACAAGCGGCGTAAAACGAAACTCACTCACTCACTCCTGGCCTGGGTGTAAAGCCTGAAGTGATGCCGTACTAGAATAAGGTGAAACATAGATTGGGAAATATCATAGGATCCTTGCGTGCCTAAGGGATGCAACTCTGCATATCAAATAACGGCTTCTTAGATAGTTATATTAAAAGAATTCCTCCAGGAACCTTGTAACATTTTATTTCATACAGTATTGTAAAAAATCAAAATTATTTTCACAGTACCCCCGTTTGTTTTATTACGCAGCTGTAACCTATCTGTATTTACATTCATCAAGGAGCTCCTTTAACCCTGCGTACTCTATTGCATTGTCGTATTATTTCAGGACTCGTTCTGTCCGGCAGGAAAACGATGCAAGCGAATAGAGGGCGAGAAGGAGAAACTATATGCCTGTTGTCCATCTGGCAAAGTCGACATACCTCCAGGTGAGCTACCTTTCTAATTTATGAGCTAATTATATGTATGGACTAATACTACTACTACTACTACTACTACTACTGCTGCTGCTGCTGCTGCTGCTGCTGCTGCTGCTGCTGCTACTGCTACTGCTACTGCTACTACTACTAATAATAATAATAATATTAGAGGAAGAATAAGAGTAAGTTAAATACATGCCAAAGGTGTCGTAATATAAAGACTTTTTCAAACTAAAAATATATTCCGACCACCCCAGCGTGTTACTATGTGCAATGCCATACTGCGCTTGGTGTACATACACACATACTGGTACAATGTTAAGACGTTCCTCTATTGCCAATTACACATAATTATAAAGAAAATGACGTTATTCTTCACCTTTGGTACGACCATTTTTGTAGCATATGGTCGTGATTTAAGACCAAACTATTTGAAATTATAGTTGCTACGGGATCATGATGCTATGCTACCTAATGCACCAAATGATGCCGTAAAAGAGCTCCACCTCTCCTTTACAATGAGCTGGCATTATTAGTAGGATGTATCGACTAATGATACGTCGATCCTTCGCCATTGTCTGCCAGAGCTCCATTTAACTTTTTGAGCAATTGAGTTTTTACTCACAGGTTTCTATTTTATTTTATTTTTAATGGGTAACAAATACTTTTTCACTCATCTATTCATCACTTTATTGGGTTTCCCCAAAATGTGAGATTTAAAATGAAATAAAATAGTGCTTGAGATGTATATAACGGTTCTAAATACAGGATTGACTCGGAAAGTACATTAAATCATAATTGTGTTTCGGAAATTAGGTCTGTTGTACGCATGCTGAAAAAGCTTCATTGGGTATTTACGCATGGTGTTTTTATACATTTGAGTTTTTCCTTTAATGCATGCGTTTCTGTACGCAAGTTAATTGAAAGTAATTGGGTTTTGAACATTTTTAGGGGTATTTTACGCACATACGCAGCGTATCCGCAGCTCTGTTCTATGGGTCGATTGGTAGAAGTTGAAATATCGACGGTTTGCATCGAGACCATGTGTGACCTTTAAACGGTTCGAAATGAATTTAAAAAATGAAACTTATGTATAATCGCCACCCCTATTTAATACGCAACCCTTCAACTTTAGTCAGAATATATACAGTTTACATTCACACAAAACTATAATAACAGTTAATTCCCTTACATTTTCTCGATCAGTCTGAGGAATCTAACACGTTTGGCCAGGTACTGTGTTGAATTGAGGTCGAATTGAGGTTGTTGGGAGGTGTGAATGCTCGAAATACTACTGCAACAGTCAAGATGTTCCTAACGGCCTCCCGTAGCAAATGACCCTTTGAAACTTAGACTTTGAATGACTTGACTTGACTTTGCACGGGTGCCACGGGTGCCACCGGTGGGGCAGGATATGTTCACTTTAACAGCTGGTATTAAGCCTTTTTATTTATAAACATTGAAAGGGTTTTGTCGCTTTTTTATTGTACCAAACCACTTCAGAAATATCTACATATGACATGGGCCTCATTTAATAAATATCTAAGTAATCTTATGAAAAATGTTTATAAGAACACTGTATGTTTCTCCTGTATGCTTTAAGTGTACATATGGGATTAGAGTGTTTACCAAATATTTACATAATCCTTATTTCTCTTCCCAGATTGCAAACGATCACCTCGAGTTCTGCAGGTGCGGCCTCACCTCTCCTATTACCGCTACAACGTCGGCAACCGCCGTTGCGAACCATCTTACCTCTTTACTAAAGAAATAAAATGGCAGAAAATACCGGGCTATTTAAACGCCCACATGTGCAAGATCTGTACACTGTTTTCTTTCTGTGAACAAAGTGGGGACAGTTTGGACGCCCTCGAGTCTATTTTCAATTTCGAGGAGACAGTGCTAAAGGACTTTCAACTTCCTGAAGGAGAAAATAAAGTTGTCTAACGAACTTTGAAAGACATTGATTCTCTTGATCACCATGGCAACCCGAAATTGATAAAATGTTTGAGGTAATATGCACATGTTGTCATGTTATCATTAACATCATCATATTAGGCAACAGTGGGTATTTTGGACAATTAACCAGAGTTGAGAATTAGTCATCCACTCACGTGTATTTTTTTTTTGAAAAATCTTCTAATGACGTGACAAGCTGCATTTCTCTACCAAGAGTGACGATGTGGAATTATTTTATCCAGTATTGCGTGTGTCATTTATATTAATTTTTACCTTAGGGTTTTCCCTTGCTGGGATTAATAACAGATTTGGTGCAATATGTGAGATCGCAAGCAATGCACTTTCTACTGTCCGATTTCCAGTTCATCCCCGTCAGTAAAACCTTTCAGCATCTCTGAAGACGACCCTTGCCTCTATCAAAGCGGAAATGTGATGATAATTGAAATAAATTACTCATTATTATCATTAATCAATACGTCTTGGTTAAATGAAATTACCAAAGAGAATGAAAATGTATTCAAACTATAAAAAAAACCAATAAATCAATTAAAACAACATTTTCGAAACTATTTGTTTCAATGTAAATATGAATATGGTACGCTATCTTATTTTCTGTATCATATTCTACATAAGGTTCCCATATCTTCTCTTTCCCTGTTTCCGTCATCCAAACAATAACACCCAATTTGTGGTATGAGCGTATCCAAATAGTATTATACAGCAGCGTTACCAGTTCCTGACAGTCAGCCAGTTAGTCAAAAACCCTCCACAAAACTTTGTGACAAAGGGATGACTTCAACCCTCCCTTTAAATCGAGCAATAATCCCAGCAGCTCCATTCTTTGGTTTCTACATTTCACAACTTGTGAGATACAATCGATCACGCTCTTTCAACGAAAATAGTGTCATACAACTTTTGCTCAAAGGTTGTTTCATCAAGAGGACACCATTCAATGCCCCAGTAAAGCTTGCAAAACGTAGACATGTTTTTTTTTCAGGTGAAGAATTGACTTGCCCTTGCATGTGTTTATGATGTTTCGCGAACACCTGGAATCATCACTGTTTGATGTTGATTCCGAACACACAAAATTACATATAACACATTATACTGATATAGTCAGAATCGCACAATGGACAGGTTGGTCAGTAGAGTAAAACTACTTGTAACATTACACTTAAACTGTGTGATGTCCAACTGGTGTACAACAATTATTTATTCACATATTTTTAATCATAAGTTTGTCTTTTAAACCCAAGCTATTCGGCAGATAATTGAGAGGCCGATTTTTCTCTGGTGATGACGGTTTATATCTTATTAATTGAAAATCAATCATAAAAACAATCATAATAGATGCTGGTATTTGAAGCGACATGCAAGAAATCGTAACCCAAGTCAAGAGAATCCGTGACTGTCGGAGTATTTTGTGCAGACAAGGGAGACAAATCATGCACACCTATCTACATGCTGGAGTACTGTCAATTATGAAGGGGTGCCATTTTGTATCGATTATTTGTTTGATCTGTTTGAAATACAACATCTATAATTGCAGATTGTATATTTGGAGTTTGGATGTTTAGGGTGGTATATTAATCAATTAACCAATTTAATCTCATTGTATTGGGATAATAACAAATTTGAATGTTAATTCACTGAAATTAATGTTCACCGTACCTGATGTAAAGGGTTAACACAGGAATAGTTCTACTGCGATTGCCTGCATTCCTTATCACAAACTGTATATCATCTGAGCATAACACAGGCAGTGTTAGATTATCAAGGCACAGTCAGATAGCTCGATTTGTTGACAAATACCTTGCCGTCATTAATGACGAAAGATCTTGTTTGACATGTCAATAACATGTCCGGCATCCACTGAGTACATCGTGTAGCCCCACACACTATAAGCTGTCGCCTACAAGGAAGTCTGATTCACTCACAAGTTGGACAGTCAGCAAAGACGGGTATTATACAGCTTATTGTCCCAAGTGTGTTTAGTTCTACATGATACGCATGAGTCAACCGAATGCTGTGCATAGACACAGCGCGGGTTTTGTTTGCCTAGAGGCAACGCAGTCATACTTCAGTGATCTGAATTATCCTGTATGTCTGTGATAACCGGGTTGGCTGTCTCGTGATCATGCAATCCTATATAGGCGACGTTGAGATGTCGCGATGCTCTGTACCATCGATGTTACCACCCTATGCATGATATTTCAATGCGACGTTGTGATGGAAGTGTGAAATCAAGGATCGTTTACCTGTTGAAGAACAATATATTTAAGCTCACCATGTGCTAATACCAGTGAGTAAGTGAGTGAGTGTGGTTTTACGCCTCTTTTAACAATATTCCAACAATATCACGGCGGGGGACAACAGAAATGGGCTTCACATATTGTACCCATCGAACCCGGGTCTTCGGCGCGACGAGCGAACGCTTAAACCACTAGGCTACCCGGACCGCCCCTGCTAATACCAAGATTACCTTGAACATATTCAGTACCCAACTGAACCTACAGGTCATTCTGTACAGCCCCACCAGGCCCACATCCTGGCACCTGTATCAGCTACCACTGGCGAGATTTGTCGACATCATCACCAATCTACAAATAGTTAATAACTGAACAAGAAATGAATATTTTGTTTTTAACTAGATGTTTTCATCCTCAGGATGATGTTGTATTTGGTTTAAACTGGTGTGTAAACTTCTCTTGTTGTTTCTCTTCAAAAAGTCTTATACTTTAAAAACTCTTTATGACGCATGCTGCTTAAAACACACAAATGCACGCAAAGCAGGTGCGGTTTAAATTGCTAGATTGGGTAGGAATACAAATATATCAGTTCAAGGCTCAGAGAAGAAATCACAGATGTGACGTTCGTTTTTTTATGTTTGCGAAGTGGAAGTCACAGCCCATCTCTGTTACTTGAACAATGTAACACTTAGCTGCTTATTTAAGGATAACAGTACATGGCGATCAACGGAAACACGTTGCGCAACAATATTTAGTTTCTCACTTATACATACAAGGTATGTATAGGTAAGATAGGTAAAAATGTTGGTCATCTCATATTGCTCTTGCTAATGCTCAGATACAGGCCACTTTCACTAAATAAAGCACCATCTGAAAAGATCACAGGAGAACATGTGGCATTACTATTTCTTTAATGGATAAGTGATATTTTTTATGAAGCATTCGTGCATAAATGACATAACTGTATATGGATCACGTTATTAACTGATCATGGGTTTCTCGTTCATTTAATACGTCGGCAAAACACAAATACGATAGAGTATCGAACCTTTTAATATTGAGCTTAGCATACATAGACCTGAAATAAAGTAAACATACCTTATATGTATGTTTAATCATATTTTAAATCGTATTTACATCAGCGGGTATATAAATAATAATAATGATAATAATAATAATATATATATATATATATATATATCTTAGTTATTTTCATTCGTGTTGTTGTTCATTCGGACATGTCACTTATGGCAGGTCGAGTTTAAGTACACACTTCGGTGAAACGTCCTGATTCCTTCTGAGACGCGAGTGAACAAAATATGACAACTGAAGACAACGTGTGTATCGGGAAGCTGTGCGTGTTTATAGCAGATATTCCACTTTACAGTTGTGAATATAACCACACATGTTGTATAAGAAAACCTAGACGGACAAAACGGTAATGTACATCAACCAATTGCACGGGAACTTCAGTTAAACAAATATCAGAAAAGGACATCTGTAAATATGGATATAGTGAAGGATGGTGTAATATATGAAGCATTTAGAAAGACTTTTAAGTGAAATAAAATACAAAAAAACCCATCTGGTGTGGTTAGTGAAAAGACAAATGTGCAACCAAAACATTATTCAAAATTATGAAAAAGTCCATGAACAAAACGGAGTTATGGTGACTTAGAAAACAAAAATAAAAAAACCAATAAATTATATACAAATATTGAAAAATATGATTCATTTGTCTTGTCATACATGGGCATTAACCAACGTTCTTGCTACTCTTGCTAAGTTCAGCTGTCATGTGATGCAATGAACCTATTTGAAACCGATTATGCTGTGAGACAAAAAATGCAGTTTCAGGTTTACCCTTTCAGCCGTTTTCGGCATATAATGGACATACGATCACATACGGCCACATACCATAAACTAATTGAAACTTTAGTTTTCATGAGTTAATGGTGATACTTAAACTTTAAAACAGGAAACTGTTTCGTAAAAGTTTAGGATATCCTCATGCATTAGAAATTCCTTTTGCAACACTGTAAACATCCGTGTTTTCAGGTGTGTCACCTTGTCGACCAAGACCCACGTTGTTGTCTCCGTCAAGAGACCTTGTGTTGTAGCAGTCAGTGGTATCTCCTGCATTCTCGTTAACCGTAGCAGTGTGGTTGTAGGTATCGTCACGCCTGTCCTCCGCCTGCCTTGTACTTGCAACATCATAAGCGTCTTCTTCAAAGACCTTGTTGGTCCTACCAATGTGACTGTAGGAGTCATCCACTTTTCTTGGAGTCATTCCCTGATGTGTTATAACATTATAATCCCCGTCATCCTCATTATTTACCCGAGAGGTGTTTTCAGTTTGAACTCTGGGTCGTACTGTCGCCATGGGAACAGTGGGAGACACTGGCTTGTCACCAATTGTATCTGATGGCACGATGACAGTGTACAAATTGTCTGTTTGTGCAGGCACATCAAGCTGATCATACGTGGCGTTTCTTGTGACCGTGTTAAAGTGCACTGGCTGATCCCTGTCTTTCCTCTTAAAACAGAGTTTATTTTGTCTGAAACACATAGTTACAATATATGTCATGATGTACACATTTTATCTGTATTCTGTGCACACTTCGTACGGTCCAATCTATGTCAGGGATAAAAGCCGTCTGTGAGTACGGAACAGGCGTCTACGTACGAATCTGTGTTTTGTTGTAATCGTTTGTGTTTTGTTTGTTTGTTGTTTAACGCCGCACTCGGCAATATTCCAGCTGTATGACGGCGGTCTGTAAATAATCGAGTCTGGTCCAGACAATTCAGTCAGCATCATGAGTATCGATCCACGCAATTGAGATACGATGACATTCATCAACCAAACCACCGAGCCTGAACACCCGATCCCGTTAGTCGCCTCTTACGACAAGCATAGTAGCTTTTTAGGGCAAGCATGGGTTGCTGAAGACCTATTCTACCCCGGATCTTCATGGGTCTAATCGTATGTGCTTACTCGTAAATGAATTGGGTTTGAACAGTATGTCAGTTTCATAACACCGTGTCAGCTTGATTTGTAGAGGAAAAACCGAAACGGCGCAGGTCTTCGTCAAAGAGCACGTGTGTAATGCTGATAAATCAAGAGACATAATCGGGCGAATCTTGGAATAGAACCATGCGATCACTGGCTACTGGCAAGCCAAGGGGCGCAACACTGCACAGCGAACTGCGGCAACTTACACGACTGTGTCACCCTTGTCCCCTGGGTCAAACAGATGCCTTATTAAACCATTTTCCTTACTTTCATAAATTTCCCGTTCTTCGTCCGGAATACCAATAAGCAAATATAACCATTGATACGACACAAAAGAGGGAAATGCCAACGTTTGTTTCGTCCCATGAAAACAAGTACTAGTATTAAATCATAATATTTCTAATGGTATACTATGATTTTTGACTGCTTTATCATTTGATTAGAATGATTAGCCATGAACACTTAAAAACAAATATAAAAACAACAATCCTGAATATACTGACTGTATATATCTCACCTCATCAACAGGAGCACTACAATGATGGCAGCCAGTATAAGCACAACGCATCCCAAACCAAGTCCCACGAACACACCTGGAGAAAGAGAGAATGATATGTCAGGAATATATGTGGTCTCCTACTGACGCCATTGAACATAGTAGTTTGTGTGTCTGTTTGTGTACTGCGTTCATTGTGAAGTAATGGTTGAAAATGCTAATGTGAAAATGGTCAATTATGCAATAACAGTGAGTGAGTGAGTTTGGATTAAGGCCGCTTTGAACAGTATTCCATTTATATCACAACGTGGCAGCTTGATATGGGAGGAAAGCCCGATGTGAAGCCGGTCTCAGACATTTACAACTTTGGTAAATTCCGCGAGCACGGGTATGGTGCTGTCAAACCTAAAACCATAATCAGGGCGAACCAGGATTCGAACCCACGACCATAGGTTTCTGGCATGTCCAAGGAACGCAACTCTGCACAACGCATTGCGGCGCCTTAGACGACTGGGCCACCAGTGCCCCTTTATGCAGTAATAAGTAAGTATCAATATTGCTTGTTGAATATACAAGTAAATAATAACCGATAACTATATGAAATGCGTCGACTAAAACAACACTTAGCCCACTTGCACCAAGTATACAGGAAGTAGTGTTACCCACCTATCTGTTTTTCCTCTGAAGCTGTGATTGTTTGTGTAGGTCCTACTGCAGGACTGTTGGTAGAGGTAGACGTGTACCTCTCAGATATAGGAACATTTGCTGTTGTCGGTTGTGGTGTTGGTGTTTCTGTTTCTGCTTTAGTTATGTTTGTTGTTGTTGCTGGTGTTGATGTGTCTGGCGGTGTCGAGGTCACGGTGGTTGCTGATCCTTTTGATCTAACTGGAGAGTTAGAGAGTTATACAATATTAAGATCGGTCACCAATTGAATCATTATACAACTTGGCATCGTCAAGGCTCTGCAGTTAGTTCGTTTTATGCAGCTTAAGTCTGCGAATGCCTGAATACACTTCCCGAAACACATACTTCTTTATTACTCATTAAGGTGTTGTGCTATTTGTTTGACTCACAATCATCCCACTCATAGTTGTACTCCCATTTCACACATTAACCACTCTCTCCATTGCAACGGATGTCTGGTACGGCGTTCGAAGGTTATCATGTAAAAGGGAGCAAACGTCGACACCACACACACATCCTTTTTGACCCACCTACCTCATCACGTGCCCGTCTCCTTCTTTCATAACAAATGCTCACCTTCTTCACATATTGACGCGTAAGGAGAAGAGCATGGCATACATACTCCTTTATAACTCATGTTAAAGATGCTTTGCTATTTTATTGGCATCTCATTCACCCCACTCAATACTCTTATTTCCCTCATGAACAACTGTCTCCAAAACAACGGATATTTGGTACGGCGTTCAGAGGTTATCTTGTAAAAAACACACACACACATCCTGTTTGTGCTACCCACCCCATCACGTGCCCATCTTCTTCTTTCATAATAAATACTCACCAACTTCACAAATGGAGGCATGGTGAGAAGAGCATGGCTCCCAAGACAAATCACCGTATGATTCGGTAAAGTACACTGCAAGGCAGTGAGGTTCTGATGAACTTGTGAATGAAAAGTCCATATCAGGTACATTTGCTTCCTGTCCTAGAAATGGAAATACAATACCTCACTTACGACTACAAACATGCATCTTTACTCACTGTGAAGACCGGATAACATCGACAGTGACTGATACATAACGTAGAAGAGTGCTTTGCTTGTAATCCTGTTACAGTTTACTCTATTACCATACAACTGTCACTTAATAATCAAGATTTCAAAAGGCAAACTGAGCTCTCCAATTCCAGCCTTTCAACTCTTGTTTTGGAAGCTCAGGAATCTTGACTTTACTTCATTAACCCAAAAATATACCGTGCGCGTGTCCCAGATTATCTAAAGCGATATATTTGAGACATAAAATACGATAAACAACGACTTAAGAGAAGTCATAAACCCCAACAGAAACTGACATTTTCCGCTTGTCTGTGACGTCATGTTTTGGCGTCAGAATGCCTGCCTTTTGACCATAAAAAATGTGCGCGCTTTAGAACTAACGTTGCCCTGTGGCTTCATTTTCTCCATTTAGCACAGTTCCATTGTAACGATGTGCCAACTGGTAAAGATATCAATGGTCAGATATTGAAGTGATTTAAATACCATGATGAAGTTACGTTTTAAATGTATGAATGCATACATACATGGAATTATAACTGATCGATATTGATCCTTGTTTTGGACCATTCATCCAGCTGACTATACTGATGCCATGTGAATTGTTACTTCCGGCATTAGCAAAGGGTTCGCGTTCATTTTGTCATTTAGCAGATATACAATAACTTTCAATCAAGGACGAAGGAGCGGGGTTTAAGCTAGAAAGATAGGAGAGATAGGAGAGATATGGGTAATATGGGTAATTCCTCGTATCTTCTAGTATCTTCTCCGGGTGTGACCCTACGAATGGACGTATCCTGCCTTTTGTCTACTTTCTAGGACATTTTGCAAAGTTCCATAGTTTTCAGAGTTAGAGTACGGAGTTAGAGTTTGGAGTGAGAGCACATAATCTGCAATGGGGGACCTACTTCATCCTACCTAATATTCCAGTGAGATATGGTGTTTAATGATTACATTACTATGGAGGCTTCTATCTGCCATGGTTGTTCAAAAGCGGTTGCTCGCAATATAGTTTCGCGCTTTATGTTGATCAAGCACTGGAAATGCATTGAGTACAAGACTGACAGTAAGTGTTATTTTTTAGATATCTTATTGAGGGCAACGTGTTTAGTATCTACTAACGTAATAGATTTACGAATGATTAAAGTTTGATACATTTATTTTGCCCTAGTGGCATTGGTCATTCTCAATTGTAGATGTTAGCTAAGGGTACACGATTCAGACAATCGACACTCTTCCATATACTTTCTGATATAGCGTCTGAGACCACGCAATGATGCTTTGACTGAACAATCAGCAGTAGGCACATTGATGTCAGACATATTTATTGGGTAGACTCGACAACACACTGTAATATAATCTATATAATCAAGCAACTTTTTCCCCACACCTAACACCGCTGTAAATGTTCAGTGCAGTTAAATAGACTGTTCAACAAAGTAGTTATGTTTAAATCCAATTGTAATGGTAATCTTTAATGATACGTGAGTAGACGTGTAAAAACATGGCGGCACTTCCTGGTTGCAAATCCAAGTCGGATCAAAGTAATCAAAAGCCTGACGCTACACACAATATCCAAGCTGAGATTTAACAAGCATGGCGCAGAGTGGCACTTTGCTGTTTTGTCAAGTGGACAGAATCATACTGATTGCTGCTATGCCTATTAAAGTGCATATTTCTTTTAATTGAATAGGCAGACCTGTCCACACTAGCACGTTTGAAGGTCTGTGCTTGTTGTCGACATGCTCGAAGTCGTTGATCAAGTGCATCCAATAAATGTTCGAATGGGTTTACATCTGGAATACTGGAGGGCTATGGCAGGACGTTGATTTTGTGATTCCTCAAAACACTGTTGACAATCTTGCCGTATCTCACTAGAAATTTGATACTGGTGAAGCAGAGGGTCAGTGGTAAGTTTGTTCTATGTTTTATAGGATGCTATAATTCCTGACCAGTGTCAACTGTTTAAACAAAGATAGGTATATTAAGCCATCAAGGATTTTGTTAATATTTTAAATGTGTAAACAGCAACCCAACTGCAGCTCCAGGTTTCAAACAAATCACTGGCAATATAAGTATCCAAATCAATATATCTACTTTCGTTTCATTCAGAAGCAGAAGATAGAGGACCGTAAAAGGGTTGGACATACATAATTTTATTATCATATCAATTACAAAAACAATATCTATATATTTAAAAATATGTATGCCCCTGATTATCTATTGCGCTCTACAAATATGTGTGCCAGTTCAGGATATCCGAAGAATTTTGGATGATGCTACACAGGGCGACTATATCTGGGGCAAACTGAACATCATTTCACTCGGCACATACAATTGATATTAAATTGAAGCTTGTGTAATATATTATAGATATTGACCAAATGATAGAAGGTATACCCACCTGTGATCCATTTTTTAGTGGACCCATAAAGAAGCCCGAGCCAACATTTTTCGTTTCGTGGCATTCTGGACTTTAGATATTCCTCAGTCGAACTCTCAAGTTTCACCAAATTGCAGCTTTCATTAGCCTTCGTCCACGACTGTCCTCTTTTGGAAATGCACATTCTATTGTTGCAGTTGAAATGGAGCCACCGACTAAAAAAACTAGTACCTAAAACATCATGTCAACGATGATTAATAGTTCAGAATTACACGATAATACGATAATAACACGACATTCAATGAATGAGGTTTTGATGACATCAAAAATCATCCAACAAATACAGGTTGAAATATCACGGTACACATGTATTGGGTTACCCCTATAGGATCTCAGTTTCATGATTAACGGACAGAGGCATGCAGTCATGGGCACGATGTGCACGAGGTCCTTGAAAACCTCTGGTTCGAATGTATCGTGACAGAATCGTTGCACATCATTGTCAGAGAGCACAACCATATTTGCTACAGAGGATTGCAACAACTGAAAGCCTTTATGTCCCCTCAGCGTGAAAGACGTTGTTTGACGACCGAAGCATAAGGAAGATGCATACTTAGGTATGCTTGACATTCGTTGCAAACGTCTTTGGTGTCAGCGAAAGGGTGATCAGCAGAGCATGGAATCGATATCAGACCTTTGGAAGTTTGGTCGACAGCGTTCGACCACACAGCGGGAAGACAGCTTACTCCTGATTGCAGCAAGACTCCCACCGCACTCAGAAATGACCTGCGGAAGGCCAGTGACCTTAACGTTTCTACGCAGACGGTGTGTAATCGTCCTCGTGAGGCTAGTCTCCGGTCTCCGGCATCTGCACATTTGGATTGGAATCAAGATCACGTCAAGTGGACAGAGCAGGAGTAGGCTACAGTACGTTTAACTGATGAATAGAGATACTGTCAAGACTTGTGGCGTTGACTAAGAGATTTCAGGATTCCAATGTAGCCGAACATGACCGCCATGACGGGGGGTGGGGGTGGGGGTGGGGGTGGGGGTGGGGTGTCAATCATGGTTTTGGGTGGGATTAGTAGAGCTGGAAGAACCGATCTCCATGTCCTACAGCAGGGCACTAGGACAGGTGCGCGCTACAGGGATGACATTCTGGCTGTGTACATGAGACCGAATGTTTGGTGCAATCGGACAGGTCTTCATCCTCATAGACGACAACACACTTCACCGTGCCAGGTCGCAGCAGGATACCGTTTTTGGCATAGAGAAGCCAGCCCGGTCACCAGACCTCAATCCTGTCTAACACATGTGGAACACACCCCGTCATTCCCACATCTCTACGAGAACTCGGCAAGGATCTCACTGAAGAGTGCAACACCCTTCCATTGGCAATCATCGAAACACTTATTTGGAGCATGTAACGAAGGTGCCAGGCTGTGATCGGACCACGTGGGTCATATATGTGTTACTGAGAGTTTGGTTTTCTTACAATAAATTTGCTTTCAGTTTTTGGTCAGATAATCTCATTTTGAAGGGTGATCTCAAAGATTATTGGTCATATATTGTTTGTTGGCATTGCTTGGCACATGACATGGACTTTTATTTCACCTTTCAAAGTGAAGATCCTCAGCAAACTTTGAGTTGTATGAGACCAACTCACACCAACATGTTTATCAATCGCCTAAATATTACTTGCCCATGTTGATTGGCTAATTGTGACCAAACACAGTTCTGATCAACAAATAGTAATTGGGGAGAGTGAGATGTTAGTAAACATGTCATTCCTAATTTCGCTGTGACTGAAGACTACTTCATGTAGCCTACGGTGTGGACACACGTTTTTCTTCGTGAAATTGTTCTATCAAGGTAAAGGAAAAGGGAATGAAACAATCAATTCAGTCAGTTACTGCACGGTCAAAGACAACGGAGCCAGGGTTTGTAAAGTACATACTCTGGCTTCTTAACCAGTGGTTTGATAATATTACAAACATATCTCACAAGTTTTCCTTATCTCAACTAGGCAACAAGACATTCATGAAATAGGAAGTTTTCGTGAGTGCCAATTCTAAAATCAGAAAATGTACACTTACCAGGACCAGCATACATACATTCAAGGTAGGGGGCACGGGTGGCCCAGTCGTCTAGGGCGCCGCGATTCGCGTCCCTTGGGCACGCCAGAAACCTATGATTGTGGGTTCGAATCCCGGTTCGCCCCGATAATGTTTCTAGGTTTGTCAGCACCATACCCGTGCTCGTGGGTTTCACCGAAGTGGTAAACGTCTGAGACCTGCATAACTTCGGGCTTTCCTCCCACATTAAGCTGACACGCCGCGATATGACTGGAATACTGTTAAAAGCGGCGTTAAACCCAACTCACTCACTCACTCACATTCAAGGTATTTATAATTATTGGAAAGGTAAACGTGTTTCTATTCTAAGCAATCAAAAATTGACAGAATTATAGATTTACCTCTCTTTCATGAACAAAGAACTTTTCAGTAATATGCTTAAATATGTAATCATGTCAATTGTGAAAACGAGTTGTTGACCGAATACGCTGCTGATAAAGACTATTAATAGAAACATTGGTGATTCTGTACCAAATACAAGTGTGATTTCAATATTTTGCACTTAAAACTGGAGTTCTTCTTTGTCTGTATATCTTAGTCTTCTATGGTATATATTGAAGTACATTGTATTAATGCTCATTTTGAGATTAAGAACTATGTTGTCCGCTGAATTTAATTGTTATTATCAGGTCACTAAAACAACAGATTTGTAAATTACATAGAATTAACAGTTACTCACTGTTTCTATAACATGCGTATCTTCTGTCTTTTTCTTCACATTCGTCACCATTATCAAGCGATACGGTTAGCCGGTCGTTCGTCCATTTTGCATAAGCACATTTCCCATTTTTTGTCGGTGTGAACGGTAAGTCTGTTGGTATTTAAATGGTATTATTTATGTTTCATCTATAAAAGCGACAAACACCATTTCCATAATGTTTGCTAAAAGCAAAGTCTGTTGTTCGATTCCGGCTATACCATTAACATGCGTTTATGAATTTGTGATGATACTAGGTGTTCGCCCCACCGGTAGCATCCGTCACAAACACATACCAACTTTAGTATTCAACTGAACAAAAAATGGGATCAAATGGTACAAGTAATAACAGGGAATAGTATCGGACATCGTCAAAACTTTCCACTTCGTATCTAACACAAAGCGTTTTGAAAGCCTCACAAAGTCAAACCACGCTCTCAGCCTAAAAATAGTCAAGTATTAAATTTAGTGAAATAGATTCCTGTAACATGAAAATTCAAGGAAAACAACTAACTTTTAAACTGATGTCATCAGTGATCACTACATATCCTAGCTGACATTGACTGCCACAGACAAAACGTATCATTTAGTAACAAAAAAAATACAGACAGTAGTAATACCAAGGTTATAGACCGACATCCGGTTGGCGTCCCCGCACACTTCGTCTTGGTTCCCTGAACATGGTTCTCCTTGTGTGTTGCTGCTTGTAACGTTATGGTCGTCACCAAGACAATAACACCTGTCTCTCTACCAACAATAACACATTCAACAAACATTTGAACAGCAGTCTAATATGGAAGCAATGAACGCGGTGTAATGTATCTGGAATGCATCATGTGTCTGCTAGAAGTTAACGTCATAATATTTTCAAACATATAGTTTTAGTATATACAACAATTAACCTGCCTTTATTCCGAGAGTAGATATGACATTAATATTTGTAATAGCACATGTGCATACACTTCGACATTCATCTTACACTCAAACCTAGTGGAGTTTGACACCCGGAATGACTGAGGGTGTCTGAATGCATCAAAGTGCGGATGTCTGGTGGACATTGACGTTATACTGATTGCATACAATTGTTATTCTGTCAACGAAACAGGAGAAATACTTGCGTGTTAGACTTCATTGTAAACTGTAATGAACCTGTTTTAGAATTAAGATCAATATTTACGTAATCTGACATAAATCTTACACTCAAGCCGAATATTTGGGTATCCTTTCCACAATGACGGTGACATCGGTAAACGGAGGTGCCAGAAGAGCTACTGTTGGCTTGTAGATTTTCAGTAAGAAAACTGAACCCTTGGCTTCTGTACAAGGGACTACCGTCTCCTACAATATCATAAACAAACAATATTCATTAATAACACCATCTGAAAATTAAATGGCAATGTATATGTTTTCCAAACATTCCATGTTCTTCCCTGAAAAAACCCCAACTCCCCCAACCTCCGAGATTATGCCATCATTATCAATCCTCGTGGACAACACTAATGCTTATTTAGATGAGAATACAAACTGATTTAGTCGACAGTGATAATACTGGCATGCCTCTCTAAGTATTTCGGTTTTTTTAGTTTCATTTGATTATGTACCAAACCAGATAAGGTGTTTATGTTAAATGTTGACTAAATATTTGCATAAATTCATATTGTATAAAATTAATGTAAAGCCACGTTGTGAATTGTCAAAGACAGATCAAGCAATAGTATCATTCACCTGTCCATCTCCATGTTGAATACCTCATCGCCCCCAGCCAGTAGTATGTTTCGTCCTCAAGGTAAGGGTCGGGTCCTGTCACTAGAACAAACAGGTCATCATATTTTTCCTGGCAGTTGGCCCGTGCAGCCCACCAGTTGAGTTCCTCATTGTTGAGGTAGATATGTTTTCCTTCATCGGCTGTAAATGAATGAGAAATATGTTTGTCACACAGGTACCATGATTTACGATGTGCATCATAGCTGTTCTGAATAGCTGTAAGGCTTCTTCTCTGCACTTGTACACAGCAAACGTCATTCAAAATTAACATCTTTCTCAGTTTCAACAACATTAGTAAATGCGCTATCATGCCGCTTGATTTTCGGGTCCATCCATCACTTGATTGTCTGGTTTGCTTTCAGGCCACTCTCGCATGACAAGAGAACTGCTGTGCGGCGTCAGGCAACAAACACTTACTTTTTTTATGGAAATTGTGTGAGTGGCGGGTGATATCGGTGGGGCAGGACATGCTTACCCTTATCGCGAACACCTGGTGTCATCACTGAATTCCAGTGTTCCATTCAAATTATTCTCACTGTTATTTTGTCTTACACTCCCACTGGAATCTGTTACGACGGATAATCGAGACGCTGACGTTAAATATTATCATGGTGAAACCTGTATACGACGTTATAATCTAAAACCGCAGGTATCAGGTGACGAGATTGATATTTTTCAGGCTCACAGAGCAAACGCGAAAGCGGACTGCCTCTCTGTGATCAGCTGAGCCGGATAAAATACATCACCTTCATATGACATTTGTCGTGTCATCCACACACAATTACAAGAGCATGGAGCTAGCCCCCTTCCTACAAAGTCGTCGTTTGTGGCACACCAACTTATGTCATTTATATTTCAGCTTCGAAACGTTACCCCTATCCCGGCTCAGAGGGAGCCGACAGATTACAGTAAGGACACGGTAAATCTTTAATACAAAAATCAATAATACACTTCCCCTAACGAGGATTTGGACAATACGTTGGCTCGAGTTCTCTTAAACACATTCCGAAAAAAACTCCACTCCAACCAGGCTCCTCCTCTGATTCTTGCTTATAGGATTTATGGGGAGTTTGGAACGACATTTGTAGCTGAAAACGATGGCTTGTCGCTTTCAGATTCCATTGAATTTTCGAAATTAAGGGAAGTCATTAAGTCAGACATTCTGTCAATTCATATGCACCGATTGAACCCGTTGCTAGGTCTGTGTCCATGGACGCCCTCTCTACTCTTTATAACTCTAACATGGTACCCGTATCTTTATCAGTACAAAAACATGACGTATCTCTGTCATCCAATTCACAAAACACAAATGCAGATATGATGCACTCCCTCTTTTCCGTTTCATTTTACTGCGGTGTATTCAAAATAAACATGTGCAAGTCGAGTCTGCCGTTGAAGACAATCCTCCCAAACGTCGCCAAGGCTCGTGACAGATAAACCGCCATCCCTTGTCAATCGTAAATTATTGTCTGCATGCTCAAACTGCATTGCCAGACCGAGTTCAATTCTCTTTTGCCAAATAGTCTGCCAAGTTTGTCGTGCCACCTTCCTTGGCCAGATCCATCTGATCAGCAATTTGGTTCGTGAATACTAGTTGTTAGATAATAGGGTGGTCGAGATCTGCAGAGTCTTTGGCCCATGGTTTTATTCCAACGTTGTCTCACGAGGGATAGCTTCTAGACCTGTCAATGCTCAACAGAGGCCTATCTCAACATAACAATGCACTTATGATCCAGGGAAGACAATTCGCTTTCGGACCAGCAGTATCAATGTCTGTCCTCTCTCGTTTGACGAAATGGGTGGTACGTGGTCATTATCTTAGGAGGAATTTTCACTCTCTCATTATGCTATAGGTTTTATAGTGACCCCTTGTTCCAGTCCCGGTGCAACAGTTCCCTGCTACAGTTTCATTTAGTAGAATTTAATATAGAAAAGGCCACAGTGACCCAGGTCAGCCGTCGTTTAGACATCCACCATCACTCGACTACATTGTCTGTTTACTCAGATGGTCCAGCATTCATTCTCTCTGTGGAAGAAGCCGAAGACCTATTTGCAAACAGGATCAATGAAAGCAAACAACATTTTTCTTAATCATAAGAAATCTCTGCTAAAAGCAGATTCCACTGAATGATTCTGTATATATCTGTATAGTGTAGTGTATCTGTAGTGTCCCTAATATTTATTTCAACTTTCTTATATAATACCCTACTCATGGAAATGCAAGGTACACCCAAGGTCCGATCTCTCACACAGCATTTTCTTGAGTGTTGTTATGTAAGTGAGTGTATGTTATGAGTGAGTGTAGTCAGTAATATTCCATGGCGGTTTGTTCATAATCAAGTGTAGACCAAAGACACCCAGCTTGACAACCCGATCCATGTGGTCGCCTCTTATGATACCATACTACGACGCAGAATAGAATACTGGTTTTAACCGTCGGCGATATTCATTCATCTGATTACAAGGCACGTGTTGACAGTTAAGGCTGACTCATCATCATCAACACATATCATATACGTCAGTTTGCCCCTATTGTCCTAGTACTGACTGTACTGTTGATTCATTGCCAAAATATAGCGACAAAACCCTTTCCATATTCATCCCTGTCGAAGTGAAAGAAATCCCTATCAAAACAGAGTCGATTGTACGATTCCGACTATATCATGAGCATAGGTTTATGAATCACTATCAAATAGGGATGATACCAGGTGTTCGCGAAAATAGTGAGTGTATACTGCCACACCGGTGGCACCAGTCACAAACACATACAAAGGCAAGTCAACTGTTCACCTGAAAAAACACGGGAACTTAGGGCACAAGTCAAAATAGGAAATTGCATCGGACATCATTTTCGTCACTGATGCGTGAAAAATTATTATCAACTACATTACCTGACAATATTTCTGAGATTGAATTAATACATGAGTAGAGGGTAGAATGATGCTTCTGATGATGCTTTTTCAATGCGTTTACTACAACAAACACATTGTGGAGGAATATATCATTTAATCACAACACGTCTTCCCAAAGTGGTCAAAAATACAAATTTCTCGTCACTCTGAGAACATTTTTCTGTAGAAACTTACTTCTTGTTACAACGGTAATTATCTCCAAAAAGTGACTATGTACCATACAAAGTCAGTCAAAATAAAATACTGATATCTATTAATAAATGGGCCGAATTTTATCAATCAAATACACCAATCCATTATAATTTAGCAGTCGAACACAACATGGAGTAGTTGTCTGGTTGTGTAGTAATCATGCGTTGCTTTCTTATTACATCCGGGTTAGAATACGTCCGCACCATGGTGGCCCTGTGCGCGTGCATTGGTGTGTATCAAAGTTCATACGTGAAGAACCTGGCAGAAATGTAAGTCGCGGCACTAATAATTTCCGCATAAAATTAATAGCAGAAAAGACTCTTTAAGTTTCTTGATGTGTGCACATGTTGCTGACACCTTCAGTGAGTGAGTTGAATTTAACTCCTCCTATTTCAGTTATATCAAGGCTGTCATATATATATATGCAGGTCTACGACGTTTACCACTTTGATAAAGCCTGCGACCACAGGGATGGAGCTGACACACCAGTACGTACTTTCATAAGGTTATGGCACCTGTGCCCCTGACACTGTCAGAAGAAACACGAACATACATGGGACATCTTTTTCCAATGCCAGAACATCAGTCACACATGAACACAACTATCCACCATGGTTGAGGGAAGGGAGTATCAAGATCTCTAGATGTATGTGCGAAGGTCCAGGTCATGTCCCTGTTGAAAGCGATATAAAAGTTTGTACAGTGTTCTACTTACTTATGTTCCAAGTAGCTGTACATCCAAATAGCAGGTAACAGGCAAACAACCACACGAATGACTTCCCTAGCACCTGGTGTGTAGATCCAGGTCCGCTGTACGCAGCCATGTTTGCTTCAACCAGGAAGTTCATTTCACGTAAACAGGTAAGTGATCACCCGCGTGTACAAATACCATCCTTTGTTAATCCTTTGTGTTGATTGAAAAAACATTTCAAAGGCTCGCATGTCTAGTGAACGCTTTATATTACAAATGCAGTTGCATCACTATGTAAAAATAGGGAATATCTTGTTTTGAGGTGGAAATACAACAAAAGACACCAATGTCTGGTAATGAAAGTAAGTGAATTTTGTGGCAAGACTATTTCCAAGAAAGCTCCCAGACACAAGATTGTGACAGTCATGAAGCATGTGACTTCGGAAAGCAATTATTATTCTGCAGATAAAGGAAGATAAAATATATATATATATATATTAATTTTGCCAATAATTGACTACTGGTAAGGTAGAATGAGTGAGTGAGTATGGTTTTACGCCGCTTTTAGTAACATTCCAGCAATATCACGTCAAGAGACACCAAAAATGGGCTTCACACATTGTACCCAAGTCGGGAATCGAACCCGGATCTTCGGCGTGAAGGTAGAATGAGACAAAGAACAATAAACAATCACTAGCTATTATGAGTGAATGAGTGAGTGAGTATGGTTTAACGCCTCTTTTAGCAATATTCCCGCAATATCACGGCGGGGGACACCAGCAATGGGCTTAGCTGTTATGAGAACTGATATAGTTGCTGTACGTCAGCAGCAGTGTAGTCACAGTCTATATTCAATGAAGACAATAGTGCAAGTTGTTTAGGAACTTGTCATTAGCCGTTGTTCTACTTAGTTCTAAGATACTTTTGTTTGTCTCTGTTGCACAATGAAAACATTTTTGTGAATTATTCACACGGTTTATCCTTTTCCTTGACACCCACTGGTGTAATCTATATGTTAAATGATGCAGCAAATGCCTGTACAGTGATATCGTATTGTCAACATCCTGCTGCCTGCATTCGGACGTCCTCGTGTGTGTCCATGGTGAAGCGTGTTTTTTCCTGTGTTTGTGTCCTGTATTTAAACATAACAAATGTTCATATATAGTCACAAAATTTACGGAAGTTATATCCCTTTCTTCAAATGAAAATATGCCAGCTGCGTTGTACGTTTAAGGACATTTATTACAATCCATTTCTAGGTTATATATACTCACTTGTGTTCATATGTTTGGCATAGTAAATAATAACTCACGTTTTCTTGAAACCGTGTAAGTGTAATGTTCGATTTTTAACAGTATTTCATTTTATCACAGCTCTCAAATTAAAGACCTACTGTGCAAAACACAGAAGATTAAATCCCTTAAAACATGTATCAATGGAAATCATGACAAGAACAAAGAACAGAATAAAAGTGACAACGATTTAGAACCTCGGTATAATTTTATTAATTTCATTTGAAAATTAACAACTTGGCAGGTTTCTGGAAACACAATGGCCACTATGTTATTAATCTGATCCATAGATATTGGTCCATTGTACCGGACAAAAACACGGAAACATGTGGTACAAGTCACAAGAGGGAATTTTTCTACTTCACCAATCCATGGAGAAATTCCGATTCATGTATAAACAACCAGATCAGCAAGAAGGGGAGCACAACTGGACGGCATATTTTGATTAAGGAACACCCTCAAAGTGTTCTGGCCAACGATTTATCAGTAGAAGGAGGCTGCTTGCCTCTGGGACTAACGTCATGCCACGTTTATAGCTGTACAACGTTGCTATTGTGACGTCATAATTGTAGTTCATGTTTTTGCAATATACGAGGGGCGTTCAATAAGTTTTGCAACTTCAATATATGACCAAGTCTCAAAATAATTGCGGATTTCTATAAAAGTGGTATTAAAAGCTTAAAGGACAAATGGAATAAGTGTATTAAGGTGAATGGAGATTATATTGAAAAATAAAAGTGCAACTTGGTCTTATTTTGAAGTTGCAAAACTTATTCAAAGCCCCTCGTAAGATTACGAACAGGTGGATATTATGTCGTAAGGAAATAACCGTTTCAATAAGAAACCTACATTTAAACAGTTAACTAATTTCGAACTTTCACCAAAGATAGCACAGATTATTTTATATAAATTTATCTTTAACGCAATTATTCAAATCATAATCACAAACATTTTGTTTAGGTGCAGTCAACCAGGATGCAGAACATCGGGTTGAAAGCTGACCAACACAACACGCGAACTTTATTATCTGTGTTTCCTTTTAACCCTAGACAAAAACGATGTTATGGCAACAAAGGGTTAACATTATTTAACCACAAAAGTATGGAGATATAATATACTGGATAAACAAATATCACAAGTGCATGTCTTAAATATTACAACCAGAAGTAGAATTTAAGAGGACCAGTATATCGTACGGTATGATCAGTATGACCCTTCACACAAATGCCTTTTTTTACACAAATTGTGTGAGTGGCGGGTGTCACCGGTAGAGCAGGGCGTGGTTACCCTTTCGCGAACACCTGGTGTCATCATTCATTTTCAGTGATCCACTCATATAATTCCCACCACTAATTTCGTTTTTACGCCCTGGAATCTATTAAATGGATGTTGTATGATAAATCTCATAGATAGAGTGTCATGTCGCCTAAAATGCTGCATCTGGGAGTTCAGATGTGTATCTCTGCGCAACTAGGTCCCACTAGTTTTGGGAATAATTAGCTCTTCCACCCCGACATTTTTGGAGTTTTACTATTCTAAAATGGATGTCTGATGTACTTGTATTTATTTCACCTAGTTGCCGCCACTCTCACTCGTCTGTTTGTTCTACCTGAGTGACCAAAAGGTTAATTCGTGCATTTGCCATTATGACACATGGCAATGTCGGACATTAAGGACCTCGTAAATTCTAAACGTATTTGTGAATTACACACATATATTTACGATTCTATTGATGATAATGGCGTTGGTAACCTATTTGGGATTTTCATTTCATTTCGAACGGATTTACACACATAACCATAATTCAACCAAGTTGATGAACTTGTATTGTAGAAATATTTTATCCATACGGCATGCGATAACTTTTCATTAGCTACATGTCTACATGTTTACACGCTATACAGCTTTTCCATTGGACGAGAGGTCGGTCACATGACCGCGAAATTGTCGTTCATCAATGTATGAACGACATATTTTGACGTTCATACCTTTTTCACGAGACCATGTTCTTGAAATGACGTAAACACTGACTGACTCCTGGGAATTCCTAGCACGAATACATGCAGAAGCGTTCTTTCTGAACATTTAGACCCTTTAATCTTAATCTCGGCATTTCGGTGTACATTGAGAAACGTCAGAGAGTTTGACTTCATGATTGTTCACGAATATCCTTGCTACAACGCATCCTAATGAACAAAACGAAGAAATGCACTTCTAAACTATCGTAGCATCGACTCGTTCCGTGTCCAGGCTGACAGTGACAGTCTACAGCAATCTATGAATTTACCTTATTGTCAATTTGACACATCTTTAATCACCTTTCAATGATCGGCCAGTTGATCAATGATGACTAAAACATGTAAACGCCACAGGTTCATTCACAACTTCCGAAATCTCTCCCGTCACGTTCGGCTATTTTGACGTCTTGTACTTGATGTAAATGTATTACGACGCGCTGTCATTGTGACTGACTTACCGAGGAAGTATTATATATATTTTAGTACATTGGATTACAGAAACTACAAAAGTTTTCACTGTTGAGCATACAAAAGCACATGTCACCTCTCGTTTTGAGGAACTATTGTATTCCGCGATACAGCTGGTTGTTGTATGGCTGTCAGTGTAAACATGAAGTCACACATACTAAATATACTCTTAAAAAAAAAGAAACTTGACACTGACTTTCAAAATATAATATAATGCGATTGTTTCAAAATAGGACACAGAAACCATAATTGAAACACTGTTTGAAGATCAATGTACACAATGTTCAAAACATTAATCGTGTCACCGAGACAGACACACGTACACGATACAGTTAATGTCACAGGGGTACAGAAAATGTCAGTATCGGTTGTGCCCACAACGTGCATCAATCACCGCTTGACACCGGCGACCCATAGATGCAATCAAGTTGTCAATAACACGCTGTTGGATGTGCTGCCATTCATGCTGAAGTGCATCAAGAAGCGCCGGAAGTGTTTGGGGCGGTGGATTCCTTCTGCGAACGCGTCGATCCAACTCGTCCCACAGATGTAATGTCTGGATGTTGTTGTGCTGTAAGAAGTCCTGACAAACACGTGCAATATGCGGTCGAGCGTTGTCCGGCTGGAACTGTCCGCCATGAACGTTGACGTGAGGGAGAACGTAAGGCTGTAGGTTCAAGTCTCTGTAACGCACACCTGTCAATGCACCTGCCACATGCACGAGAGGCATCCTACCACCGTGATGAATTCCGGCCCATACCATGACACTCCCGCCGCCAAATGGGACAACCTGCTGCACACAGTTGGGGGCCTAACGTTCACCCCGACGTCTGTAGACACGTGAGCGCCTATCAGCACGTGTGATTAGGAAACGGGACTCGTCAGTAAACAGTACATTTTTCCACCTTGCACGTGCCCATCTAACCCTCTATTGGCACCAAAGCAGACGGTCCGCCAGATGACGTGGGGTCAATATATGACGTCGAACAGGTCTTCGTGCAAAAAGTCCAGCCTCCCTCAGTCTTTTGCGTACCGTTTGATCTGATATTCTGCGTACCCCAGGGATCTGTGTGGTTGTAGACGTGGCTGTGGTAGTGCGGTCTCGGAGGTGTCGCAGCCGGATGTAGCCGATCTTGTGCTTGGGTTGTCACCCTTGGTCTTCCTGACTTTGGTCTGTCGTCAACTCTGTTGGTGTTGTTGTATCGGGTCCACAGTGCGGAGATTGTCTGTCTGGATACGCCAAAGTGCCTGGCCACTTCTTGCTGAGTTGCTCCAGCTTGTAATCTCAATGGCGTTGTTCCGTTGAGCTGCATTCAGTCTTGGCATTCTGTCACCGCCTCTACTGCCGTTATAAGGACTGTATGAACAGCCGTTGATGTGGATTTTTATACCCATTCAGCAGGGGGACCTGCATGCCTAAATGCAGGATCCTGTGCTGCACGTTTTTTACAGGCGGTTGCGTTTGGATGAAGCTGAAAGATTTATCCCCAAACGGTACGTTTATGTGCTTTGCATTTGTTTTCGCGAATTATAGATACATCATCTTTCTGTTTGACTTATTTGGTTCTCATTTAATGTAATTATTTTAGATATTTGTCAAAAAGTGGTTTTACATCTATGTCAAGTTTCTTTTATTGAAGAGTATATAATTGTGTATAGATCAAGGTCTACGTCAATTGAGGTAAAAATAGTGATATAAAAAAGTATAAGAATAATTGACTTTCACTTTGTGTGAGTATGAACCTTCATAGTGTGAGGGCCAAACTGTGTGAACGTGGGAGCTTGCGAAGTCAATTCTTAAGCAAGTATATATCATTCAATTCATAAACGACAGAAACTCGTGCAATTAATTCATTTTATTAAATACACATCCCTACAGATGTTTAAATATCTCAAAACTAAGTTTAATCATTTTTTTTCACAAAACTTTGCATGAACGGACCATATAATCAACTGCAAGGAAATTATGATTGAAATGAAATTCAAATATATAAATATGATAGTTCTTCTATATTTGAAATTTGAACTTTTCATTCCACACACACTGTTCCTTTGTGATACTCTATATATTTCCTTCCTCCGTCTCGTTTAACTAGGTTTGTTCAACATTATTAACAAGACCCCATGATCTGTCGACTTTAACCATTATTTAAATGACAGAGATTGCTGGCATTCAACCGACGTGGTTATGGGTACCATCATGTGTGTTTTCCATTTGCCCTGTACTTGCAACGTCGTAGTGCCCGTCCTCCAAACACGTGTAAGGCCTACTGATGTGACTGTACGATTCTGCTTCTCTGGCATTTTTCCCCTGTAATGTAACGTCATAATGTCCCTCGTCTGTACCTATGTGGTCGTACACACCAGCATGACTACAACCCTTTCGTGACGAGACGAACTTGCCGAGAACGTTGTACTTCTCCTCCTCAGAGCCTTCTGACAGGACACAACCGTGTTCACCTTTCTGCTCGCCGTCAGAATGAATTGTCCTGTACCCTCCTATAGCCCCACCACCCCTGTCCCCTGCATGCTGCACAGACTCCGCCGTGTCGTAGTCTCCTCTGTACTTAAGATGTTTTCCAGATCCGGAGAGGTGACTGTAGGAGTGTCCACGTGTCCTCAGACTCTTCTGTTTAGTCTTTAGCGACAAGACGTTATAATCTTCTTTTGTCTGCGCAGATGATGTTGTAAGCCTTGGTTCATGTTTGTCTATGACACAGTATTCTGAGTTTTCAGGCTTAATGTCAGTATCTACACCGTTAGTCGTCCTTCCCGTCGCTGAGTGGTAATGCACTCGTTGACCCCCATCTTGACACTTAAAACACAGCATTCTCTGTCTGAAATATAAATCTCAGATGTTAATGTATTGGTATTTACATTTATTATTCATATGGTTCATGATAAAGTTAATTCAAATCCATAAGAATCACACGTATTATACTGATTTCAACTACAGCATTGTTAACGTCATGTTTTATAACGTCACAGCGTTTACGTTTTGACGACATGTTGACTCTACAAGTTACCGGCACGGTTTTAATGTCTTCTTTTGCCATAGTTTGTCCATCTCACAGGAAGCTCGTGCAAAATCAACAAATACTGTTTTCGGGAATTTTCGAAACTTTAAGTTTAACTTTATGCACCGACAGTTTGTTATAAGCATGTTATATTGTGTAGCTTTACCAGCATGTACAACACAAGAAGATGTGTGACAAAAGACAAATATTTAATTCCATGTCTTTGTATGTAACAGATGATTGCTTATCCTCAACACACAGTTACAAGCCCGCATTGAGGGCCTGCTCAAACAATGTCACAATGCATTGCATGATGATATACACTTGTTTAATATTCAAGAATATCTAACCTTCTCATGACGACCAGAAGAAGGATGGCTGTCCCAATGAAGACACACCCAATGCTAATTCCAACGTACATTCCTATACAGAGAGAAGGTTATTAAAGTACATAATTTCATGATGATATGCCAGTGTGATCATAATTACATAAGATAACATACTAGTTACACTAGGCGAAGGCATATACTTTTACTGTTCTTTTACAACAGTGAAGCATAAGGAAGAGAATTTATGGATGTCAACATCTTTATTATAAGGAACACAACGTTTCGGAGTATATATGCTTACTCCTTCACCCGATGAAGGAGTATAAAGCATATACTCAGAAACGTGTTCCTGATAATAAAGAAACTGACATCCATAAATTCTCTTCCTTATGTGTATCACTTCTAAATGCCTTTCAAAGACTTGATAGTGAAGCAAACGCCAAATCCATGGCAAAGCACACATAATCCTCAAGATCAGAGTTTTCCTAGTTCGCCTTTTGCGTGTGTTAGTCATTTTGACAACGTAAACGTTTCTATGTGAACTGATATACTCATGTTAAAAGCTCTATTTCACCGCCACTGAAGTTTACTTCAAACTTAACACTGGGACATTTGTGTTTTAAGATACGCACCATTTCCACTTGCACCTGTGATTCCAAAGTTTTCCGTCAGTCCTTTCATATAAAATAAACAATATATCATTCATGATGTGATGCTGCTATTTATCCCATTTGAAGATAACTATCTTGAGAGGTAGATGAGTACTTATCCTAATATTTGACAAAAAACATGCACTAGGGATGGTGACTAAAAATTACCATGTTCATTCCATTGTTAACATTAGCTTTCTGTCTAACAACTGAAGCAGCAGGCGTTTACTAAATGTTCGCATTTTGAGTTTTCTCACATGCAAGAAGCTTGGCTGTCCCTTAGTATTGATAAACGGCACTCTTACCAACTTTACAAATGTATCTTTGAGGCAGGGAACACGATAGCCACTCGAATCTCATGATATCAGACGACGGATCTTTAATAACCGCTAGACATGTTGGCAGGGCGCTGGAGGGTTCAGTTCCTTCTTTAGGTGCGCCACTGACCACATCGCTCCCTTAAAGAAAACACACATCAAATTTGGAAATAAATACATTTACAACAATACTGGTACTGATATAGTTACCCGTTAAAGTCCGGGGTCTTCAGCAACCCATGATTGCCTTAAGAGGCGACTATGCGTGTAGTAAGAGGCGACTAACGGGATCGGGTGGTCAGACTCGCTGACTTGGTTGATACATGTCATCGTATCCCAGTTTTGTAAATCGATGCTCATGATGTCAAACTCTGGATTGTCTGGTCCAGATTCGATTACTTAAGGACCGCCGTCATATAGCTGGAATTATCTGAGTGTGGCAACAAACAACAAACAAAGAAACTGATATAGTTCTACCGCACTTAACTATACACTGTAGAAGTATCAATATCATTCGCCCAATTTCTACTGTAAACAAAACGTCCGATGAAACGGAATCATGTTATCTCGTGAAAGAATATATACTTTCATCACACACAAGATAGATCAAATACAATTCTTGTAGAGAGATATACAGAGAGAGACAGAGAGGGGTGGGCTGGTAAGGCCTTAATGAAGCCAATATTTTGCCGTATGAAGACTTGCCATTTAGCCATGTTATTGACGTCGCCATACGCAAACCAATCCAAAAGTCCGAGGGATCCGTTAGTAGATCTTTGAGGTTTGGACAATTTGTAGTTAATTTGAGTAGATTGCAGCTGTCATTCGACTCTGTCCATTGTAGAGTGTTATGTTTTACATCAAAACTGCATCCGTAGCCCGGAGTCCCATCTACAAAAACATGAAATCGTATACCAACAACTACCTAAACGCCACCAAGGATAAATGATAAACATATCAGTGGTTTGTTATGAACATTTAGGATATTTAAATGCATAATGGTGTTGCTATGGTCACTTACTTGTAAAAGAGCATACAAATTTTTTCGATTCTGCACATGCAGTTGTCGTTATGTAAATGTGTCCTGCATAGTTTTTATAAACATATGCACATTTTCCGGTCGTTTTAGGGATGAACGGCGTTTCTCCTGAAAGAGAACCAACATTTTCAAGTCAAATTATTCTTTTCATGGACAACTTGAAGCTATCTTAAAGCAACTTAATTTTGCCATCTAAAATCTCTAGTCAAGACAATCAGATAGCTTGTTAGATAACGGTGTTAGTATCTACACCAAATGAGTGAGTGAGTGAGTTTGATTTTACGCCGCTTTTAGCAATATTCCAGCAATATCACGGCGGGGGACACCAGAAATGGGCTTCACACATTGTACCCATGTCGGGAATCGAACCCGGATCTTCAGCGTGACGAGCGAACGCTTTAACCACCAGGCTACCCGACCGCCCATCTACACCAAAACGTAGCATTCATTGTAAAACAGAAGTTGTATATCCAAGGAACTATCTCCCTTGTCTAGAAAAGTAGATGCCTATACATTTCACAAAGCCTACGTGAGAAGCATTATTTAGTTATACTTGTTTTAAGTCTTTTTTGCGTGTGTCAGTGAATGTTACTCAGCCTAAATTGCATATTATTTGTTTATTCTCGTTAGTTTGCTACCATTCACGTCCGTCTGTTCCTTGTTATAACAACTGTTGTCAGCTGATGTTATGACATACCCAGGACATAAACGGACATTCCATCCATGTCGCCACAACTTTCATCCAAGTTACCAGCACACTGGGCCTCGGCACCACGTATCTTCGATGCATCTTCGGGGACGTCTTGAAGACAGTAGCATGTGTTGTCCTGGCAATAAACAAATAAAATACTTTGGGTTCGGTCTACCCATGCCTGTATGCAATTAGCCGAAGGCAAACCTAGAATCGCACCAATGATTCTTCAGTTGGGATGTTTTTTATCGGAAATATAGTGTCGCGCATTTCGTCTTGTATGTTCGTCTCTCTACCTTCACAGAAAAGTGTTCAAAAACCACACTCAATCTCAAATCTACATCAGAACAGGCTTGGGAATATCCTGCTATCAGCTCACAAGACAGGTCACAGAACAGAAACAACCTTGCTTCGTGTGCCAAACGACCCACTTCATGCTGCTGATTCCAAGGGAGCGTCGGTTCATGTCCTCTTGCATCGATCAGCAGCATTTGACACAACAGACCACAAAACTCTCTTCAGAACGCTGAAGTCAGATGGTTTTCACTGGTGCGGCTCTATCGTGGTCCACATCATATCTCACAGGACGCCACCAGTCAGTGATTATTGATGAGTGAGATCAGATAGAAACGAACTGAAATTTGGAGTGCACAGGGACCTGCCCAATACTTTTCACAGTGTACACCCTACCAGTTGCAAGAATTGCAAGATCTCACTATTTTAGTTTTCATCTGTATGCTGATGATACACAGCTCTATCTCGGATTCAAACCATTGTCACCATCATTCCAGAGAATCACAGCCTACATTGACATCCAACGTTGGTCGACTTCCCAATATATGGGTTGGGGACAGTATCGTTCAACCAAGCAGTCTCGCAAGAAATCTAGGCGTGATCATTAATTCATTATTCAGTTTGAGAAACTATGTGAATAATATCTGAAAAAGTGCATACCATCAGACAAATCTGTAGATGTGTGGACAAGACTCTGTTAAATGCTTTGACCGTGCATTTGTCACTACAAGGTTAGACTATAGGTTAGTCTTCGCATAGGATTCAGCAAAAAGCATCTTTACAAGCTATAGCGTGTTCTAAATACATGTACATATGGCTCATTATACGATATCTAATGCACGGCCACATAACACCTATCCTCAAAGAACTGCACGGGCTACCTATGAGACAGAGAATCATGGTCAATCAGCCGGTATGTGTCTACAAATCACTCCATGGTCTGGCTCCGGCGTACCTACAAGAACTTACAAGGTTTTACCAATCAGATTCCACCTCTCATATCACTTGCATTTCCCTCAAACAAACTGTCGGCGCCCAGTCAAAACGTTCTGATCGATAATCAAGATCTCTTTTTTAATAACATAGGTCTAACCTCGCGAAGTGCTTAGAACCTTGATCACTTGAGCACCTCAATTAGAAACATGAAAGGGTATGACGGTACACGCGCTTTGCTAATCCTGCAGTCGACCGAAATCTGCTCGTTGAAATCTATGTTTTATACGAACCGGATGTCTATTTCGTAACGCATCCATTGGACTGTGCATAGACTCGTTAGTCCAGCCAAAACGTAACTCCGGAATTCCAGCCAAGTTTGGCAAGGGTGGAAACTGGACTTCTATAGTCAGTTAACTCTCTTGTCTTGGGAAGATTATGGATGTCAGGAAATGATATAAACATATTTATTTCCATAAAGTGGAGGGATTGGCAAACAAGCAAATTTTGCTTATCTGAATGCCTCTCCCAATATGACTGAGCGTTCTTGAGCAGGGAGTATCTGGATAAGATGCGCTATACATTTACAATTTATTATTATTTGTTTGTTTCGTTGTTTGTTATTCATACTTTCATTATTTCAAATGCATACATACACTAAGGCCAAACACCGAGTAGTCCTCCTTGCAGTGAAGATTGCACCGGAACACTGAGTTGTCAACAAAAGTCCTATTCCCTGTGGGTACAGCTGGTAGCTGTCTGTAGCCAGCGTACTGATACAGCGCCGTGTTGTCAACTGGAAATACAGGTACAAAATACATGCTTGGGTAATTAAACGTACTTAACAGAAGTGTCACGCTGTAGTAATATAACATCTAAAAGATCCATGTTGGCCTTATATATTCTACAACACCAAGTTTATACACAGACTAGTATATAACGATCTTAAGGACTGCTACTTGCGTACCTAATTGTAAATGACACCAATAAATTAGCATTTGCACTACCGTGTGTAAATTGGATTGTCCTGTATTAGGACGATGAATAATACCGTTGTAGGTGTATACTCACATTTAACTGTTTGGTGGGCATTCTAGAAGTCGGTGAGTAAATATGAAAACACAACTAAATGGATAGCATTTTGCATTTTGGCGACGTTTCGATGTAGACTCTTCTATCGTTATCAAGCTTGATAACGTCACTCCAGGTTGATAACGGTGTAAGAATCTTCATCAAAACATCGCTAAATACATTAAACCAGAAGTTGTTATCCATAAAGTTGCATGTTTTCTTATATATTCAAATTTATTGGAAGAAAGAAGGAAATACGTACTTGTCCATTTCCATGTTCCATACGTCATAGCTCCGATCCAGTAATAGGCTGAACGATTTAGCTGATCAGCTGCGTCTTGAGGAATGTCTTCAGATTGCAATAAATCGCCTTGGAAATCTTCGCGACATCTATACCGAGATTCCCACCAGTTTGTTTTAGCGTTGATGATATGGAGTGTCCCATGTGTTTGTACTGCAGTAAAAGCGAAAAAGACCATATTCATAGGATACCTCGAAAAGACGATTCTTTAATATGTGGCTGTTCTGTCGTTATCTACGTATCCTAAGAAATTCAGCCTTGATTAATGAAAGTTACAAAACATTAACCATCCCTCATAATAAGAAATCCAGAGTCAACTGTATTATTATGAATCACTATCAAATAGTGACAATACCAGGTGTTTCCAAATAGGTATGCCCCATCGTTGGTACCCATCACAAACACACACAAAGGCAAGTCAAGTGCTCACTTGTTCTTAAACCTCAATTTGGCAGTACTATTTCAGGGAAGTATCAGAAGGTAATAACGAAGTTTATATGTCCTTTTGGTGAATGTTTTCCAAATGCATGAAACGCCACTAAGAGTTCTCGAAGTGTCACGCCAGTTCGTTTCATCATTACTCATATAGGGCGTCTCACACAAATCCTCGATGTTAAGTTTCTCTACGCATGCATGTAAGTACTGTTTCAGATAAAGTGTACAAAATCCATCCATATGTATCATTACGTTAAAATCCATAAATAATGGAATAACTGGGGGACATGCAATGTATTAGTTAAAATTTGTTTTTAATAATTAACTATTTTTACGTGTTATTATATAAACCACGACTGATAAACGAATCATAATTTTAAACTATATAAATAATCACCTAATAAGTAATGTTAGTGGTACTATGCTGCATAGTCTGTTGTCCATTTTCAATACAGATCAAGACGTTTAAATCTGATAATTGTGTGAACCTGAAACATGGTCTATATGTGGAGTAATCATTTACTGTAAGATTGATTCCCATTATAAAATTCAGTAGGCAAACATCGTGATGTTTGAACGAGTTGAATACAAAACTTGCCAGACCTAACAATTCCCTTAGCATAGTGCCCCTTGTAAAATTGTAAAGTTGTAAAAGTACGAAACTCGTCAACTTACCTATCTGTTCACCGTCAACGTGCATCAGCCGTATACAACAAACAAAAAGCCATATCATAAGCATTATGTCGGCAACTCAGTCTGTCCTTTCATCTTCTGTGCACACCATGTTGACCCTACCAAGGAAGTGAAATGGCGTGGGACGGAAATCAGTACACAGATAACAGCGGAGGTACTTACTGGATTGAATGCTAAAGTCGGGGGCCTTGTCATACAATGCGATCGTTTGTGTTTACAAGTACTTCTAGCATGATGATTTAAAGAATGAAATGCTCGCTTGGGAGTAAATTGTCCGTTTTAAAACTAATATATTCTATCCAAATGCTCGTTTGGGATATAATCGTCTTTTTAAAAAAACACATTATTTTAATGTTCATTTCTTTTTATAATCAATCATACTTTCAATCAGTATCACAGCTTCAGCACCATGGGGTATTTCTCAAATACCAACATTGTTAGTTTAAATTTGCGTACTCTTAAACGGAAATAGGTAGAGATAAATCAGTCAGAAAGACAGAAATCCCTTTTTTTCTTTGTTGTTGATTTCGATCTAAAAATAGATTTTTTAAAATTGCTTAAAGACATATAATACATAAACATTTATGAATCTTTGTATTTACAATGAGCATTACATCTGTATGTCACAGCTTTTTAATCATTGGTTGAATTAAAAGGACTGTACATGAAGCAGTGTTCAAATTTCCGATGTTGAGTATTTGGTGTCAGGACAATGCATACATGACGTCACTTTGAAATGCTATGACGTCACACGGACATGAGAAAACGACACGATACAAAGAATGACGTCATGTACGTCCGTGATAAGTGATTACAGAATTTTAACGTATTTCACATTTGGGATTAAGAAAAGTATTCACACCTAATGAAAATTTCGAAAGATATCCGGGATCCACTCTCATTTAACAACGTATCAAAGCAACCAGCCACATTCATATTCGTTTTTAAAGGTCAATACAATTTTGCAAAATGTGCATCTCACACAGTTGTGATTGTTGGTGTTACCAGTAGAGATTGTCATTCTTACCTTTTGTCGAGCACCTTGTGTCATCACCGATTTCATATATTTCATATAAGTTTCACTACTATTTGAATATCGAAAGATTCTCTGGTGTTGACGTTTTATGTTTACAAACAAGTGTGAAAGTGTGTCTTTAAATTATTAAAAAAATATATTTTAAACAAGGAAATTATATCCCTCACTGTACCGTGGACATTTATTCAGGCTATTTCATATAGGTCATGTACTAAAAGCCATGTCACCGCATACTATATACTGACGTTACCGTACTACCCAGAAAACTGTTGAAACAACAGTATCCTTGTTTAGATATTATGCTCATTATTGACAAATTGGTTCTGCGATTTTAAACATAAGTCAATGATCATGTACACAAATTAAATCTAAACTCCAAGTTCTCGTCATAAATATATAACTGAAATGTAATTGAGCCTATAGCCCCCCATACATGAATAACACATTCACGTGTTAATATGGTCGGATATCAAAGTGCCAAAGTGATTATTTTGTCGAGTCTCCTCATAAACCTCTCACTTTTGTTACCTCACTTAATGTTCTGACAGGACTGAATGAAAACGACAGTCCGACATATAACTTCCTTGTACATGTGATCCAACAAGGAACAAAGCTCGTGTACCAGGATGCATGATAGCAAGGAGTAAGTATGGCCGGCTATACGCTTCATCCGGCAATGGAGGCTGCTGGCTGAATCACGCCAGTACGCCTTTATGATAGCATTCAGAACATCGTGTAACAAACAAGAATGAATAGAAATGAAAATAATTCAAGTAATCTGAAATAGTCGTATTTTGGAACTGTACTTTTTAACCTCCACATATGTGATTCTATTGTCTTAACAAGAAAACGTCAGCCTAGTTCCGTAAACAACGCTAAACAGGAAGACAAATAATACAATGAGCCTGTAATCATAACTATATTTTGGGACTTAACATTTACACATCTTTGGACGTGATTCCATTGTCCTCTCAACGCCTCTTTTTGGAGAATATCCTGCTGGCTTGAACTTTCTATTGAATATGCCATGGGATTCTTCAGTCTATCCATCTACATAATACACCCTTCTTTCTTGCAATATCATCAATTCAATCATTTCAGTGTATTCCAAAAATACTCATTATTTGTTTATTTTTATAAATGATCATAAACTGGTATCGACCAGTTCGGTCTCAATTATTCTCTTAAAAGTATAGTTTATATATTATTTCTAATTGTCCGTTGCAATTCCCTATTTTGACTTGTGAGTGAAGAGTTGTCCGCGGGATTTCCCCTTACCATCATGTGAGGATCACTCTTGAATCAGCGGGTGTTTTTCAAGTATCCCGTCGCTGCTATTTCAACAAAACCATTTCTATAACCATAATAAGTCTATGGTCCATTGTACGATTTAGACTACGTCATTACCATATGAATCACGATTAATTAGTATTGATACCAGGTGTTCTGCCTCACCGATGGCACCCGTCACAAACACATGCAAAGGCAAGTGTTCACCTGAACAAACACTGGCACATGTGGTACAGGTCATAATAGGTAATTGCATCAGACATCACTTTGGTCACTGATGCCTCAAATTTGAAAATGTCTTCCGCATGACTGTCACAAAACTTTTTAAAAGCCTTGCTATGGCCTTGCTAGCTGAAACCCTGATTAATAACTTTTGAGTCATATTAAGCACTTTGTATGTCATGTTTTTATTTGGATTTTCAAATTGACCTACTACGCGTGTGACGTGTCTGGCAGATGTGGTGGCGGGTTAGTTACACTGTTGATATTTCACACTGATGCATCAAATCTGTGGGATAGCCTAGAATCTGAAGCGTTATCCTAAGCAAGAAACACTAAGCTACACTATGTGAAGCCTTATCTATACTGCTGATGTTAACTGATTCATTATACACAGCTGCATTATATTTCCTGAACCTGTTAGAAATGTATTTTTTATAATTAACAACATCCCTTTGAATATTGTGTTTCTGGTTATAAACATTACACATAATATTATTTCAATTTAAAAACGTTTATTTGTGCATTCAAAAAATGAAATAGAGTAAACTACGTTTGTAACGAACACGCTTATAACGAACTGGCCGATATAGCGAACTTATTGTTTAGTCTCAGCCGGTTGTTGTACATATGCTGTATATACGCTTATAACGAACTACGATTATTACGAACTAAAATTAGTGGTCCCTTTGAGTTCGTTATAATCGTAGTTTACTGTATATTGTATATCATGAAATTGAAAAGGAACTATTCCTGCAAGGAGGAAAATCATATAACACTTATCGATGTCCAATCATATTACAAATCATGCATTATTCTCAGTTATCAAGACATAAGCTGCCATCAAATATCATAACACACCAGGAACAAATAAATCTTAAAGAATCAGATTCATATGTGCACATAATAGGTTGTCAAAACGGAGCCATTACACCAATCAATAAGAGCTAACTGGTGTTTAGTAAAGAGTATAAATTGTGTACAAGTGCTACATAATTACATTTCTATATTTTGTCAATACTTAGGCATAAGAAATGTCCTTGGCAAGACTGTAAACGTTTTCTTGATCATTTTCATCAGACCGATCATCACCTCCGGGATGGCCATCAAGATTCCCATCGTCTTGAAGAAGACACTTTGTGTTGTAGTAGTCGGCCGTGTCTCTGTCTTCCTCATCGATCTTAGTGGCGTGGTCGTAAGTGTCATCAGAACATCCTTCTGGTTGCCGTTTACTTGCAACATCATAAGCATCCTCTTCACATTCTGTGTTTGTCCTCTGAATGTGACTGTAAGTATCATCCACTTTGCTGGGATTCTTACCCTGCAGTGCAGTGTCATAATCCCCCTCGTCCGCTGCCACGTGGTCATACACCCCCGCATCGGCATCAGCTGTTCTGGGAGAGTCGTGCTGACCGAGCACATTGTACTGACCCTCCTCTAAGTTCTGACCACTCGCTGCATCAGAGAGTCGTGTATCTGCGGCCATGTGTTTCATCCCAGTGGTCGCCTCTCCTGCCTGTGGAACACAGTTTGCAGTGTCGTAGTCTCCTTTGGACTTGTTACCTCTGTCAGGTCCCGAGAGGTGATTGTAGGGATTCCCGTGTGGCATAACCTTCTTGGAGTTGTCGGATTCTGACAACACACTGTACTCATCTTCATCATTAATCTGAGAGGTGTTGATGTAGATGTTGTCATTGTGAGCATTGGGTCGGACTATCGCCGTTGGAACCGTGGATGACGTGGATGTTCTATCTATGTCAGGAGGTGTTATGACTGAATATGCTTCATTTCCTGCCTGAACGGCTAATCCATAGGTGGTGTTTTCTGCGCCAGAAGTAAAGTGAATTGGTTGATTCCCATCTCTTCTCTCAAAACAGAGCTTCTCTTGCCTGAAACACCGAATTCCAAACCTTTAATTTAGCTACGAAATAACACCTGAGCTTTCACTGTGTCTCTGATCGATTTACATTTATTGAAAGCATACCGAATGGGAGAAAGGAGTAAAACAGTGTGTGTGCTATATTACCGTCTAACACTTGCTACACAGATTCACAGTTTCAGCCGCAATTTCAAATGTAAATGTGTGTGCTGACATAAATACAAAATATATATTATTCTCATATTTATCATACAGCAACAAGTGTTCATTTTAAATCATAGTAATATGGAATTTAGTTTGTATCCTGTCACAAAATTGTCATTCTAACCAAAACATATCTGACCCCTAATATGATTCTACACAAAGAACGTGTTATGGAAAACAGGCGTTATATTTTTCCTATAGGGATATTTCGATGGGAAGTTTACTCAGTTTTACAGTTTATGTCAAGTGAGTATCTTCTCACCTTCTCAGCAGGAAGACGACAATAAGGACTGCCAGAACAACAAGGACCACGCTCCCAACACCAAGTCCTATGTAACCACCTGCATCTGAAAATAAAATAAATAAAATTTGTTCTACACATCTATCTCTTGTTTCACAAGCAAATAGAGCATTAATGTCTATTTTCAACTACTCCTAGCGATTTCGAGGTATTCCGTCTAACACATTGTTCAGAATGATTTGCCCAATGGGCGTACCTATAGTGTCTTTATGGGTCGGAAATATGTGGAGTTAATAATTGAAAGTGTACAAGTAAAATTATGTTAGTGGATTCTTAGCTTGGGAGAAGTACAACAAATAATATGTTTCTGGGTTCAACTTTTGCATGACTAGAGCAGTAAAGTTACTAACTTCTGTCGCCGGAAAAAGGGGAAACTTCAAGAAACTATTGAAATCAAAAGAAGGAAGCCAGCCTTTAACAGAGAGAAAGGCATCTACCTACCAAGCGTGTTCTCCGCTGTGTTTTAATCATATTATCAACCACAAATGGACATCTTGATTGCTTTATTATTAATGAAACCATAGTTTTTACGAAGAAAATGAAGTTATCTATCTATAAAACAAGTGTCATGTATTCATGCTCTTCCAACTTCTATATGCCTATTAAAGAGTTGAAATAAATCCGTGCGTCTGTCAATTTGCCGTAAAATCAAACTGATTAACATAAATCTCATCTCATTTCATCTCATCTTAATGACATAAGCAAACTAAGTACAGACGAGGAAGACATCAGTAACAATAAGCCGAACACATCAGTCTGAGGATTGTATGGAGTTTTCTTTACAACAGAAGTACCTGCTGGCGATGACCTGTTACTAGAGTGGTTACCCGGCACAGTCGAAACATCTTCGGACAGAGTGGATGCTGATGAAGGGTGACTTGATGATGACGTTGGCGTCATTTTTGTGGAAGTTATACTTTCTTTAACTGAAAATAGTAATTAACACATAACAAAATCAACATTCCTTTCAAAATGAAATTCTCATCTCTGGTGACACCACATAATTTTTCAATGCAATAGATGGTAGTACATGTACCATGGGTATTGCCTTCATGATGACGTTTACTGTGCGTGTGTGACTCGATTATCTCAAACAAGTGATTTTTATTGTAGATTTAAACGACTTTGTCATAACATTTACAAAGCTATATATTTACAATGGAGACACACGGTGTTAGCAACATATTGTTTAAGTAGTAGCTCGCCATTCGTTTGTGTGTTTTTGGCGGGTGCGGCGGTAGGCCGGGATTGGCACACCTTTCCGCGAGCGCCAGGTGTCGTTGCTGTTTGATAAGGATTCATTGACAACACGTGCTTATTGCATGGTCGGAGTAGTGCAGGTGACTCTTTTGGATGGGGTTTATCACTTACATTACCATTTCACGTGACATGATCACATGCTGACAAATGTTAAGTAATATCCAGGCCAATTTTGACTCATTGTCATTGTGACTCTCTTCTCCATGACACACTTGACTGCCAACCAAATTTAGGAAGCGTTAGGTTTGAATCCATCACATTTGATGATATTATCATAGGTTAACAGTCACACACAAGTTTCAGACTGATCATGAAGTGAATGCCTAGCCTACTATAGCGGTATACAGATGGAAGTTACAAACTAGTCACCCAGTGTCATCAACTGCTCACAGATATAAAACCAGTGTAGGGGGACTGAAACGGGAATGTTTATCGTGGTTTAGATAAATAATCATACCATTTTCGCATATCCATCTTTGGTCTAAGTCGCATGCTATCCAGTATAAGCGTGTGCTTCCGTTGTTCAGTCTGTATATAGTAAGACACAGAGTGTCTGTGTCTGTATCAGGAAAGTGCATGTAGCCATCGTATATCAGAGCCCTTTGTCCTGCAAACAAACATAAAAAAAACTATATAACAAAGCACCATTAGTATCACGAATCTATTTCTATGCATACTATTTTTTCGTGCTATTTTTAAGAGAATGGATTCAATGTTACCGTTGTCTGAATATGTCTGACTACAGCGTGTGCGTATGTGTGGAGATACTTTAATGTTATTATATATGAATTCCAATCACATAAATCTCGTCAAAGTAGAAAGGGAAAGTCAAATATTCCTCTACTTTGAGCACAAAACTTACTTACTGCACATCATAGACTGACACTTATCAGTTTGTTTAAACAAAGTCACATCAGGTCACTTTCATACGAAGTACGAAATGTATGTATTCAAGACTAACTAAACCTCTTCTGACGAAACAGTTTAGACATAAAGCCCACTTTTTTCAATTAGGGGTGGACTAACTGTAGAATAGATACATTGTATTCTAATTTGGTACTGAGCGCTTCAGTGCGAAGTATCAAATGTTGATTATTTGCTGTACTTTCGTTGGTGCTAACACACAGTTGAGACGTAACTTTTATACAACATTCGCACACATTAAGTTTTGGGAAAGGTCATTATCTCTAGTCAGTTTTAATTTCACTGAGAAATGTTGAAATTGTATAGGTCATCTCGAAGTATAGCGAGGTGTTACGCGTGTTTGAGCAATATTCCTGCCACATCACGTCGGGGGACACAAGAAATAGGTTTTACACAGAACTGAACTATTGTCTTCTGAGTGACGAATCAAAGTTGTCACCCATGGGACTCCCCAACATCCCCTGATTACTGCGGGATGATTGAAAGCGAGTAATATTAATTGTGTGTTATAAAAAAATAACTCACTCGACGCCCGGAAAAATGGATTATAAGTAATTCTAACTTAGCTTGTTCCTTATTCTCCAATACATGGTCTTATTGACGTAGTTTAATTTAATGTGTGAAGATTTAGAAAGAAATATCTATACTTATCCTTACCATGTAACCATTTCCTGTGTACAAGTTTATACAAACCGATCCAGTATTTCTTGTTAATCGGCATGATCGTCAGAAGATTATTCTGAACAGGAGCATTAAGTTTAACCAAGGAGCAGTCAGTGCTGGCGCCATACCATTTTTTCTTGTGTCTTAATCTCAGTGAAACGCAACCAGAACCACCACATTCATCATGACCCAAGTCTGTGCAAAGCAGAAAAGAAGTGCAGTTGTTAGAAGCGCATTGTGAGAAATGTAGGTCCTTGTTTAATTGCAAAATAGGTTGTACAAACATGTACTCGAGTGTTCATGTCAAAAACACCATGGCTGCACTGCAATAGTATTTACGAAAATAAAACTGGTGTAAGCAACCCCTAGACAAATCCGTTTGTGCACACAGACAGTTAAGGGTACCACACGTGTGGGTCTACAGTTGATTTTGTACAAATACTGGATACATACCACACAAAAGACGTCAAAGGACACCCTATTTTTTATATGACTTCTTTTGAATAGTATATATATTTGAAGATATAAACACTCATCAACTTTATATTTTGCTCAGGGGCATCCTAATCGGGTCAGTGTGTTCAGAAAGTGTCATTAGTAAATATATTGTTCGCTCATAGAAAACATCAAAGCGTGCGTTTCTTTCTGTGGACAGACATCTCCTTGTGTTACGGGTCAGATATAGCCATCAATTAGTGGTAATTAGTTTATAATTTTAGAAGTTTCAAACGTCAATTCGATACTTAGAAAAATAACACGTGAATAAAAGAAGCAATGCAATCATCTTAGGCATATGTCAACGTTATTTACAGGGATCCAACGTATCAAATATACCTTGCAATCTTTTGTACGAATCACATTTGTGACGTTGTAACCTTCTACACACGGGAGGTTTCTGACGAAGAAATCATTACATCACAAAACATCATCTGTGTATTACTCTGGTTTTACTATATGTTTGTACAGTTCACTCTTTGCAGTCGATGTCTGTCGGGTTTCTCGTCTAATATATAAAAATAATACATCAACATGATAATGATACTAACCACAACGGTATATCAAAATGTTTGTAGCGTTGATATAGTGTTATCTTCTTACCAGTGAGTATAGAGGAAGAAGTGCTCTCAAATAACAACGAATATATTGCGGTAATGATGTTATCAACAAATAATAGCCCAATGTAGACTCGATACTGCTGGCTGACGTTCAGAATGTACGCTTCTAAAATGGCATTGAGGAATTGACGTTATTGTTCATAACATGGCACCAAAGATCGTTGTTGCTTTCTTTGAATAAGTGAGTGTACTGCTTAACGTCAGTTCTATTCAGTATTATATGTTTTATATCAAGGCGTGACAGCTTAATGTTTCAGGAAAGCCTAATTCAACGCAGGTTCTAAATATTCTCTACTCTGGTGAAACCCACGAACATGTTAGCTTCCGACAGACCATGTATCAGAACTAATGCAAGCCAGTCCTGCCTGTAGAGGGACACAAGTCTACACAGAGAGTTGCAGTGCTTTACCACTGGACCATCCGTGCCACTAAAATACATCAGGAGTTGATCTATGTAATGTATTTCAAATTGGGACATTGCGGTTCTACCATTTCTATTTCCACGGTAGAATCCGAGGTAGATGTGTTCTTGGACAGTTGATTTATCAATGTAAAAAGGATTTACCAATGCAATTAAAGAAAGATCCCGTTAGAGAACGACATCACAACCGGAATGCGATCAGGCTTATGAATGACACGCGGAACATACCATCTACATAGCAGGCATATCTTCTAGTTTTACTGTCGCAATCTCCATAACTGCTGGAGTAGGTAGTCAGGTCCGCATAATTTCTCACCACGTACGCACATTTTCCACTTTGTTGTTGTGTAAATCTAATGTTTTCTACAACACAAAAATCTAAATGATAGTACATACATTTGAAAATATGATAAGTCTTTACTTTAATAATCGAGCAATTTTCATCACGAACGTTAAAATTTGCCCTCGAACCCTAAATGTTGTGACAGTTATATTTTGCGTACATCTTAGTAAATGCTATGCTAGTCAGTTGGGAAAAGGTTTACGACAAGCTTACTGTTTCCGATGAATTTACGTTTGTTTGATTACTCAGATTGGTTCGAGATTGCTAGATAAGGAACAACTCCCAACTTCCCCCTTACATTCTTACCACGCCATTTACATGAGAGTTTGAATGAAATAGAAATTCAAATTGACAAATAAAGAAAATAAATAGGCTGGGGGGATATTATTTGGCGTCAGTCATGACAGTCATCACTTTTTTTGTTAGTCAACATAATGGTCAATTGGTTGTGGGTTTAACCTCAAGCATGGTTGCGGCAGCCGAGCACAGTGGGGAGCTGTGACCAGTGGCAGAGAAAGTACAGAGAGCTCCGCGAACGGGCTATCGCTGTAAGGAGCTTGACATCAGGGAATAAAATGTATGATCAACTCTTCATACTCAAGTGTTGTTATGTCAAAAAAACAGAAGAATAATATCATGACAAAAAACATTTACATATTAAAGAATACAGCTATACAATGGCAGACAACGTATACTACTCAAAAGAAGTTAAAGAACATCCGATTCCTTCATATTACTGGTAATAGAGAATCGGGTGGTCTTTAAGATTGAAGATTCGTTCACATTCCTGGTAATATGTAAGAATCAGGTGTTCTTTAACCCGAGCAGTGTATAATCGAGAACTGATGATATGAACGAGATCCACGCCATCCGGTCGGATACAAAAATGTACAACCAATCCGCACACTCCAAGTCCCCCCCCCCCCCCCCCCCCCCCCCCCCAAACACAACTTAACATTCCATATTAATCGTTCCCTTGGTTCTGCCACTGTGCTGGATTCAACAATAAAGAGAGACGTTGGCATAGTAGGTACCTAGTTTATAGACGGACATTCCATCTACGTTGCCACACAGTTCGTCAATGTTTCCTCGACACCTGTTTTCAGTTGTGCTTGAACCTACAGTTCCATACCCTTCATTTAGACAGTAACACGTGTTTCCCTGTAAAAAAAAGTATCTACAGTCTTCTACAGACGAGATTTGCTCTGGAAATGATCACGTCTAACTCGTTTACATATAGAAACAATAATAGAAATAGAAGTTTATTTCGGTCGTTACAAATAAGACTGATGCCATGTTAAGTCAACTAGATAAAGTGTGTATAGTTGTATAGAGCCAATGGCGCGGTATAAGTATCATATACAGATCTGACATTTAAAAAGATGCATGTACGAAGTGTTATGCACTAACAACTTACCTGCATGCCCATTGAAGAGTATGAGCTGCAGTAAAGATGGCATTTCCATACCGAGTTATCAAGATAGTCCACTGTCCATGTATATGTCACATCGCCCAGTGGAAGGAAGCCAGCATACCTGTACAGTGGACTGCCGTCTACTGTTTGTGCACAATATAAACAGGCTTGTTCATTCTGGTTGGTTTAAAAGTATTGGAGTGAGTGAGTGAGTATGGTTTTACGCCGCTTTTAGCAATATTCCAGCAATATCACGGCGGGGGACACCAGAAATGGGCTTCACACATTGTACCCATGTCGGGAATCGAACCCGGGTCTTCGGCGTGACGAGCGAACGCTTTAACCACTAGGCTACCCGACCGCCCCTAAAAGTATTGGATGGCAACATGGTACTTGGTAATGACATATAATAATAAAGATTATCTTAATGTGTTTGAGGTAAACTTTCCATTAAGTGTATTGGCGCAGTATGTTAAATGTTATAAACGGAAATGAAAAAGAATATCTTTACCTTACTTTATTTAAGTATAAAGTATAACCAGCAGACAATGGTTCGGTGGTTTGTTTCCATTCTAGTATTAGTACCTGTCCATATCCAGGCTAAGTAGGTCATGGCGCCTATCCAGTAATATGTGTCAGGCTGTAGATGCCCCAGAATGTCTGTTTGAATGTCATCTGACCCAGGCGTGTACATGCTGCCTTCTTTGTGACTGCAACGGCTGTGAGCATCCCACCAGTTGCTTGTTGCATCGCCGACACTTATCTGATCCGTTTCTACAAAAATGAATTTTCAGCTATTGAATATTAAGTATACCAATATATATATATATATCGTTTATTTGTCTGATACAAGGCATTCCGCAGATTTCTTAAAAGAGCCAATATAATTTCAATGTCAGTGTTGATGGAGTTGCTCGATCGCTATATTACCGTCTTCGCCTTACCTGTGGTTTTGACACAGAGGTCCATTCATGGTACAACCCAGGATATTAAAGGGCGTAATGGACAATAATATATACAAAATACTTTGGAATGGGCCGGTATAGAGCCTCAGACCTACCCAGGCCAACAACCCTCATATTTTTCTTTCTAAGGAAATAATTTAGATTATTGAATTTTCTGTCCCCTTTGACACTAATGTGATTAATTAAGATTTAAGATATTTTATTCGGTATTTGAGGCCACATGGCCCATTGTACAGTTGAAATGTTCAGTTTCATTTGATAAGTCACGTGATATCTGACAGAGAATATATGTTTCAACAATATGGCTAAATAAATATTAATAAGATTCAGGAAAAACATGGCAAATATGCGGACCTCTCCTTCGAAATGGGCACTCGTGAAGAGCAACCTCCTCGTGGTGAATGCTGGGTAGCGCTAACAGCTCTTCCCCCGTGTGGACTCGGGGTAGAATTTGTCCACAGCACCCCATTGCTGGTCGTAGAAGGCGACCGAATTGGGCAACCCGTTTGCCGTGGGTTGCGCCCCTGTGTCGGTGGAGGAAGGGATTCTGGTGGTTGAGGGCACTGGAGCCATGAACCGGTGTTCCATTTGCCCAACACACCACTTTGACCCTAACTTCACCTAGACGGGTGGTAGAATGGGCCCGATTCTATCAATCAGCTGGTCACGCCATGCCCTGAACATGGACTACCTGATTAATTACATGTATCACATGATACAATCTTGTTTCAGGATTACATGATGACCTTGAATATTTATATTATATTTTGCCTAGAGTCGATGCCAGAAGGCGGTGGCTCATGGGCCAATCTGGCTATATATCAACCTCTGGGTTCTATTTGACTTCAGATTACTGTCAAGGGCCGAACCAGCCTGACTTTAATTTCTGTTTGTCAATAATAGCTACCTATGTTTATATTGCTTGAGTATAACACCTTTGTAACCCTGGTGTTGGAGATTGGTTTCCTGGTTTCCTGGTTTCCTGGTTTCCTGGTTTCGAGGTATCGTGCGCGATCAAATGTGCTAACTGCAGCGGTGAGCACTTGTCTTCATCCAAATCATGCCCAATTTTCGATAATGAATCGAAAATACTAAAAATCAAATATACTAATAACATGTCCTACCCTGATGCCAAAAAACTCCTTGTACCCTCTCAGACAACTTCAAATAAATCATATTCAGCTACAGTCTCTTCTCTGAGTCAAGGTCACAAAATCACCATGTGATCCACTCAATGTCAAAATGATATATCTTGGGTCCACAATGACCAGATCATCATTGATGAAGCACCTACATTGTCTCCAGATAAGCCATCAACAATTACGTCTTCATCTCAAACGGAAAGCCTGCCACCTTCACATATTCAACCAACTGAACCAGAAGTTATAACGGAAATTGAAACAGTTCAGGGCGAAGCCCATCTCTCTAAAAAAAACAAACCCAAAAAGCAATTGAGGAGAAAGGCCAGAGCACTCCAGCACTTGGAGGAGCCTTCTCCTGCTGGGTGCCCTGTATCGGTTCATAATGCATTTGAACCATTGGACATGGAGGTCACTCCTTCCCTCCCAGTACATGGGAATGTCCCTCCCACTCGTTCACGTGTCCCCGTTGAACCTCCATGAGTGGAACTACTAATTTAATACAATAGAATTGCAGAGGACTTAGGAGCAATTTTAATGATCTACAGTTATTATCACAGGATTTTAAACCGTCAGCTTTTAGCTTACAGGAAACATACCTGAAAAATACAGATAAATTTGATTTTCGTCAGTACAATTCGTTTTCACCTCCAGGTGACAAAGCCACTGGTGGAGCTTCCATTTTGGTGAGGCGGGATGTCATCCATAGCCCGTCCCTCTTAAATGCAACCTTCAAGCTGTTGCTGTCCGTATGTCTTTACATATAACTTTCACACTTTGCTCTTTATACATTTCACCATCGTCTACTCTTCAGCAGTCTGATCTTCAGGATTTGTTTGATCAGCTCCCAAGACCCTGTGTCATTATGGGCGACCTAAATGGACATAACCCTCTTTGGGGAAGTACAGATACCAACAACAAAGGGAAAATCCTGGAAGACTTCATTTCAAATAACAATTTATGCATATATAATGATGGATCCGACACATATTTACATCCCGCTACTGGAACTTATTCTGCTCTTGATTTGTCACTCGCAGATCCAAATATATATAACGAATTTGACTGGTCAGTCCACAACGATCTCTGTGGAAGCGACCATTTCCCCACAATACTTTCTGCTATCAAACCGAATGATAAACCACCTGTGTCAAGGTGGAATTTTAAAAGGGCCAACTGGCCATTATTTCAGACACTTTGTACTGACAAACTGACATCTGACATTTTCATTAACGTCCCTGATCCTATTCAGTTGTTCACGGACACACTGAATAAAAATGCTGATGTAACTATACCTAAGTCCTCTGTTAAACCACACATTCGTAAACCATGGTTTACAGATGATTGCAAACAGGCTAGGAAGAGTAGGAGGATGGCTGAAAAATACTTTCGCCGTCATCCTACAGTTCACAATTTAAATAATGTAAAGATAAATGGTGCCAAGGCTCGACGTACGTTTAAACAAAATCGGCGACAGTCTTGGAGAAACTTTGTATCAAAGATTAATTCCCGTACACCAATGACAAAGGTGTGGAACATGGTACAAAGAATCAAAGGGAAGGGTTCAAATTCTGGCGTTCATCATCTTAAAGATGATCATGGTCTACTTACTGATAAAGTAGACATCGCAAATAAGTTGGGTGAAACTTTAGCCAAACACTCTTCATCTTCCAATTATAATCCCAAATTTCAGAATTATAAAAATCAACAAGAAAAGAAAGCTATTAATTTTAATTCAGATAATGGTGAAGATTACAATGAAGTCTTTTCACTACATGAGCTCAATACTGCCCTAGCGCAAGCCCATGATACCGCAACAGGAGCTGATAATATCCACTATCAGCTCCTTAAACATTTACCCAATCCATGTCTCGAAACACTTCGAAATATTATTGATCATATTTGGACCACTGGACACTTTCCTCCTTCCTGGCACAATGCCATTGTTATCCCTATACCAAAACCTGGTCGGGATCATACTGATCCATCTAATTATCGACCTATTTCATTAACTAACTGCGTTTGTAAAACCATGGAACGCATGGTCAATAACCGATTAGTATGGTTTTTAGAAACAAATAATCTTATTACCAATATTCAATGTGGTTTTCGCAAAAATCGCAGTACTATTGACCATCTGGTTCGTTTAGAATCATTCATTAAAAATTCCATTGTAAATAACCAGCATGCTGTATCAATCTTTTTCGATCTCGAAAAAGCTTATGATACAACATGGAAACATGGTATTTTAAAAGATTTACACGACTTCGGTTTAAGAGGCCGTTTACCTCATTTTATATCTCAATTTTTAACAGACAGACAATTTCAAGTTCGTGTTGGATCAACCTTGTCTGATCATTATAATCAGGATCAGGGAGTTCCACAAGGCAGTATTTTACCTGTCACATTGTTCAGTATAAAAATAAATAGTCTATCAAAAGTGTTAAAAGACTCAATTGATGCGTCATTGTTTGTGAATGATTTTAATATTTCATGTCGTGGTAAAAATATGCGTACTATTGAACAATTACAGTTGTGTCTTAATAAAATTCATAAATGGTGTCTTGAAAATGGCTTTAAGTTTTCACAGACCAAGACCAATTGTATCCATTTTTTGTCGGAAATATAAACCTCATAAAGATCCTTAACTCTTTTTAGATGGCACTCCAATCAAGATTGTAAAAGAAGCCAAATTTTTTGGGTTAATTTTCGACCATCATCTAACTTTTTTGCCACATATTAAATATCTAAAGACAAAATGCCCGAAGGCCATAGATTTGTTAAAAGTCGTCTTAAATTCAAAGTGGGGAGGGGATCAGAAAACCCTTCTTCACCTCTATCGATCATTGATCCGTTCTAAATTGGACTATAGCTCCATTGTGTATGCTGTAGCTTGCAAGAGCAATTTAAAAACGCTGGATTCAATCCACCATCAAGGATTAAGACTTTGTCTTGGTGCTTTTCGGACTTCCCCAGTTGACAGCCTCTATTAAATTGTCTCTCCAGTATATTACTAAATTACGTTCCAATCCCTCAAATCCTGCTTATGACTCCGTTTTTAATCCCCTATATGAAGAATTGTTTCAGAAGAAACCAAAGATGGTTCCTCCACTTGGAATTCGGCTCAAATCTCATATTAATGCTACAAATCTAGATCTGGACATCATCTCTCCTTACCGACTTTTGTCTTCTCCTCCCTGGCAGTTGGTGAGGCCAGAAGTCGACATTTCCCTCACACGTTATCTTAAGTCTGACACTAACCAGCTATTCTATCAACAGGAATATTTACAATTAAGAAATAAATATGACACTCACCATTCAATCTAAACTGATGGGCCCAAGGATGGTGGCAAAGTAGCAAGTGCCACTGTCGTTGGATCAAAAATAATATCCTCCAGAATACCAGACAATAGCTCTATTTTCACTGCTGAGGCCAATGCTATTCTTACAGCATTGATATACATTCAACAACAGTCTGCATGTAAACAATTTATCGTCTTTCTGATTCTCTTTCTTGCCTTCAGGGACTAAATAATGTGTCTTCGACTCATCCACTGATTTTAGATATTATAAAACTGTACAATGATCTTTCCACTGGCCAATTTGACATCGTCTTTTGTTGGTTGCCTAGTCATATGGGCATAAAAGGTAACACAATGGCTGCTGCTGCTGCAAAGGCAGCACTCAACAAATCTGTGACACTACTTCTTATCCCATACAGTGATCACAAACCTGTGATTCGATGTTGCATCCGAGATCTGATGCAAAAAAAGTGGGACACCCAAGTAGGTATCAATAAATTACATCAAATTAAACCAAATATCAGTTACATCTACTTGGGTTGTCAGTCCAGATTTGAGGAGGTCATTTTACGACGATGTCGTATTGGACATAGTAGATATTCTTATGAATATTTATTAAAAGGTGAGGATCCTCCGTTTTGTATCCCTTGTGATGAGATAATCACAGTCAAGCATCTCCTGCTTGACTGTATTGATTTTTCCATCACAAGAGAAAAATATTTTACTGTCAAAACAGTGAAGGACCTTTTTAGCAATGTTAATTCACATTTAATCATTTAATTTTTAAAAGATATAGATCTAATTCACAAATTTTGATGTAAAAAGTTATGTATTTTATAAATCGGTAGTGTATAATTAGTAACTGCGACTGTTCGTGGCTATACCCTCGAAGGGGGTTGAAGTCCCCCCTGAGAGGGTACGTCAGACCACCTCTTTCAAAGCATATTTATATCTACCTCTATTTTAACTGCAGAATATTTGTTAACTTTTAATATATGGCTAAACTCGCAATAATCACCAGTAACTTGGGGAAGTGTAAATTTTCCTGGGGAACCATGCAGGTAGCAGATGTACCGTAAGTCCCCTTGGTCCCCAGTATGGTGATCTTAACCTTGTTGCTGGCGATATATAGCCCCATTTTTATATTGTGTCGTACCTTAATAATCAGATATTTTTAGTGTTCTACAACTAGTTTTAACTTAATATGTGATATATTGCTAGTTATTATACTGTCCCTCGTCGACAGTTTTTATACCTATTGTATAACTTGTTCAAGTCACATTATGGCTGAAATATTGCCGACGTGACTTTAATTAAACTCACTCACTCACTCTTTCGAAATGTCACGCTTGGATCCCAAGTACCAAGTTGTCTGACTCCCAATTGTCCTCGGTACCTGGCATAGGAGAATACCCGGGTTTGCTGCCAGGAATCTTGGTAATGCAGAAGGCTGCAGTGTTGGGGAGTCTCCACATTCTCCGAAAGGTTCTGGGTGGGTTCGACTTGGCAGCGCTTCCTGGGAGAAGTCCCGTTCGCTGTATGGCATGCGTGTAGAGAGGGCAAGGGACTTGGGCTGATATTGAACCTAACCATCGTGTCTGTGTCAGGATAACCCAACCCCTATTTGCTGCATTTATTTATTTTCATCTGTAAATAATAATAACAATCTGTGAACATTGCGGAAAGTGCTGCACACGTGCTTTATACGGCCGCTTTGCAGTAGTTCCCCGGTCAATGGATCAGTGTACACTCGATTTGTATTCTCAGTTCCTTGGGGAGTATACAACCCAAGCTTCCAGTTAGGCACTGGAAGGATAACATGCACAGCGTCATCTCATCCTCACGGGTACCCATTCACTGCTGTGTGAACAGGGCATATTTCGAACAAAGTCGCTTTGCTATGGGAGACCACATGTGTTACATGTGCTTCAGTTTGGGGTAGAGCCGACTTCCTAGAAACTCTCTGGAGTCAAACTCTCAGGTTTAGCTGAAGAAACGTTCCTTTGCATATATACGTAGAAACAAGCATATTGTAGATTGCTAATTGTAATATTGCACCAGGTTAGTCAACCCCACACGGTACATATACGTAGAAACAAGCATATTGTAGATGGCTAATTGTAATATCGCACCAGGTTAGTAAACCCCACACGGTACATATACGTCTAATAACAACATCAGTGAATAAGTGTTCTATGTAACATTGTCTTGTCCTGATTATGTTCGACCCTCTTCCGTTTCTTCAAATCAATTACATTCCAAAAAACTATTCACGCGTTGAAACATATTTCCATAACCATAAGAAATATCTACTTAAAGCAGTCCATTTTTGGAATCCACGTTTATCATGAGCATGTGTTTATAAATCACTATAAAATAGTGATGATCCAGGCGTTCTCAAGAAAAGGAGCATTTCTTTCCCCACCTGTGGTACCGTCACAAATACATGCAAAGGGAAGTTAATTGTTCACCTGACAAAAAACGGCAACATACTTGCCACTGACGCGTCAAATTTGAATATGTCCCCCACATGATGCTCTTAGAATTCTTCGTAGAAAGGATATGCTCGATTGTGCCTCAAAAGTTGTGAAATGTAGATCCCAGAAGTTGGAGCTCCTGGAATATGGCTCGAAGTATACGGAATGTTGAATACAAAACGTCATCACCAGAAACGTCCCCCCTCTTGTCATACAGTCATCATGTGATCACTATCAAGTAAGTGAACCTATTTGTGACATTAAACGTAGGAAATACAAATTAAGCATATCAACAAACAGAGTGGACGTGACTGCGAATATTATGTTCAGACTAGGGAGATAAATCATGCATATCTATCTTCAGTAGTGTAGTGTAAATTTCGAAGTGTTGTCATTTTGGCATCGATGCATACAGCATGCATAATTACAACTTGCAGCATTCGCTTGATGGGGTGGTATAAACCAAGAGAGTATCATCTTATAGTGATTACAATACTTGTCAAAACTCTCATTGTTAACTTCATTGAAAATAATGTTCAAGTGTCAACACGACCAGTCTAACCCCTTTACGTGTTATACGTTCTGCTTACACCGAGGGGGAACGAGCAATCGTTGATCACACAATACACATGTAGTTCTAAATGTTCATCTGGGCATAGCAGAAGCAGTGTTAGATTATCTAGGTAAAGAAAACTTACGTATTCCCCGGCATATGACAGCTCCCCAACAGACGAACAGCCATGTCAACAACATATCCGACACCCACTGCGTACATGGAGCAACTGCATACAGTTGTCTGTCGCCTACAAGGAAGTATAATTTACTCACAACTATCGTCGTCAACAAAGCCAGGCAAAAAAAAAAAGACAGATTGTGTTAAAGACTGCATGTCAAGCATGATTCAGCGGAATTCTGAACACAGGCAACCAAATACTGCACACAGGCAACTAAATACTCCACACAGGCAACCACATCCCGCAGACTGGCAACCAAATAATCCACACCGGCGGCCATATAATCCACACAGGCATCCAAATACTGCACACAGTCAACCAAATACTGCACACAGGCATCCAAATACTGCACACATGCATCCAAATAATCCACACTGGCAACCAAATAATCCACACAGGCGACCAAATACTGCACACAGGCAACCAAATACTCCACACAGGCAACCACATCCCTCAGACTGGCAACAAATAATCCACACTGGCAACCAAACACTCACCACAGGCAAACAGATACTGCACACAGGCAACCAAATACTCCACACAGGAAACCAAGTACTGCACACAGGTAACCAAATACTCCACACAGGCAACCAAATTCTGCACACAGGCAACCTAATACTCCACACAGGCAACCAAATACTCGACAAGCAGCCAAATACTGCACACAGGCAACCAAATACTCCACACAGGTAACCAAATACTCCACACAGGTAACCAAATACTGCACACAGGCAACCAAATACTCCACACATGTAACCAAATACTGCACACAGGCAACCAAATACTGAATACAGGCATCCAAATACTGCACACAGGCATCCAAATACTCCACACAGGCAACCAAATACTGCACACAGGTAACCAAATACTGCACACAGGCAACCAAATACTGCACACAAGCAACCAAATACTGCACACACGCAACCAAATACTCCACACAGGTAACCAAATACTCCACACAGGTAACCAAATACTGCACACAGGCAACCAAATACTCCACACATGTAACCAAACACTGCACACAGGTAACCAAATACTCCACACAGGTAACCAAATACTCCACATAGGCAACCAAATACTCCACACATGTAACCAAATACTGCACACAGGCATCCAAATACTGCACACAGGCAACCAAATACTGCACACAGGTAACCAAATACTGCACACAGGCATCCAAATACTGCACGCAGGCATCCAAATACTCCACACAGGTAACCAAATACCCCACAAAGGCATCCAAATACTGCACACAAGCATCCAAATACTGCACACAGGCAACCAAATACTGCACACAGGCAACCAAATACTGCACACAGGTAACCAAATACTGCACGCAGGCATCCAAATACTCCACACCCACAATATGTCAGTTCAATCTCCTTAGATACAAAACAAATACACTTTGTCGTCGCTTCATTACCCCATCCTACGATGCGATGAGTGCTGTAATGGACGATGTTGCCATCCGATGCAGGATGTTGCGATGCGATATAAACGTGTTGAGGTGAGATTTGTCGATAGAAGTGTTAATCGAGACTATCTTGCCTACTGAAGAAAGCTATGTTTCAGTTCATGAGTTTTGTTTGTTGTTTCAGATATTTTGTTCTGTCAAATGTCTCAGTTAGGACACACAAGGTTACAGTACTGTCTTGGAAATATATTAAAATGGTTGCAGGAGAAAATAACCATCAAATTCGTATTTACCCAGATCTCTTCCAGGTTAACTATCCAAACCCCTAAATTACGATACTCCTCGCTAGGCCTTCCTTAAGCAATCTTGAAAGACAATTGGATGTTCGCGCTATGTCTGTAAGATGTAATGTGGATGAAACTATTTGGGTGATGTGGCCACTTCTGTTTGTGGTACATAATATTTATAACGTCATTATTGAAGCTAATATAGCCATTGGTAGCTATCGGTATATAAAGATATATCGACATGATATATTTTTGAAATAGGAGACCGACCTGGGTAATGCAGACAACTGTTGATCACACAACAGCGACATACTTCTTCATTGGCAATATGGAGCTTATATCCAAGTGGTTTAAGCGTTCGCTCGTCACCCTGGCGGTTCGTGTTCGATTCCCAACATGGGTACAATGTGTGAAACCCATTTCTGGTTCCCATGCTCATTTTTAAACCTTGCTTGACCGAAACGTCGCCTTTACAGTTAAAATGGAAGTTATATTATCCACAAATTCTCTCTACTTTGTAATCCGTCAACTTTAAGTAATGCCTATCAAACAATTCAAATCAAAGAACCCAAAACATATAACTGTCATTTTCAATTTATACATTGTAGAATTCCTATACAATCGTGTTTGGGAGGGTGACCAATGTGGGATTATTTGTATTAAGTTCCAAAAATGTGTATCACAGGGGCTCAGGTTGTACCGTTTTCCGTACAATGAGCCGACTGCTGTTCATGGGAATACGAAAAAACGGCAAAAGACTCACACAGGAAAAGTGTATGGTTGAACATGGCAGTGAAAGCATCACAATGTAAATATGTGCTGATGTAGACAGCTCGTTCCCGCATGCATGTAACAAGGAAGACATTATACATATGTGTGTTTGTGTCTACCTGCCTGTGTTTGTCTATGTCTATGTCCCGAATGTCTGTGTCTCTGTCTGTGCCTGAGTGGCTGTGTCTGTGCCTGAGTGACCGTGTCTATGTCTGAGTGGCTTTGTCTATGTCTGAGTGGCTGTGTTTATGTCTGTCTGTGCTTAATTGGCTGTGTCTGTGCCTGTGCCTGAGTGTCTGTGCCTGTGTCTGTGCCTGAGTAGCTGTGTCTGTGCCTGAATGACAGTGTCTGTCTGTGCCTGAATGGGTGTGTCGGTGTCTGTACCTGAGTGGCTGTGGCTGTGTCTGTGGTTGTGCCTGAGTGGTTTAGTTTCTGTCTCTGTCTGTGCCTGAGTGACTGTGTCTGTGGTTGTGTCTGTGCCTTTGTCTGTGCCTTTGCCTGAGTGGTTGTGACTGTGTCCATGTCTGTGCCATGGCTGTGTCTGTACTTCAGAATGTAGTCGTTCAGTCGGGTGATGATATTCATGTAGGGCTCGGTGTAAAATTCAGCAAAGTTGTTTTGTCCACATGTGACTCAACCAGGAACAGATATGAGAATAGTTGAAAACAAGAAGCACAGTAAATACAACTCTATATGGGAAACTTATCTCTTCAATGACGCACATGACCCTTTGTTAATCATACATAAATGTTCTGTTACGCCACAGTCAGCGATAACCTCGCTATATCACAGCTACCTGTAAATAATTGAGTCTGGATCAGACAAACCGGTTGTAAATATTATGAGCAACGTTAAACGCCGTCCAGTACGATGACACACAATCTCCCAGGCGACCAAATCTAACTAACCAATCATTTGAGCCGCCTCTTACAGCAAACATAACTACCATGGGCCAGTTGCACCCCGGATGTCACACGGGTTATGTTTAATCACGATCAGTGTTATCTGAATGCCTTGTATCAGTATAAAGAGAAAGCATTGTTTGTTTAGTGGACCGACTGCAATATGGCAAAATGTATCTGAGGGTGGTTAAGACGTCGCAATAGCTTTACAGAGTTGCATCCTTTTACCGTGCCAGGATCCGCTGGTCGGTGATGAGATTCGCTCAAATTATGACCCATGTACTGCATCACTATGGGTTGGGGCACGGTTAGCCCAACGTCTAAGGTGTTTTGGTGTGGATAAGTGTTTCTAAAAGTAGTTAGTTGTGTTTTGGTATGGATACGAGTTTCTCCGAGTCGTTGGAATCTGTCTTCTCTGGATCAAATCCCAGATACGCATCGATTGTGTTCCGTGGTTTTCAGCACCTGGGTTTCACTGGAGTGGTAATCGTCTACGATCTGCATCACAGCCATGTCGTCATATAACTGAAACACTGTTCAAAGCGGCGTCAAATAAAGATCACTGAGTATTGTTCATGCCAAGTCTCGTCATAGTCACACACTTCTCTGTACGATCACAGAATTCAACTGTAGTTAAGAATTCGAAAATGTTATTTGTGTGGCAAATCGTCTTGATATTGTTTAGTAATTTGCGAATATCTTTGAATCAGTTACAGGTTCCTTTAATTCAACTATTCAGCTTGTCAAACGCAGCAGAAGTATATTTGTAGCGTGCGTGATGTCTCAACGGCAAGTGAAGGTAATGCAAGATTGTAGTGCGCTTCCATCACCATCTTCGTGGTCTGTCTTCGTAGAACCAGAGACTATATAATAGACAGCCGTCATATTTTCATTTCCTATCTTTTTCTTTGAGTGAAACTTTTGGGGAGATATTACCGACGGCTTGGTAGCGGTAACATCACTGTCATTCTATTCAGACCAAGAGTTATCCGAAACCAACCCCTGGTCGTTGAGTGGGAATTCTTCAAGTGGTATATCTTGGTCCAAGACGAAATCGTCCCAGTGAATGAAGTCGTCCATGGCTGTGGCGAATGTAAATTGAAATAAATGTCGCGGAAGACACACATGTTCAGCGATTAACTTGCAGGCAAATGACATGTGCTAATGAGAGATATTATAAAACAATCTTTGTGATCCGCTAAGAGATGTCCTTTTATTGGACCGTCGCTGGTCGTTATCTAAGGGCTAAGGGAATTAACTCTAGCCCCGGATATTATGTAATATTGTTTACGTGGTTACCAGACTGGTCAGTTGTGAATCTGACCATCTACTGCGCATCTACTGCGCATCTGCAGCGGTACAGGGAGGCTAACAGCAGGGTGTCGGGGTGTATCAGTTACATGCCAGACCGTAGCGCTGATGGTTAGTGATAAACTGTTGGTGATGGCCGTCCCTCTAGTATATGGTCTCTGGTAGAGCGAATCTTCTTTATACGAAGCAGTTTCATCAAAATTGCAATATTCACTCACTCATTCATTCATTCATTACTTCTTAAGATGTTCGGTTAACTTTTTTGCCACAATCCTAAACGCTGATACGCTCCTGTTTACAACTGGTGACTACTATACAAGTCTACATTATATCCTGTTCAAGGGTGTATCTTGTGTATATGAAAAAGATGGGTCGATACCGGATTAAAGGCAACTGTTTCCAGACATGTTGGTTTCAGTTCATTCCTGAGTTCGATGCTGAATTATTGTTCCCAGCTTGTCATGATGACAGTACTGCTGCAAGCGCCGCAAACTAAAACTCACTCACTCACTCCACGATAAACGTTAGGCAGCAGATGAAGGGCATTCGACGTCCGTGTGGGGATCTAATCCTTGCCATATTTTTGTGATGGGAGAACGTACTAACCATTGTGCTATCACATGTGAGTAGAGGTCTTTGAACAATTAAGTCTAGTGTCATTGTTCTTAAAAACATCAATAACAATTTCGCAATATTGACTATTTATTGAATATCAAGGTATGTACAAACGTTAGGAAGGAGATAAAGGACACCTAACGTCCGTGTAGGGAATCGAATCCTCGCCGAATTCGTGAAGGGAGAATGTTCTAACCATTGTCCTATCAATTGTGAGAAGTGGTCTTTAAAACATTAGGTCTGGTGTCATTGTACAGAAAAACAACATCAATAACAATTCCGCAATTAATGTCAAGGAACACCAACAATGCCACGACAACAATGACGCCGATGGAGCTATGCGAGAATGATTATTCTTTTAAACTTCAGTATATATGAAACATGTCATGGTTTACCAATTACGCTGATCGATGCTCATAATGTCAGTCACTGGATTGTCTGGTCCAGACTTAAAACAAACTACGGTTATTACGAACTAAAATTTAAGTTCGTTATAGCCGTAGTTTACTGTATATTGAATAAAATGAAATTTAAAAAAAGCTATTCCTGCAAGGAGGAAAATCATATAACACTTATCGATGTCCAATGATATTACAAATCATGCATTATTCTCAGTTATCAAGACATAAGCTGCCATCAAATATCATAACACACCAGGAACAAATAAATCTTAAAGAATCAGATTCATATGTGCACATAATAGATTGTCCATTAGATTACACCAATCAATAAGAGCTAACTGGTGTTTTGTAAAGCGTATAAATTGTGTACAAGTGCTATAAAATAACATGAAAACTTTATTTTGTCAATACTTAGGCATCAGAAATGCCCTTGGCAAGACTGTAAACGTTTTCTTGATCATTTTCATCAGACCGATCATCACCTCCGGGATGGCCATCAAGATTCCCATCGTCTCGAAGAAGACGCTTTGTGTTGTGGTAGTCGGCCGTGTCTCTGTCTTCCTCATCGATCTTAGTGGCGTGGTCGTAGGTGTCATCAGAACATCCTTCCGGTTGCCGTTTACTTGCAACATCATAAGCATCCTCTTCACATTCTGTGTTTGTCCTCTGAATGTGACTGTTAGTATCATCCACTTTGCTGGGATTCTTACCCTGCTGTGCAGTGTCACAACCCCCCTCGTCCGCTGCCACGTGGTCGTACACCCCCGCGTCGGCATCAGCTGTTCTGGGAGAGTCGTGCTGACCGAGCACATTGTACTGACCCTCTTCTAAGTTCTGACCACTCGCTACATCAGAGAGTCGTGTATCTGCGGCCATGTGTTTCAGCCCAGTGGTCTCTTCTCCTGCCTGTGGAACACAGTTTGCAGTGTCGTAGTCTCCTGTGGACTTGTTACCTCTGTCAGGCCCTGAGAGGTGATTGTAGGGATTCCCGTGTGGCATAACCTTCTTGGAGTTGTCGGATTCTGACAACACATTGTACTCATCCTCATCATTAATCTGAGAGGTGTTGATGTAGATGTTGTCATTGTGAGCATTGGGTCGGACTATCGCCGTTCGAACCGTGGGTGACGTGGATGTTCTATCTATGTCAGGAGGTGTTATGACTGAATATGCTCCATTTGCTGTTTGTGCCTGAACGGCTAATCCATAGGTGGTGTTTTCTGCGCCAGAAGTGAAGTGTATTGGTTGATTCCCATCTCTTCTCTCAAAACAGAGCTTCTCTTGCCTGAAACACCGAATTCCAAACCTTTAATTTAGCTACGAAATAACACCTGAGCTTTCACTGTGTCTCTGATCGATTTACATTTATTGAAAGCACACCGAATGGGAGAAAGGAGTAAATAAAGTGTGTGTGCTATATTACCGTCTAACACTTGCTACACATACCAAACAGATTCACAGTTTCAGCCACAATTTCAAATGTAAATGTGTGTGCTGACATGAACAAAATATATATTATTCTCATATTTATCATACAGCAACAAGTGTCCATTTCAAACCATAGTGATATTGAATTTAGTTTGTATCCTGTCACAAAATTGTCATTCTAACCAAAACATATCTGACCCCTAATATGATTCTACACAAAGAACGTGTTATGGGAAGCAGGCGTAATTATTTTTCCTATAGGGATATTTCGATGGGAAGTTTACTCAGTTTTACAGTTTATATCAAGTGAGTATCTTCTCACCTTCTCAGCAGGAAGACGACAATAAGGACTGCCAGAACAACAAGGACCACGCTCCCAACACCAAGTCCTATGTAACCACCTGCATCTGAATAGAAAATAAATGAATGAGCAGGATATTATTTCCAATCAATTTATGTATTTCCTTCTTTTGCGAGTATGTTTGCTTCTATGATAGATACATCGTTAACAGTCAAAGATAAATAGTCTTTTGGTTCTATTTTTTTGGTGAATGTACATGTATGTATACTCAAAGAAAACAAAGACATTGGGTTTTTTCCTTAATGTAGGTCCATTTCGTAATTATGAGAAATGGTACTTTAAAGGATAAAAGATTGAGGTGGTACCATCCTACAGATATTTTGCGTTTGTTTTATCGCCAAAATTTGTTTGTTGCAAAGGACATCTATCTCTTGTCTCACAGGCAAATAGAGTATTAATGTCCATTTTCAACTACTCCTAGCGATTTCGAGGCATTCCGTCTAACACATTGTTCAGAATGTTTTGCCCCCTGGTCGTACCTATAGGGTGTTTATGGGTCGAAAAAATGTGGAGTTAATCAATGTAAGTGTACAAGTGTAATTATGTAAGTGGATTCTTAGCGTTGGCAGAAGTACAATAAATAATATGTTTCTGGATTCTGAAAGGATTCCACTCTTGCATGACCAGGGCAGTAAAGTTACTAACTTCAGTCGCTGGAAAAAGAGGAAACTTCAAGAAACTATTGAAATCCAAAGAAAGAAGCCAGCCTTTAACAGAGACCAAGGCATCTACCTACCCAGTGTAATGACATAAGCCAGCTAAGTACAGACGAGGAAGATATCAGTAACATTCAACAGTACACACCAGTCTGAGGATTGTATGGAGTTTTCTTTGCATCAGAAGTACCTGCTGGCGATGACCTGTTGCTAGAGTGGCTTCCCGGCACAGTTGAAACATCTTCGGACACAGTGGATGCTGATGATGGATGACTTGATAATGACGTTGGCGTAATTTTTGTTGAAGTTATACTTTCTTTAACTGAAAATAGTAATTAACACATAACAGAAACAAACATTCCTTTCAAAATGAAATTTTCATCATAATTTTTCAATGCAATGGTTGGTAGTACCATGGGTATTACCTTCATGATGACGTTTATTGTGAGTGTATGACACGATTACCTCAAACAAGTGATTTTTATTGTAGATTTAAACGATTTTGTCATTACATTTACAAAGCTATATATTTACAATGTAGACACACGGTGTTAGCAAAATATTGTTTCAGTAGTAGCTCTCAATTCGTTTGTGTGTTTTTGGCGGGTGCGCCGGTGGGCTGGGATTGGCACACCTTTCCGCGAACGCCAGGTGTCATTGCTGTATGATTGTGCTTTACGAGATAAACCTACTGTGTTTTAAAACTTGATGTAGTTCCACTGTAGAGTGGATATCGCTTTATTTTAATTTGGAACCTCGGGACTACATAAAATTTCAAAACACATTAGGTTTATCTCCATTCTACCATGACGGCAACAACGCTTTGAAAACCGTGCTCTCTTGTAACGCAACAACACAGGGTACAAAGGGCTGCAGTCTTAGAACATTCTGAACAGTAGTCACAGGTAGTCATATACATAACAAATATTACTAAAGTTCAAGATTAAAAACACCACAGTCTTGATTACTTCAAAATAAGTGTTCAAAACGAACAAACCATTATCATTGTAGGGGTGACAGGTTGTAAAAAATGCTCAAAGAATATATTTCTACAACAAACTTTATGGATTAACATTCTACAATGTATTTAACATGTGTATGTTTGTTTGTTAGCAATTAGCCCAGTAGATAATTGAAAAAATCAAAATAAATGCCTCTCCACCCTGAACTTGGATGTGGCAAAACTTGACCTACATCACGGTTACTCACACCTCACAACTGTCAATGGCTGACAGTGTTGTGTTTACATTTTGTGCCTCAGACAAGTTACACAAGCAACATGACAACCCTGATCTATGATATGGTTCAACATTAACCTGTAGATTTACTGGAATCAGCCTGCTGGTACAGTGCATATTCCCGAGGCAAGGCAGTTAACTATAAAAATCCAGTTTCCACCCTTGCCGAAGGAGGCTGGAATTCCTTGCCTCGATTGTAGCGCCATCAGTGGCTATTACAAGTTATGTCCCTTCTAAGCCTCTGCTATGGACCAATCAGATTCCACCTTTCTTACCACTTGCATTTGCTTCAAACAAAATGGCGTCGCCTAGTCATGTCGATCTGATCAATAATCTTAGATCTATATTGTAATATAATGGGTCTTACATCACACAGTGTATCAAATCCCGTGAGCACGTTGATAAAAAACATAAAGAAATTTGGAAAATATCTGTTAACAACGACTTGGCGGTGCAAATGCTTTGCAAATCCTACGATCGACCGAAATCTGCACGACAATTTAAGAACTGGATTTCGATTTCGTTCGCATGATTTTGCCAAAATGTAACTCCATATTAACAGTCTAGTTTGGCAAGGGTGGAAACTGGACTTTTACAGTCAGTTAACTCACTTGCCTCGGATTTCGATTTCGTTGCGTGATTTTGCCAAAATGTAACTCCATATTAACAGTCTAGTTTGGCAAGGGTGGAAACTGGACTTTTACAGTCAGTTAACTCACTTGCCTCCGGGTGATAGTAAATGCGATTGCCAAAAACTGACTTGTCCCCAAAAACATCCGATATGAAACTACCGTATTTGCTCTATTAGACGCTATGCCGTCCATCAGTTTCGCGAGAGACCTGGCCTGCATTAGAGACCCAGCGTGTAATAGAGACAATACATATACGTTTTACAGTTCATATGGGGGTGATCGAAAGGCAGCAATTTTTTTTATGAATCGATATATAGGCTATCGATGTATTCATGCACACTTTTGTTTTGGTAAAAAGGCTGAATATATTTGAAAGGGGTTTCCGTAGCTGAAAGAAAACCTCTTTTTAACCAATCAGAATCAAGCACTCATCAATGTCATGGCAGAATAATTGACATTGACAATACATGCTTATTGCATGGTCGGAGTAGAGCAGTGGACTCTTTTGGAAGGGGTTTATCGCTTACATTACCATTTCACCTGATATGATCACATGTTTATAAATGTAAAGTAATATACAGGCCAATTGTGACCCATTGTTATTTGTGAAACGGGAACGTTTATCGTGGTATTGGATAAATAATCATACCGTTTTCGCATATCCATCTTTGGCCTAAGCCACATGCTATCCAGTATAAGCGTGTGCTTCCGTCCCTCAGTTTGTATACAGTAAGACACAGAGTATCTGGATCTGTACCAGAAAATTTCTTGTATCCATTGAATTTCGGAGCCCTTTGTCCTGGAAACAAGAAAAAGGTTATACGCATAATTGAACTGTGGGCTTCTGAGTGACGAATCAATGCTGTCACTACTGGGCCTCCCCTACATCCCCTGATTACTGAGGGAGGATTGGTGGCCAGTGATAACAATTGTGTGTAGTAACAAAAATTAACCCACTCGACGCACGGAAAAATGGATTATGATACTCTTGAAATTAACAATTGAATGTAATTGTAACGTAGCTCGTTCCTTATTCTCTAATTACTAGCGGTCTTAATTTAATTTAATGTGTAAAGATATAGATTGGAAACTCTTCCCTTATTCTTACCGTTGATCCATTTCCTGTGTACAGGTTTATACAAACCGATCCAGTATCCATAGTTATTCTGCATCTTCTGAAGATTATTCTGAACAGGAGTTGTAAGTTTTACCAAGTTGAATTTTTTGTCGGCGCCCGTCCATGTATACGTGTCATAGCTCAGTAAAACGCAACCAGAGCCACCACAGTCATCAGAATTCATGTCTGAAACAAGAGCAATAATTAAAGCGCATTGTGAGAAATGTTGGTCCTAGTTTCATTGCAAACATATGTTCTACAAACATGTACTCGAGTGTTCATGTCAAAAACATCTTGGCTGCACTGCAATAGTCTTTACGAAAATACAACTGGTGTAAGCAACCCCTAGACGAATCCATTTGTGCACAGAGACAATATGGCCTTGATTGATTTCGGTGTTGTTTCCCATGGTCACTTTATTTCAATATGAGCTTTTGTGGATACCTTACACGCGGGTCTACTGTTGATTTTGTACAAATACTACATAAGAGAAGTTAAAGAACACCCTATTTTTATATGACTTCTTTTGAGTTGTACATATATTTGTAGATATACATACTCATCAACTTTATATTTTGCTCAGGGGCATCCTAACTGGGTCAGTGTGTTCAGAAATGTGTTACGCGTCGGATGTAGCCATCAATTAGTGATAATTAGTTTGTAATTTTAGAAGTTTCAAACGTCTATTCGATACTTAAAAAAATAACACGTCAATAAAAGAAGCAACGCAATTATCTTTGGCATATGTCAACGTTATTTACAGGGATCCAACGTAACGAATATGACGAGAACCTTGCAATGTTGTGTACGCATCATATTTGTGACGTCATAACCTTAGACACACGGGAGGTTTTTGACGAGGGAAACATTACATCACCAAACATCATCTGTGTATTACTCTGGTTTTACTAGATGATTTACAGTTCACTCTTTGCAGTCGATGTCTGTTGGGTTTCTCGTCATATATATAAAATTAATACATCAACATTATAATGATACGAACCACAACGGTATATCAAAATGTGTGTAGCGTTGATATAGTGTTATCTTCTTACCACTGAGTATAGAGGAAGAAGTGCTCTCAAATAACAACAAAAATATTGTGGTAATGATGTTATCAACAAATAATAGCCCAACGTGAGTCGATACTGCTGGCGGGCGTTCAGAATGTACAATTCTAAAATGTCATTTTGGAAATCACGTTACTGTTCATAGACATAGCACCAAAGGTCGTTGTTGGATTATTTGAATGAGTGAGTATTACGCTTAACGGCAGTTCTATTCAGTATTATATGTTTTATATCAAGGCGCGACAGCTTAATGTTTTAGGAAAGCCTTATTCAACGCAGGTTCTAAATATTTACTACTTTGGTGAAACCCACGAACATGTAAACCAAAAGCCAGTCCTGCCTGTAGAGGGACACAAGTCTACACAGAGAGTTGCAGTGTTTCAATCCACTGGACCATCCGTGCCTCTAATATATATCAGGAGTTGACCAAAGTAATGTATTTCAAATTGGGCATGGCAATTCTGCCATTTCTATTTCCAACGTAGAACCCGAGGTAGATGTGTTCTTGGATAGTTGATTTATCAATGTAAAAAGGGTTTACCAAAGCAATTAAAGAAAGATCACGTTAGAGAACGACATTTCAACCGGAATGTGATGAGACTTATGAATGACACGAGAAACATACCATCAAAGTAGTAGGCATATCTTCTAAGTTGAATGCCGCAAGCTCTATAACTGCTGGTGTAGGTAGTGAGACGGGCATAAGTTCTCACTACATACGCACATCGACCACCTCGTTGTTGTGTAAATCTAATATTTTCTACAAAACAAAAATCTGAATGACAGAATATACATTTGAAAATATAAGGAGTCTTTAATAATCGAGCAAATTTCATCGCGAACGCTAAAATTTACCCTCGAACCGTAAATGTTGTGACAGTTATATTTTGCGTACATCTTTGTAAATGCCATTCTAGTCAGTTGGGAAAGGTTTACGACTAGCTTACTGTTTCTGATGAATTCACGTTTGTTTGATTACTCAGATTGGTTCGAGATTGCTAGATAAGGAACAACTCCCAACTTCTCCCTTACATTCTTACTACGCCATTTACATGATAGTTTTAATGAAATAGAAATTCAAATTGACAAAATATAATGTAGAGAAAAAATCAGCTGGAAGATTATTTGGCTTTACGACAGTCATCGCTTTTTTGTTAGTCAACAAAATGGTCAATTGGTTGCGGGTTCAACTCCATGCATGGTGGTGGCCGCCGAGCACATTTGGGAGCTAGGACTGGTGGCAGAGATAGCATACAGAGGAGCTCCGAGAACGGGCTTTCGATGTAAGGATCGTGACATCAGGGAATAAAATATATAAACAACTCCACATACTCATGTGTTATGTCCAAAAACAGAAGATTAATATTATGACAAAAAGCATGTACATATTACAGAAAACAGCTATACAATGGCAGCCAACGTATACTACTCAAAAGAAGTCAAAGAACATCCGATTCCTTCATATTACTGGTAATATTAGAGAATCAGGTGTTCTTTGATATGGATGATTCTTCCAGTTACTCGTAATATTGGAGAATCAGGTGCTCTTTAACCCTTTTTGAGTAGTGTATTATCGAGTCCAGACAGGTTGATAATATTGACACTATCCACGCCATCCGGTTGGATACAAAAATGTACAATCGAATCCGCTCGCTCCCATAGCCCCTTTCCAAACTGTCTTAACATTACACATTAATCATTCCCTGGTTCTGTGCTGGATTATGATTCAACAATAAATAGAGACGTTGGCATAGTAGGTACCTAGTTTATAGACGGATATTCCATCGACGTTGCCACACAGTTCGTCAAAGTTTCCTGGACACCTGTTCTCAGTTGTGCTTGAACTTCCAGTTCCATACCCTTCATGTAGACAGTAACACGTGTTTCCCTGTACAAATCAGAAATTATATGTCATTATACATACCAGTCATGTCTTATTTATGTACAAAGAGTACATGCATATGAGAAAGCCTGCTCAAATTCGTTAATTCGATACATTTATATTTGAAAGAAATGTACAGAATATGGCATAAAACGTCAATCCTAATGGAACTGACGTCGTGTTTACGTACATTCATGTCTGTCCAGTTGGTGCGTTAGAACCAAAGACGTAATACAAGCTCACATGACCACAAAAAAGTATCTACAGACTGTACAGTCTTCTACAGACCAGTTTTGCTCTGGAAATGATCACGTCGTTTACATATAGAAACAATTCCGAGAAATAGAAGTTTATTTCGGTCGTTTCAAAGTAGATTGATGACATGTTCAGTCAACGGGGTAAAGCGGGTATAGCTGTTTCTTCAGATTGTTTGATATGTCACAGCCAATGGCGCGGTATATATAAGTATCATTTACAGATCTGACATTTAAAAAGATACATGTACGAAGCGTTATGCACGAACAACTTACCTGCATGCCCATTGAAGAGTATGAGCTGCAGTAAAGATGGCATTTCCATACCGAGTTATCAAGATAGTCCACTGCCCATGTATATGTCACATCTGCAGTGGAAGGAAGCCAGCATACTTGTACAGTGGACTGCCGTCTTCTGTTTGTGCACAATAAAAACAGGCTTGTTCATTCTGATTGGTTTCAAAGTATTGGATGGCAACTTGGTACTTGATAATGACATATAATGTTAAAGATTTCTTAATGGAAAGTTTACCTCAAATATATTAAGTGTATTGGCGCAGTATGTTAATGTTATAAACGGAAATGAAAAAGAATATCTCAGATCAATCAAACTCAAGACCTTACTTTATTACTTAGTATAAAGTATAACCAGTAGACAATGGTACGGTGGTTTGTTTCCCTTCTAGTACTAGTACCTGTCCATCTCCAGGCCATGTAGGCCATGGCGCCTATCCAGTAATATGTGTCAGGCTGTAGACGCCCCAGAATGTCTGGTGGAATGTCATCTGACCCAGGCGTGTACATGTTGCCTTCTTCGAGACTGCAACGGCTGTGAGCGTCCCACCAGTTGCTTGTTGCATCGCCGACACTTATCTGATCCGTTTCTACAAAAATGAATTTTCAGATATTGAATATTAAGTATACCAATATATAGATATCGTTTATTTGTCTGATACAAGGCATTCCGCAGATTTCTTACACTAGCCAAGGATGTAGGACATAATTTCAATGTCAGTGTTGATTTTGTTGATGGTTCTGTACTTCTGTACAGAAATGAGTGCCAACCATGCGAAGTGCTGTATCAAATTGGCTCTCTGAGCGACTACTTCATTTATATGCAGTGTGTTGTGCGTGTGCAGAAGAACAGCACCCTGCAGTGTTCTTCCCTAGGGTGAAGGCGGCTGACCTGAAAAGTGAGCTGCTCGGGACCAGTGTCTTCCCACTAGAAACCGTCAATGTATGGTTTTACATCAAAATGTAGATATGAAATGTAGATTAAGCAATGAATTTAATGAGTATGCACAACACATTGTCAGTGGATGCCCAGCCTTGGCCATGCTTGTGTTTTTGACACAGAGGTCCATCCATGGTACGACCAGGAATATGTAGAGGGCGTCATTGAAAATGACAAATACAAAATTCTTTGGGACAGGCCCGTTTACAGCCTCAGGCGTATCGAGGCCAACAAACCTGATCTTGTCCTTTTTGATGAATCCAAGAAAATCGTTTATATCATTGAACGTTCTCTCCCTTTTGACACTAATGTGATTTATAAGATTCAGGATAAACATGGCAAATATGCGGACCTGTCTTTCGAAATGTCACGCTTGCATCACACATACCAAGTTGTCCGACTCCCCATTGTTCTCGCTGCCTTAGGTTTGGTACCTCCCAATCTGTTGACTGACATTGGGAGAGTACCCGGGTTTGCTACCATGAACTCAGCCCTTCTGACAATCTGGGTAATGCAGGAGGCTGCAGTGTTGGGGAGTCTTCACATTCTCCAAAAAGTTCTGGGTGGATTCGACGAGGCAGATTATCCTGGGAGAAATCCCATTCGCTGTCTGTGCTGCATGTAGAGGGCCTTGAGCTGATGGTGAGCCTAACCAGCCTGACTGTGCCAGGATCACCCAACCCCTCTTGTCTGCCTTTATATATTTTAATCTGTAAATAATACAGGCGCTTTGCTTTAGTTCCCCGGTCAATGGATCAGTGTACACTCGATTTGTTTTCTCAGTTCCCTGGGGAGTATACAACCCAATCTTCCAGTGAGGCGCTAGGAGGATAACAGGCACAGCATCATCTCATCCTAACGGGTACCCATACACTGCGAAGTCATTTGGCTATGGAGACACCACTTGTGTTACATGTACTCCAGATTGGAGTAGAGGCGTAAGCCCTAGAAACTGTCAAACTGCCAAACTGCCAAACTCTGTCACCCATACAACTACTCTCCGCGACCGAGGTGGGGCTGGACATACGTTCCTTTGCACTTATAACATATAGTAGATGGCTAATGATTGTAATAAAATTGTAAGTAAAACCCCAGATGACACATCAGTGAATAAGTGTTCTGTGTAAAACTCTGACTTGTCCTGATTATTTGCGACTTACTTCCTTTTCCTCAAATCAATTACGTTCCAAAAACTATTCACACGACAAAATTTCTAGAACCATAAGAAATATCTACTTAAAGCAGAGTCCATTGTAGGATTCCGAGTATATCATGAGCATGTGTTTATAAATCACTGTCAAATAGTGATGATACCAGGTGTCCGCGAAAAGGTGAGCGTATCCTGCCCCACCTAGGGTACCGTCACAAACACATGCAAAAGCAGGTCAAATGTTCACCTGACAAAACACGGCAACATATGGTAAAAGTTAAAAATAGGAAATTACACACGACATCATTCTTGCCACTGATGCGTCAAATTTAAAGATGTCCTCCACATGATGCACTTTGAATTCTTCGTGGAAAGGTAATGCTCGATTGTTCCTCAAAGTTGTGAAATGTGGACCCCAGTTGGAACTCCTGGAATATTGCTCGAAATATACGGAATGTTGAGTATAAAACGTCAACGCCTTAAACGTCCCCCCTCTTGTCATACAGTCACCATGTGATCACTATCAAGTGAGTGAACCTACTTGTGACATTAAACGTAGGAAATACAAATTAAGCATATCAACAATCAGAGTTGCGCTGCGATTATTATGTTCAGACTAGGGAGACAAATCATGCATATCTATCTTCAGTAGTGTAGTGTAAATTTCGAAGTGTTGTCATTTTGGTATCGATGCATACAGCATGCATAATTACAACTTGCAGCATTCGCTTGGTGGGGTGGTATAAACCAAGAAAATATCACCATATAGTGATTACAATAAATGTCAAAACTTTCATTGTTAACTTCATTGAAAATAATGTTCAAGGGTCAACACGACCAGGCTAACTCCTTTACGAGTTATACGTTCTGCTTACACCGAGGGGGAACGAGCAATCGTTGATCACCAATAATACATGTAGTTCTAAATGTTCATCTGGGCATAACAGAAGCAGTGTAAGATTATCTAGGTAAAGAGTATTTACGTATTCCCCGGCATGTGACAGCTCCCCAACAGATGAACAGCCATGTCAACAACATATCCGACATCCACCGAGTACACGGAGTTACTGCATACAGTAGTCTGTCGCCTACAAGGAAGTTTAATTAACTCACAACTATCGTAGTCAACAAAGCCCGGGAAAATGAAAAAAACAGATTGTGTTTATGACTTCATGTCACGCATGATTCAGCGGAATTCTGCACGCAGGCAACCAGATACTCCACACAGGCAACCAGATACTGCACACAGGCAAGCAACTACTGCACTCAGGCAAGCAAATAATCCACACGGGCAACCACATACTCCACTCAGGCAACCAAATATTCCACAAAGGCAACCAAATACTGCACACAGGCAACCAAATACTGCGCACAAGCAACCTAATACTCCACACAGGCAACCAGATACTCCACACAGGCAAACAGATAGTGCAGTCAGGCAACCAAATACCCTACTCGGGCAACCTAATACTCAACACAGGCAACCAAATACTCAACACAGGCAACCAAATACTCCACACAGGTAACCAAATACTCCACACAGGCAACCAAATACTCCACACAGGCAACCTAATACTCCACACAGGCAACCTAATACTCCACACAGGCAACCAAATACTCAACACAGGCAACCAAATACTCCACACAGGCATCCAAATACTCCACACAGGCAACCAAATGCTTCACACAGGCAACCAAATACTGCACACAGGCAACCAAATACTCCACACAGGCAACCAAATACTGCACACAGGCAACCAAATACTGCGCACAGGCAACTAAATACTGCACACAGGCAACCAAATACTCCACACAGGCAACCAAATAATCCACACAGGCAACCAAATACTCCACACAGGCATCCAAATACTCCACACAGGCAACCAAATACTCCACACAGGCAACCAAATACTCCACACAGGCATCCAAATACTCCACACAGGCAACCAAATACTCCACACAGGCAACCAAATGCTTCACACAGGCAACCAAATACTGCACACAGGCAACCTAATACTCCACACAGGCAACCAAATACTCCACACAGGCAACCAAATACTGCACACTGACATCCAAATACTCCACACGGACAAAATGTCAGTTAAATCTCCTTAGATACAAATCAAATACACTTTGTCGTCGCTTCATATTCTTACGATGCTGCAATGGACGATGTTGCCATCCGATGCGGGATGTTGCGATGCGATATAAACGTGTTGAGGTGTGATTTGTCGATAGAAGTGAAAATCGAGACTATCTTGCCTACTGAAGAAAGCAATGTTTCAGTTCATGAGTAGTGTTTGTTGTTTCAGATATTTGGTTCTGACAAACGTCTCAATAAGGACACAAAATTTGACAGTTTTGTCTTGGAAATATATTAAAATGGTTACAGGAGAAAATATCAATCAAATTCGTTGTTACCCAGATCTATTCCAGGTTAACTATCTAAACTCCTAAATTACGATACTCTTCTTTAGACCTTCCTCGTGAAAGAAAATTGAATGTCTACGCTATGTCTGTAACATGTAATTTGGTAAATGTAAATGAAACTATTTGGGTGAGATGGCCACTTCTTTTGTAGTACATGATATTAAATACTAGTACGTCATTATTGGAAGCTAATATAGCTATTGGTAGCTATCGGAATATAAAGATATATCGACATGCTATATTGTTGAAATAGAAGACCGACCTGGGTAATGCGGACAACCGTTGATTACCCCCCTGAGACTTTACACCTAACACAGGTTCTAAAATTAGGCCAGGCCAATGTGTCAGCTGTTATTCATATAGTTCCAAACTGTACATTTTCCTCCTTCCTTAATACGATATATCACCAATACAGGAAAAGTGTAGGGTTGAACATGGTAGTGACAACATCACAATGTAAATATGTTTTGATGTCGATAGCTTGTTCCCGCATGGATGGAAGAAGGAAGACATTATACATATGTGTGTGTTTATGTCTGTGTTTGTCTATGTCTATGTCCCGAATGTCAGTGTCTTTATCTGTTTCTGTGCCAGAGCAGCTTTGTCTGTGTCTGTGCCTGAGTGTCTGTGTCTATGTCTGTGCCTGAGTGTCTGTGTCTATGTCATGTGACTGAGTGTCTGTGTCTGTACTTGAGCAGCCGTGTCTGTGCTTGTGCCTGAGTGGCTGTGTCTATGTCTGTGCCTGAGTGACTGTGTCTATGTCTGTGCCTGAGTGGCTGTGTCTATGTCTGTGCCTGAGTGGCTGTGTCTATGTCTGTGCCTGAGTGGCTGTGTCTATGTCTGTGCCTGAGTGGCTGTGTCTATGTCTGTGCCTGAGTGGCTGTGTCTATGTCTGTGCCTGAGTGCCTGTGTCTATGTCTTTGCCTGAGTGTCTGTGTCTATGTCTGTGCCTGAGTGGATGTGTCTATGTCTGTGCCTGAGTGGATGTGTCTATGTCTGTGCCTGAGTGTCTGTATCTATTTCTGTGCCTGAGTTGTTATGCCCTTTGCCTGAGTGTCTGTGTCTGTGTCTGTGCCTGAGTGGCTGTGTCTATGTCTTTGCCTGAGTGGCTATGCCATGTGCCTGAGTGGCTGTATCTATGTCTGTGCCTGAGTGGTTGTGTCTATGTCTGTGCCTGAGTGCCTGTGTCTATGTCTGTGCCTGAGTGGCTGTGTCTATGTCTGTGCCTGAGTGGCTGTGTCTGTGTCTGTGCCTGAGTGGCGGTGTCTGTGTCTGTGCCTGAGTGGCTGTGTCTATGTCTGTGCCTGAGTGGCTATGCCATGTGCCTGAGTGCCTGTGTCTATGTCTGTGCCTGAGTGGCTGTGTCTATGTCTGTGCCTGAGTGGCTGTGTCTGTGTCTGTGCCTGAGTGGCGGTGTCTTTGTCTGTGCCTGAGTGGATGTGTCTATGTCTGTGCCTGAGTGACTGTGTCTATGTCTGTGTCTGAGTGGCTGTGGCTGTGTCTGTGCCTGTGCCTGAGTGGTTGTGTCTGTGCCTTTGTCTGTGCCTGAGTGTCTCTGTCTGTGGATGTGCCTGAGTGACTATGTCTGTGTCTATGTCTGTGCCTGAGTGGTTGTGTCTATGTCTGTGCCTGAGTGGCTGTGTCTGTGCGTCAGTGGTTGTGCGTATGTCTGTGTCTATGTCTATGCCTGAGTGGCTGTGTCTGTGCTTCAGTATGTAGTCGTTCAGTCGTGTGATGATATTCATGTAGGGCTCGTTGTAAAATTCAGCAAAGTTATTTTGTCCACTTGTGACTCAACCGGGAACAGATATGAGAATGGTTGCAATGACGCACATGACCCTTTGTTAATCATACGTGACGGTTCTGTTACGCCGCAGTCAGCGATAACCTCGTTATATCACAGCTACCTGAAAATAATTGTGTCTGGATCAAACCGGTGGTAAATATTATGAGCAACGTTAAACGCCGTCCAGTACGATGACACACAATCATTCAGGCAACCAAATCTAATTAACCAATCATTTGAGCCGTCTCTTACAGCAAACATAACTACCAAGGGCCAGTTGCACCCCGGATGTCACACGGGGTTATGTTTAGTCACGATCAGTGTTATCTGAATGCCTTGTATCAGTACAAAGAGAAAGCATTGTTTGTTTAGTGGACCGACTGCAATATGGCCAAATGTATCTGAGGGTGGTTAAGACGTCGCAATAGCTTTACAGAGTTGCATCCTTTTACCGTGCCAGGATCCGCTGGTCGGTGATCAGATTCGCTCAAATTATGACCCTTGTACTGCATCACTGTGGGTTGGGGCACGGTTAGCCCAACGTCTAAGGTGTTTTGGTGTGGATAAGCGTTTCTCTAAGTAGTTAGTTGTGTTTTGGTATGGATACGAGTTTCACCGAGTAGTTGGAATCTGTCTTCCCTGGATCAAATCCCAGATACGCATCGATTGTGTTCCGTGGTTTACAGCACGCGGGTTTCACTGGAGTTGTATTCGTCTACGATCTGCATCACAGCCGTGTCGTTATATAACTGAAATACTGTTCAAAGTGGCGTTAAATAAAGATCACTGAGTATTGTTCATGCCAAGTCTCGTCACAGTCACACACTTCGTGCGATCACAGAATTCAACTGTCATTAAGAATTCGAAAATGTTATTTGTGTGGCAAATCGTCTTGAGATTGTTTAGTAATTTGCGAATATCATTGAATCAGTTACAGGTTCCTTTAATTCAACTATTCAGCTTGTCAAACGCAGCAGAAGTATATATGTTCAATCTTTATTTCACATACTGAAGAGGCCACAGGCCTCTAGTACAATTTGAAGAATATACAATTTTATACAATTTATGTACATATCTCACCAAATCACCTTACGTCATTCCACCTCGCATCTCAACGCAGTCACATAATTTCACACATACAGTACAATACCATACCCTGTATTTTCATCATTTCTATTTTACCATATCACAACTTGTTATATCATTCAACATATTCTATAACATCATATCATATTGTATCGTTATTATAAGATCATACTATATAGTATTATTTCATATACCATTATCATATCATAACATACGGGGCGGTCGGGTAGCCCAGTGGTTAAAGCGTTCGCTCGTCACGCCGAAGACCCGGGTTCGATTCCCGACATGGGTACAATGTGTGAAGCCCATTTCTGGTGTCCCCCGCCGTGATATTGCTGGAATATTGCTAAAAGCGGCGTAAAACCATACTCAGTCAGTCAGTATCATAACATACCATACATACCATTGTACCATATATCACACCTATATTATATCACATTTCAACATGTCATATCACACAACACATTAGCAATTTCATAGCTTGTCCCATCATATCTTATCATATCATACCATATAATGCCATGTCAATACATGCTAATTTATTTCATATATATCAATCAATATTTATTCAACACTGGAAGACCGCAAGCCTTATAAAATGTACACTTAAAAACAGTATTTACACAATTTCTATAATACACATTACATATTGCATCATATCCCCTCATGTATCATATCACACCACAACACTTATCAAATCATATCACATCATGTCATGTCACATCATATCATTTCATATACATATAACTATACTAAACCATTTGTAATATCACGTCCCACAATATCATATGACAGCCTAGTAGTTAAATACCATTTCTAACTCTTTTTTTTGTAGTTTATTCAGATGGCAAATATCTTTAAATATGTACTTAATGTATATACACAATAGTTTCCTAATACCAAGCAGATAAGATTATTCTTTCATAAGGTTATATGTAGTATATTTGAAGTATATATGTAGCGTGCGTGATCTCTCAACGGCAAGTGAAGGTAATGCAAGATTGTAGTGCGCTTCCATCACCATCTTCGTCGTTTGTTTCGTAGAACGCATCTTCTTTATACGAAGCAGTTTCATCAAAATTGCAATATTCACTCACTCATACACTCATTCATTGCTTCCTAAGATGATCGGTTTTCCTCTTTTTCATAATCCTAAACGCTGACACGCTCCTGTTTACATCTGGTGACTACTATACAAGTCTACATTATATCCCGTTCAAGGGTGTATCTTGTGTATATCAAAAAGATGGGTCGATACCTGATTAAAGGCAACTGTTTCCAGACATGTTGGTTTCAGTTCATTCCTGAGTTCGATGCTGAATTATTGTTCCCAGCTTGTCATGATGACAGTACTGCTGCAAGCGCCGCAAACTAAAACTCACTCACTCACTCCACGATAAACGTTAGGCAGCAGATGAAGGGCATTCAACGTCCGTGTGGGGATCTAATCCTTGCCATATTTTTGTGATGGGAGAACGTACTAACCATTGTGCTATCACATGTGAGTAGATGTCTTTGAACAATTAAGTCTAGTGTCATTGTTCTTAAAAACATCAATAACAATTTCGCAATAGTGACTATTTATTGAATATCATGGTATGTACAAACGTTAGGAAGGAGATAAAGGACATCAACGTCCGTGTAGGGAATCAAATCCTCGCAGAATTCGTGAAGGGAGAACGTTCTAACCATTTTCCTATCAATTGTGAGAAGTGTTCTTTAAAACATTAGGTCTGGTGTCATTGTACAGAAAAACAACATCAATAACAATTCCGCAATTAATGTCAAGGAACACCAACGTTACCACGACAACAATGACGCCGATGGAGCTATGCGAGTATGATTATTCTTTTAAACTTCAGTATATATGAAACATGTCATGGTATCCCAATTACGCTGATCGATGCTCATAATGTCAGTCACTGGATTGTCTGGTCCAGACTTAAAACAAACTACGGTTAGTACGAACTAAAATTTGAGTTCGTTATAGCCGTAGTTTACTGTATATTGAATAAAATGAAATTAAAAAGAAGCTATTCCTGCAAGGAGGAAAATCAAATAACACTTATCGATGTCCAATGATATTACAAATCATGCATTATTCTCAGTTATCAAGACATAAGCTGCCATCAAATATCATAACACACCAGGAACAAATAAATCTTAAAGAATCAGATTCATATGTGCACATAATAGATTGTCCATTAGATTACACCAATCAATAAGAGGAAACTGGTGTTTTGTAAAGCGTATAAATTGTGTACAAGTGCTATAAAATAACATGAAAACTTTATTTTGTCAATACTTAGGCATCAGAAATGTCCTTGGCAAGACTGTAAACGTTTTCTTGATCATTTTCATCAGACCGATCATCACCTCCGGGATGTCCATCAAGATTCCCATCGTCTCGAAGAAGACACTTTGTGTTGTAGTAGTCGGCCGTGTCTCTGTCTTCCTCATCGATCTTAGCGGCGTGGTCGTAGGTGTCATCAGAACATCCTTCCGGTTGCCGCTTACTTGCAACATCATAAGCATCCTCTTCACATTCAGTGCTTGTCCTCTGAATGTGACTGTAAGTATCATCCACTTTGCTGGGATTCTTACCCTGCAGTGCAGTGTCATAATCCCCCTCGTCCGCTGCCACGTGGTCGTACACCCCCGCGTCGGCATCAGCTGTTCTGGGAGAGTCGTGCTGACCGAGCACATTGTACTGACCCTCCTCTAAGTTCTGACCACTCGCTACATCAGAGAGTCGTGTATCTGCGGCCATGTGTTTCAGCCCAGTGGTCGCCTCTCCTGCCTGTGGAACACAGTTTGCAGTGTCGTAGTCTCCTTTGGACTTGTTACCTCTGTCAGGTCCCGAGAGGTGATTGTAGGGATTCCCGTGTGGGATAACCTTCTTGGAGTTGTCGGATTCTGACAACACATTGTACTCATCCTCATCATTAATCTGAGAGGTGTTGATGTAGATGTTGTCATTGTGAGCATTTGGTCGGACTATCGCCGTTCGAACCGTGGATGACGTGGATGTTCTATCTATGTCAGGAGGTGTTATGACTGAATATGCTTCATTTCCTGTTTGTGCCTGAACGGCTAATCCATAGGTGGTGTTTTCTGTGACTGAAGTGAAGTGTATTGGTTGATTCCCACTTTTTGTCTTAAAGCACAGTTTCTTTTGCCTGAAACACCGAAGTTCTGGGTGGTTAAATTTAGTTTCCTTGAACAACAATGGTGTTGCTATGAAGTCATTTCTAATTTCCGTTTCGAGACGCCAAACATCCCATGCAAGTTGAGATGAATACTTTTGGATTCCCTTTAGTATATAGTACTTTTTCATATAATAAAGTCTTTTTCGTCCTTGATATTTTACAGATGAGGTATGTTTTCATGAAGCACGCCTCTCTTCTTACCTTCTCAACACGACGACTACAATGAGGATTGCCAGCACAAGCAGCACACATCCTATACCTAGTCCTATGAAGCCACCTTAAGGAAGATAAATACTACATATGTACTCTGAATACATATTATATTGTCATCAAATCAAAGATACATTTGGTATGTCATCATGGAGATGATTACATTAAAAAGGGTAAATATAACATTAAAAATGGTAAAAGTTTCACACTTTAAGATCAAAAACACAACTCTGGCAAGTTCTGAAATGTTAATGAACGTTAATGATATGTTCAAAAACAACTTCTAGAGCTGCAATAATTCCCTATTTGGGCTTTAGATATCTTGTATTGTTATATCTATCCAATACAAGACCCAGTTAAAATTGCGGTCTACGTAAATAGTACAGCTTTCTCGACACTTGACGCTGAGTAAGAGCGATGGGTTGAACGCTGCACTATTTTAAAGATATCCTTCCGTGCATGCACACGTGATGCCATGTTAGCACGATAATGGTGCTGAAAAGTCATAATCCCTGTAATCCCTGTACAGCAATTTGAGGTGCCTTAGACGACTTGGTCACACATACTCCTTACTTGCCGTTGATTGTTTTGAAGTTTCGTGAGCTTTCTAGATCATAGGTATTCTTCGCACATTATTTCTAAAGTACTTGTCAGCCTGAAAGTGAACATTTCGACTGTCTTATACTATTGTATATATCATATGATGAAACATATTTATGATTATATGCAAGCGTTTGATACACACCTGCCTGGGGATTGCTCGAAGAGTTCATGGCATCTTTCCGTCCTGCAAGTGGCGTCGTTACTTCGGTAGAGTGGACGCCATCGGTTGTACCAACACCTCCTTGTGGCTTCGATTTTGTTTCTGATGATGAGGGATGTGTTAAAGATGTTGGAGTCGTTGTTGGTGATATGGTTGATAATGATGAGGATTGCGGTAATGATGTTGGTGTCATTGTGGTTGACGCTGTAGATATTTTTACTGGAGTGATCAAAATGGACGATTAATAGATAACGAATCACAGTTTGATTTCAAATGAGGAAGGGCGTTGATATCAAGGCTGCTTTTACCATTATTACAGATATATTACAGCGAGAGACACCACATTTGAGCGTCATATATTCATTTTATTATGCCTCAGAGTGAGATTGACCAATCAGAGAGCAGAACTACTGACCCCACATGAGCCCGTATACCGTCAGTAAAAATCCAAGATGAATGATACTGACCTTATATCGTCAGCAACAGTCATCTTGGATTTTTCAACACCCACCTCACATATTTCACATGAAAATTCTGGTACAGAAATTCGTTATTCGACACTGTTTTGTGTTTTAATATCATTAATTTTGATGTGCAATAGGGTTCATGTTTTTGGATCACGTTCGTGACTTTAATAAGATTATATAAAGTTAAAATTATCAACAAGGTTTCGCTTCTGAGGTTTGAAGGGTAGTCTCGCTTTGACCTTAACGTCTTAGGTTGTAAGTGGTAAGTTTTGAGTTTTAGGTTTTGACATGACATGTGCGACAAAGATACCAATTAGTTTCTACATAATAAATTCGTTATGTCGTCTTTAGTTGCCGTATACTGTGTCATATTAGGTTAGCCTCGTCCAATATGTTTCTGCTAGCCTAATATGACACCGTATACGGCAACTAAAGACACCATAACTAAGAGTATCCCTTTGGGAAATCGAAGCTTGGCATTCGGTGTGACCAACCAACCACTAGGACACCCCTCCGCCGTCTTGTTTAAAAAATTATGAAAATAATAATTATTGAAAGTTGACAGTCAGTTATGATGAAACTAAAGGCAGATATTACTCATGATAGCGAGAAGAAATAAACCTACTCAAGGCATTGAGGTTGTGTGTTAATGAGGCATTATTATAGCTGTGGCTATCTTAATTATCTGAGACTACAGTCTGTTTCTAATTCATAATTACAGTTTCATGGTCACTTAACTTCAAAGTTTATAAACAACAACCAAAGTACACATCAGTTTGATGATGATGAGTTTTAAAATGACAAGCACGCTTTCACATAAGTACTAAGCATCTATGATCCGTGTCACTGCCGTTTTCGTCCCACGTTACAGAAAGTAACATTCATTAAAAAGTGTTATGCTTAATGACCTTGAGTCTACCAAAATTCATCCAACTACAGCATACACTTATTTGGTTATCGTGACTATAATTTAGGAGTGAATTAGACCTTCAATATACAACACAAGTATTTCAAGGTTATGTTCAAAGGCTATACAGCATATAAACAAACTATGATATCCTGTGCTGGTACTTCCAAACACTAGATTTTGAGTGAGTGAGTATGGTTTTACGCCGCTTTTAGCAATATTCCAGCAATATCACAGCGGTGATTTTGAGTAATCATTCGAGAATGCCAAAATGTTTACATATGTTCAAAAATTTCGTTGGCTTTTTAGATCAGAATTATTTTCAGTGCATTATTTCTAACAGCACTTGTAGGCCTGAAAGTGAAAATGCGTCAACTTCGATTAAAGATTAAATAAGTCAGACTAGCTCAACTGGTTTCTGATAGCCGCAAACTGGCACGTGCTTGTCTGCTTTCAGAGCCATAATTGCAGAATGACAAGAAGAGAAGAGAACTAAGACCCGTACCATCTTCACATATGAACCTCCTTTGTTCTGAACATGGCCTCCAGTATAAACGCTTTCTTCCATTCGACTGCTTGTATACACTCAGGCACTTTGTGTCTGAAGAGGCACTACCGTGATACCCATCGTACTTCAAAGCCTCCTTTCCTGAAAAGAATATTGAATAGGGTATCGGCACATGTAGTAACACAACCTTTCAGGCAGATACAATGCGATACATTTTACTTCCTGTAAAGGTAGTGTCGCTGACGAAATGAATAGCATCTTACTATTTATGAAACTAAATATAAGGGTAATATAATTAATTTAATTAAAGGTTCTGTAAGACACAAACAATAATCGCAAATGTAAAAACACCGTATTAGTACCAGGTCTATCTCCATTCTCCCGAGACAAGTTGCTTTGTTAACGTTGTGAAAGGACATGAAGACATATAACCATTTGACGGGAGTAACAAATTTGTAAGGAAAGCACTTGTTTTTTTTGGCCCAGACTGTCACAAAAAGCCGAGGCTTGTTATGTAATTATACATATTCGATACACAAACTTTATAGTTTATAGTCTGGATGTCGTATAGTTTGCTACTGATATAAACGGAGGTTGCAATCATCTCTCTTGAGCATAACCTCTTGGTAAACCTTTTGATTCTTGAAAAACAGGTGAATGTTTCCATGTTAGAGAGGCAAGGATATAAAGCCAAAGTCACACGAACTTTCAAATTTAATTGATAATGACAACTCAAGTTGTGTTTTTATAACTCAACTCGCAATTAAAGTAAACTAAAATATACCAATTGTATATTTGAATAACAATCTTATCATTGTCATTGTTTCATGCATTAAACTTGGACATGTGTACAATATGCAACAGATTGACAGAGAAAGTATTTATCAACCACTGCTGTAAACCTCCTTGAAATGATTTTAATTTTAATACTTATTAGTCAGCAGCGACAGAGAAATGTAAAATGTGAAAAGGAACCTAAAGGAACGTATGAAGTATTGAGTGATTTGAAGTGATTCACTGTAGTATTTAAGCTAGATAAAAACAAATAACGATAACCTATCGTGTTGTACTATCCCTTGTCGTTGCATTATAGTTATTTCGTTTTTGGCTGTATCGCAATATTGCTATATCATATCGCAATATCGTACCGTGCTATTGTTTTGTCGCGATATCGCCTGGATACCTCAGGGCGTTCTAGTGATGGCCCCTCTTAGCTACCATACGGTAGACACCATACCTGCTTTAAGTAACGAGTTATCGTGTTTCCGTGAAAGGTAAGAAAACAGAAAGCCTTATATTATTCGAAATTCCAAAGACGCCAGTTATGTGTGCAGCATGTAATAAATGTATCTTGGATGTTTTGTAAGTCACAATTTAAAAAGAAGCTACAACTATGCTCAGTTGACTCTTGAAAACATATAATGAAAACACGATGAATGATATTGATTCACTGGAAATGACATTGAAAACTTTAAAATTGTTTGAAAGTATCCGGTATGTTCATTTGACTGACATCAATCATTTTCTCTTTCTTTCATCGGGTTTATGGTACGACCAAGTACAGGGGTATTAGCAAGGACATGAACAAAGGTGATACTTGTTTCTACTAAATGTTCCATTGTGTGTAAAACTTTCTCATGCCATATCTCTTCAATTTGTGTTCTTCACTTTCATAAAGATTTCACTCATTTATGAAATTATGCAGATCTTATAGCTTAGAAAGACTTCTTAATATACCAATCTATTCTGAAAATTCTAGATGCCATATGTATCACTGGCACACAGGCTAAATGTCTATTCAAAGTTGCACGAATGGGTTTTGAGTTCTGATCCAGAAAGGTAAAGAACCACCAACGCCATTGGCCTCGTGTTAGATATGATATGAAAGAAAAATCTCTTTTAATAACCACCCTATGTGGCTTCGTATGTATTCATATAATTTTAAAATCAGTTGTGAAATGACCACTACTTTATGTGAAAAGCTATTGCAATATCCTTACCGTTGATCCATTTCTTGTGTAGATATTTGTATAAACCTATCCAATATGTTTTGAAGTCTCTCCTGATGCGAAGAAGACTGCTCTGAACAGGTATATTAAGCTTAACCAAGTTGCAAGTCCTGTTGGCAGCATACCATGACTTCTGACGTGGACAACTTACATATACATATGTACGTGCAACTAAAAACAAAGAAACAGAAGTTGAAGGCGCGTGACATAATAGTGTAAGTACTGCTGTGCAGCATCAGGCAAGAAAACAAACACTTCCTTATTTAGTCAAATTGTAGTGGTGCCAGTAGACCAGTACATGCTTACCCTTTTCGAGACCGTTTAATCATCCTTCGTGTCTGAATATGAAACAGGGGCGACAAGGAGAGGAGCATAATTGGTGGCCATATGGACGCTTACTTTTGTGTAAATGTCATATGCCAAAAGATTCACATTGGTGTTATCGATAAGAAAGTCCAGCATTTCACATATTGTTTTCTCAGTAAATTTTTAAACCCTTAAATTTGCTGTGTGGGACAGTGCTGTACAAAGTTTATAAATCAAATGTTTGAAGGAATTGAACTTTTTTCTTCTGAGATTGAAAAAATGCAAGCAAATGCTTAATTGTGTTTGAGAATCCGCATTGTAATAATTCCACTTGCCTCAAATACCTTCCGTTGAATATAATTTAAGAAAATCCTTCCTTAACTGTACCAAGGATCGTCGAGACAGGGAAATTGTGGTACATGTGTTTGACTTTGCAATCTATCTCTTTTTAAGCTTTGAGATCCAATACAAAATAGAAGGTTTTAGAGTCATGCCATGTCTACATGGTAGTAGTAATTGTAAAAGGTGTCATGTATTCATGGTAGTGGTAATTCAGACAATGGTCTTTAGGAAAAGGTCGCAATGACAATATAACAGACACATGAAACGGAAATAGAATTTTTTACTTATCCTGTTTGATCAGTTTCTCCACATCTCTGTCTTTGCCGTATGTGAAACATCCTCTGAGCATGTATAGAATACGAAACGAGCTCCCGTGTAATACCAATTTCATGAAGCGAGTGAATAGTTCTGGTATCTGACGAGCGAAATACTATTCACGAGTTTCATAAAAATGGTATTACACAGGAGCGAGTTTAGTAATAATTTTATGACTTGCCGCTGATAACGTTTTATAACCTCATTTGATAGAACGCGACCCACGGTATAATCCAATTGAGCTTAACAGAATAATACAACTTCAAACATATGTTGAATCATATGAATTAAATACCATACAACGGCCTTCCTTTAGAATTTAGCATCAAAAAGTTTACAAACACGTCACAAATCCCTATGACGTAATTTGTGAAATTGTGATGCAAGTTACTCAATGTCCTGTGACGTCAGACTAGCAACAGGATTGCTGGGGTCATCGAGCGTGCATACTTTCCTCCCGGGGATTATCTATACAAGCAATGTATGGAATAACATGTTGTGAGTTTTCAATAGTTGTAAGTGAAACTAGGTCCGGCTGCACCTAAGCCGTTTGGTATTAAACACTGTGTAATACCAGCTTATTGTTATTAAACAGTGGTATTTTCAATGGGCGAGACATAAACACTGCAAAACATATTTCATAGTTAACATATTTGTTCATACGAATGGCGAATATATGTTAAAAGTCCTTTTATGTGTTATCATCCAGAAAGTGATATACATAACATAAGGATTCTGAAAATTTATTTCTACCATGACGAATATCAACGGAGATTAATCTTATTGTGGAGGAAACGTAATGCAACTTGCCATTCACAACAAAGCAGGCATAACAGTCTTCGATTTCCTTGCAATCGTCAGAAGTGCTGGTGTGGATGGAGAGGTCCGTGTTCCCACGTATCACATACGCACAGTAAGTGTCTTCCTCTTGATGAAATGACATGTTTTCTAAAAAATTCAAACATAAATAATCCGCACTCTCATTTTGAATTAAGACTGACAGTGTACCATGCTGGTGATAATGACACGCATTGAAAGAGCGACTATTTAAACACTGATCAAGTCTTTCAGTTTGTCACCATTGGCTTTTGAGCAACATGGAACTGAAGTGTGGAAGGAATGAACAATGAAAGATGTCCAACCAGTCCTGTGCCTCGTGCCACAAAGCGTCCTCAACGCTACGACTACCGTATGTCTATGTTGAATTGTGGGTGTTATGAGAGAAGCAGGGCTCAGGTGTTTTAGTGACATTGTGATCCCATTTGCATTATTTCAACAAATGCATGTACAGTATGACATTAACGCCGATCGTACCTAGCGTATATACTGACATTCCATGAACGTTGCCACACTTTTCGTCCAAGTTTCCTGGACACGTGTTCTCAGGTGTCATCGAAGTTGTAGTGCTGTATCTTACTTTTAGACAGTAGCACGTGGTTCCCTGTAAATGCGCACAAAGGTAGATATGACGTCATAATCAATTAGTGTTGACATTGATATTTACGCAACACTTGCCTGACATCACAATAGATCTCAAAACAATACTCTATCGTGAATGAACAATTACCAACAGGTACATGTTGAGCGGTCTCTTCGTCTCTAAACATAACAGATTAAACAATGCAAACTCATTGTTTTACATATCTATATTTTCAGCGGGCTCTGGAAATGCTTAAAACTTGGAAAGAATTGGGTTGCAGTGATCCTTGAGGCCTAAAATTACTGTTTTATCTTTATAGTACGTTTATGAATGAGTGAGTTTGGTTAACGCCGCTTCGAACAGCAATCCACTTATATCACGGCGTTCTTTAATGGAATATAGTGGTTTTTGCATTTAATGAGAGTGTTTGTCTTTTGTTTAACGTCGCACTCGGCAATATTCAAGCTATATGACGGCGATATGCAATTAATCGAGTCTAGACCACACAATCCAGTGATTGATATCATGAGCATCGATTGGAAAACGATGACATATATCAACCTTGTCAGCGAGCCTGACCACCCGATCCCGTTAGTCGTCTCTTGCGCTAAGCCTGGATTGCTGAAGACATATTCTAACCCGGATTTTCACGGGCCTAAATGAGAGTTAGTCTGGTCATATCACAGTGCTTAATGTGTGAGATAAATCTAAACAGATGACGGCTTTAGAACTTTACTACTTCATCTCAGACGGATACGGTGTTGACAACCAAAGGATCAAATCGGATTCCAATCCTGCAAGCATGCGAGACGCTTCTCTGCAAAGAAAACCGCGGCGTCTTGGACGACAGGGCTACCACTCACATCGCACTTTGAATTAAATTAATAAATATTCCGAACAGTGGTATATCCAGTATCACTGCAGTTGCCATACTGCATGTTGCATATCTTTCAAATGATGAATTTGATGAACCCACCTTCATGCCTACTGAATCTTCTGGGCTGCAGTGAAGATGGCACTTCCATACCGAGTTATCAAGGAATTCTACCATTGATTCTGCTGTCACACTCCCCAGGGGAAGGAAGCCAGCATAGGTGTACAGGGGACTGAAGTCTTCTGTATGTGAACAATTCAAGGTAATGAACGTGTGAGAAGGCTACTTCTACTACTTTAGGTGTATTGCTATGATAAATGATGTACTTCTATTAAGGACATTAACACCATGTATGCTTGTGTGTAATTGTCTTTAACCAATCAAAATTAAAACGTGTTTGTAATAGTGTAAGGTGTGGCCAGTAGGCCGATATTTTCAATTGCCCTTATTGTACCTGTCCAAAGCCAGGCTAAGTACTGCATGGCACCTATCCAGTAGTAGGTGCCGGACTGTAGACGGTCCAGAAGGTCTAGTGGAATGTCATCTGAGCCTGGTGTGTACAACCTGCCTTCTCTCACATTGCATCGGCTTTGTGCCTCCCACCAGTTGCTTGGTTCATCCATAACGTGTATTCGAGAAGTTTCTACAAATTGATTTTCAGAAAGTGAATTGTTTGATAGGCATTACTAAGAAGTTGACGGATGACAAAGTAGACACAGTTTATGGATAACAATTTCTTTAATTACTGTAAAGGCGGCTTTTTGATTAGATCCTTATTGTCGCCTTTACAGTAAATAAAGAAGTTGTTATCCATAAATTATCTCTACTTTGTCATTCGTCAACTTCTAAGTAATGCCTATCAAACAATTCAAATCAAAGGACCCAAAATATGTGACTTTCATTTTGACCTTACATATTGTAGAATTCATATACAATCGCGTTTGACAGTAAAAAAAGAAGTTGTTATCCATAAATTGTGTCTACTTTGTTTCAGAAAGTGATTAAGTATAGCAGCATAATTCGGATATCAGTTTTAACTAGCACTCCTTGTATGTCTCTTCCAAATATGTTTAGATTTCGTCAATTATGTCTCACTTATGAAAAGTGAAATTAAGATGAAAGTGTTTGTACATCTTCATCCATTGTTCAAACCATTAGTTTCTACCGTGCATTGTGACACCACACGCATGACGTCATGATAACACCAAGTGCCCTCAGTAGGTGTTCACATAACTGTAACATGTGATAGCTTTACACAAGTATACGTAGAGATGCACATGTACCTGGTTGCCGCTGATGACTAACGGCTGTGTGATTATATAAGAAGCACAGGGTTAGTAAAACACGCGTGATACAAAAACGCCATGTAGCGACAAGAGCGAATATATGTCCTATGTATCATATTCACTTTTCAGGAGTATTTGTCATATATATCCTCGAACCCAGACCAAAGACGTTACGATTAATCTGTTAATACCTTCTAAAGCCTGCCATCGTAGCTTTATAGAGAACACAAATTCGAACGCCATCACAATCAAGAGTCCATCATTATACCCTGAAATCTGCACGATTTGTCTCTAAAATAGTTACCGATTGATCTCGCGAAACATCAAGTATAACATAGTTATTGTGGACGTCAATGTTTGAAGCCTCAGGTAAGACATAGTACCTTTAAACAAGTGAGCCCATGTCTGTAGACATAATATCATACCATGTTTTATACATATGGGACAGTTTGTCAGGATCTTAATGGAACGAGAACTTACGTATTCCCCGGCATATGACAGCTCCCCAACAGACGAACAGCCATGTAAACAACGTATCTGACACCTACTGAGTACATGGAGCAACTGCATACAGTTGTCTGTCGCCTACAAGGAAGTTTAATTCACTCACAACTAGGGCAGTCAACAAAGCCAGGCAAAATAAAAATAGATTGTGTTTGTGTCTGCATGTCACGCATGATTCAGCGGAATTCTGCACACAGGCAACCCAATGCTCCACACAGACAACAAATTATTCCACACAGGCAACCAAACACTCCACACGGGCAACCAAATACTGCACACAGGCAACCAGATACTGCACACAGGCAACCAAATACTGCACACAGGCAACCAGATACTGCACACAGGCAACCCAATGCTGCACACAGACAACAAATTATTCCACACAGGCAACCAAACACTCCACACAGGCAACCGAATACTGCACCCAGGCAACCAAATACTACCAACAGGCAACCAAATACTCAACACAGGCAACCAAATACTACCCACGGGTAACCAAATACTACCCACGGGTTACCAAGTACTCAACACAGGCAACCAAATACTCAACACAGGCAACCAAATACTCAACACAGGCAACCAAATACTACCCACGGGTTACCAAGTACTCAACACAGGCAACCAAATACTCAACACAGGCAACCAAATACTCAACACAGGCAACCAAATACTACCCACGGGTAACCACGGGTACTCAACACAGGCAACCAAATACTCAACACAGGCAACCAAATACTCAACACAGGCAACCAAATACTACCCACTGGTAACCAAGTACTCAACACAGGCAACCAAATACTCAACACAGGCAACCAAATACTACCCACGGGTAACCAAGTTCTCAACACAGGCAACCAAATACTCAACACAGGCAACCAAATACTACCCACGGGTAACCACGGGTACTCATCACAGGCAACCAAATACTCAACACAGGCAACCAAATACTCAACACAGGCAACCAAATACTACCCACGGGTAACCACGGGTACTCAACACAGGCA